TTTGTATTACAGTACATCAACTCTAACCCTGCTGATATCAGATCTAGAATGTGCAATTTTTATACAAACCTGCTTCTCACAACCAGCTGACACTTGTTAAAGCCGCGCATCAGACATGCTGGTGGCCTGTATTAATAGTGTCCGTCTGTTGATAATAGCTTTCAAAGAACAGGCATCGATGAGACTATTCTATCGGAGATATAGATTTAGTCCTGTCAGAAATATGTTATTTTGGCAGGGTTTGTTTTAGTTAAATATGTCATAATCACAACTGCCATAATGGAAATTGTGCACATTTTTTTGATAAATTTCTTTGATAACAAGTTTTGAAAGTCACATTTTATTGGCATCATTTGTTGACACTTAACATAACATTCCAGAGCACCTGTTGGTTGGAGACACCGGAGGGGACAGTGATAAAGACCTGAGCTGGACAAACTATACGCAGGCTTCCAGTAGTCCATACAGTGGCAGTTCACCAGGCTACCACTCCGGGCGGCCCTCCATATCCTCCCTACCCCCGGAAAATATCCAGCCCGTACCCATCCCCTCGTCCCCACAGAGTACTCCCCCATCACCGGTCCCCACCACCCACACAGACAGAACCAGGTGAGTGACAGTTCTCTCTCAAACACTCATTATATCCCCTGCAAAAAAGTTCTTGAAAGTTATAAATCGCAATGTCTATCTGTCTAAAACTCCCAACACCATTTGTTAGATTTTGTTGTGTTGCGGTATAGCTAATGTTCATGATAATTATGAAGATTTTCATGAAGGCAGAAAGTTATTTAACGACAAGATTTTCTGCAGTTATGGCCCTTGACACTTTAAAATTTTGCTCTGGAAACGTTTGTTAGTCCAACTCCTTCCCCAATGTGTTGTAACTTTGCATAGTAAAAGTTATGTAGATGTGTTTGAAGTATGGAAACTGGGATTAAATTATTTCTATTGGATTTATGTCCCTTTAGACTATTGAATTTTTTGTCTCCAAAACCTTATAAGCACACTTCCTTCTATTCTGTTTGTTAGATTTTATTGTATTTTGGTGTAGTGAGAAAACATGGAAATAGAGTTATGTTCCTTGAAAATATATTGCAATCCACAAATTCTTTCTTGACTTTTGACCTTTGACACTTCCATTGTCTGTCCCAGGTACCATGTAAGAGCTACCATTAGTTCGTTTAATTATAACTTGGCGTAAGTGAAAAACAGGATCAGGACAGACATTTCAGTTTAACAATTTCTGCTGGAGTTTTTTGCCCTTGACTTTGGGTTATTCGTTCACTCTTTTTTTATCAAAAATAATGTAAAATTTCCATCTATATTCAGGAAAAAGATTTAGAGTTTCCTCCCTTTCTTCTGTAGGTATACACCTCCTCCTACGCCTCCACTGACTGGCAGATCTGGAGGCAACTCACGGATGACAGGAACCCCGCCCACAAATCGTCGACACATCCTCATTCCGGACTATCCTCTCACAAAGAGTCGTTCCCATGAGTCTCAGCTGGCCAACAGGGTCACAGATATCGATGGACCTAAGTAAGTGTTCGCATAGAAATGTGTCATGTCTGTACATGAAGCTTGTGGTAGCTTTTCCAGCCTTTCAGGTATTGGACAAATATGACATGCTATATTTGAATGAAAATAGGCATTAAAGTAACAGCTTCAAAATTTGTTATTTTAATTGGGGGGGGGGGGAATGGAACATGAGTTTACATATCAAGAACTGTTTTTGCTTTACTGATTTCATTAATAAACCTTTCTCAATATATTGCCAAACCCCATTATGATGTAAAAAATATATTCAACAAAAGAAGGATAGGAAAAACAGTTGACTCCTTAACAGTGTTGTACATTGTAAACCCAGCAAATTTAATAGTATTTTATTTTCTTCCACAGGTACAGTAAGAAGAAACCTACCAATCTAATTATTGGAAACGATATGCTGAAGATACGTCGGCCTTCCAACGAAGGCTCAGAAACGGGTGGGGGCAGTCGCGGTCCCTCGGGTCACACCTCCCCCATTCCTAACTCTCCCATACATCCATCACGACTCAAGGCTATTGACTATTCCAAAAGTAAGTCAGGGTCAACTCTCGGTGTTGTGTTTGTGGTATAGTAGAGTTATCTCCCCTGCATGCCCGTTCCTCACGTTTCCACTCCTTCTGCTGTGGACAGACCACATGTCATACACTGGGAAATTCCTACATGGGTTCTGTTGCCATTTTCATATGGTATGTTTTGCTTAAGAATTTTTAATTTAACCTAGTTTTAATAAATTTTCAAGACAACTGTTTCAATATAAAATCTATTAATTTATGTTTGAAGTAGATTGAAATTATTGCAAAATTTCATGTTTTTGATAGACAATTTTAATGGAATTTGATTGAATAAATTTTGATTGCAAATTTCATTGTTGATGGCTGATTGCTGAAATTCCAAATTCTGACAACTCAGAAAACAAAGGTTTTAAAAAAGTGAATATCTATTCTGAATCTAGTGAGATTTTCCAGTGGATGACATAAGTGGTATGTTGTAGTGGTGGTTTTCTAGATACATGGACACACCTCATTTTGAATCTTGTGTTTGGTTGATAGTGTTAGTAATTTACTTTTCATGCCTGAACTCTCCTCAACTCTTCCAGCCAGTATGGATGTTTCCTATCTATAAACTAAAACCCCATATAACAAAATGTATACCTCTCTCAGCTACAATAAACATATAGGGATTGAATCACATTTTCTTTTCAAATGTTTATGCTTGTATGCAACTGAATAATGTTCATACAGGCACAAACTTTTAAAAGTGCTGTTTAATACCGGTACACATTTTTTTTCCATTCCAGATTTATAATTATAAGTGATATAAGCATATAAAAGTATGTACTCCCTAATCTTTGTAGTACAGTTTTAAAGTTTCTGTATCATCAGTGCATAAATACTGGAACAGTATAACTACAGATATATGCTTGCTTCTTTCGATGGTATCTTATTATGTCTAGGCATAATGATCCTATCGCATTCATAGTCCTATGATTCCTTTTGGTAATGTTTACAGAATTTGAAATGTAAAAATAATACCTTATCATATAAACCTTCAGTCTCAGTGCCAATATAGCGATATATAGTGTTAATAAAGCCGGATCTCTTGTTCTCGGAGAACTAATCGGCACCAGTATGATTGTGCATCCTTCTATAGGGCTGCGTTGGCCGAGTGGTTAAGGCGTCTGACCGTCTTGACCATTATTGACCTCCACCACTGGGTCACGGGTTCTAGGCCAATGTGGAGCAGCTGCCAGGTACTGGCTGTAGGTCGATGGTTTCTCTCCGGGAACTCGGGCTTTCCTTCACCACCAAAACCTGGCACGTCCTTAAATGACCATAGCTGTTAATAGGACGTAAAACACAAACAATCCTTCCTGGTAGTCATGCTAAAAAGTATGTCAGTTAAAAAAGAGCTAATACATTTCACAAATTTTGCATTTTGATTTAATAAAACAAAAGTAACATATTACTACAATAATAATAATTTGAGAAAAAGCATGAATAATTGAATTGAACATTTTACACAAAATAGAATCAGAAATTAAGGAGGTAAGGAGTTATGAAAGAGTTAAACCGAGAAACTATTTTAGCGCTTAATATATTCAGTCCTTAATAACCATATTTCAAAATGACATTTCATGGAAATAATCAATTTGTGTCGAAACTGTAGTCCGAGAGGTTGGAAAGCCTGTTTAACCCATTCCCCTAAAGTCACATTTGAACCATACCAACTCAAAGACTGGTCAAGTCCAGTTTAAATATGTAGGGGTGAATGAGTNAAAACTGTAGTCCGAGAGCTTGGAAAGCCTGTTTAACCCATTCCCCCTAAAGTCACATTTGAACCTTACCAAATCAAAGACTGGTGTACAGTGAGTTAGAACTTAGTGAATTAATTGATGAAGATATTTGCATGCCATTTATATCAAACTGCACAGCTGTCAACACAATGAATCTTTTGTTGAAAATTTCAAGTTGGTAGACCTGTTCTGAGTTTTTGTATTCTCTTAACTCGATTTAAGTCAGTCATGCAATGCACATGCATAGTTTAAAAAAGCACACGCTTTTACCACTGGACTGCACTTGCATTAATTATTGTCTTAGTGTGGATATTCTTGTCATTATCGAAATTTATGAGCACTTCAGATAAAACAACACGAAATATATATCACATTTCATAGTATTTTAATTTAGATAGAATACTTACTGGTAGTGTTATGAGTTTTGATATTAAATTCAGTTTCAATTTTCAACTAATCTTCAGAATTAATAACACTTTGAATAAAGAATCGGTGCCAATTCGGACTTACTGGTGGCTATCACCGATAAGTTTTATTTTTTGTATATAGATACCTCGGGTTATGCCATCATTGGTTTCAGGCTTAAAACTTGAATAGTCTTAAACTTTTTCATTGGTTTCAGGCTTAAAACTTGAAAAGTTTTAAACTTTTACGTTGGTTTCAGGCTTAAAACTTGAATCATCTTAAACTTTTACATTGGTTTCAGCCTTAAAACTTGAATAGTCTTAACCTTTTACAGTGGTTTCAGGCTTAAAACTTGAATAGTCTTAAACTTTTACATTGGTTTCAGGCTTAAAACTTGAAAAGTTTTAAACTTTTACGTTGGTTTCAGGCTTAAAACTTGAATAGTCTTAACCTTTTTACATTGGTTTCAGCCTTAAAACTTGAATCATCTTAAACTTTTACATTGGTTTCAGCATTGAAGGGAAATAACAAGACAACAATTTAAAACATATTATTCTAGTTTCAAATAATAAGAAAAAGACAAATAAAGATGTAAAACTGAAAAGAAAAATAGAAAATAGAAATGGTGGACGTGAGATGTTAAATTGCATAAACACAATTTATATAGTATACACAGATACAATTTCTTGTGTAGTGGCTTGTGTGCCAACCTTAAACCAAACATCCCTGTAACAGTGAATTGGACTGCCTGCTGGAGTCTATCAGAAGGAGTGGTAAACAATGTATCCCCTTGTCCAGTATAATAGCCAAAGAATCAAACCAACCAAGTTGACTTCTTTTGGAATAGACAATGGTGCATTACCTCCCTTTCTAGTCTGGTGCAATAGTCGTTTTGTTGCTATTATAAGTTTTATTTTTTGTTCACTTTATATGGGATTTTACTATTTGTTTGGTTTGTGTTTATTGTTGTATGGGGAGGGACATGTGTGTTGTATGGGGAGGGACAGGTTGTTTGTTGTATGGGGAGGGACATGTTGTAAGGGGAGGGACAGGTTGTGTGTTGTATGTGGAGGGGCAGGTTGTGTGTTGTATGGGGAGGGGCATGTTATGTATTGTATGGGGAGGGACGTGTTGGTTATTGTATGGGGGGGGGCAGGTTGTGTGTTGTATGGGGAGGGAAAGGTTGTGTGTTATATGGGGAGGGACACGTTGTGTGTTGTATGGGGAGGGCCAGGTTGTGTGTTGTATGGGGAGGGGCAGGTTGTGTGTTGTATGGGGAGGGGCATGTTATGTATTGTATGGGGAGGGACGTGTTGGTTATTGTATGGGGGGGGGCAGGTTGTGTGTTGTATGGGGAGGGAAAGGTTGTGTGTTGTATGGGGAGGGAAAGGTTGTGTGTTGTATGGGGAGGGAAAGGTTGTGTGTTATATGGGGAGGGACATGTTATGTATTGTATGGTGAGGGACATGTTGTGTGTTGTATGGGGAGGGACAGTTTGTGTGTTGTATGGGGAGGGACATGTGTGTTATATGGGGAGGGACAGGTTGTGTGTTGTATTGGGAGGGACATGTTATGTATTGTATGGTGAGGGACATGTTGTGTGTTATATGGGGAAGGACATGTTATGTATTGTATGGGGAGGCACAGGTTGTGTGTTGTATGGGGAGGCACAGGTTGTGTGTTGTATGGGGAGGCACAGGTTGTGTGTTGTATGGGGAGGGGCATGTTATGTATTGTATGGGGAGGGACATGTTGTTTATTGTATGGGGAGGGACAGGGTGTGTGTTGTATGGGGAGGGACAGGTTGTCTGTTATATGGGGAGGGACATGTTATGTATTGTATGAGGAGGGACATGTTATGTATTGTATGGGGAGGCACAGGTTGTGTGTTGTATGGGGAGGCACAGGTTGTGTGTTGTATGGGGAGGGACAGGGTGTGTGTTATATGGGGAGGGACATGTTATGTATTGTATGGTGAGGGACATGTTGTGTGTTGTATGGGGAGGGATATGTTGTGTGTTGTATGGGGAGGGTCGGGTTGTGTGTTGTATGGGGAGGGACGTGTTATGTGTTGTATGGGGAGGGACATGTTATGAATTGTATGGGGAGGGACAGGTTGTGTGGTGTATGGGGAGGGGCAGGTTGTGTGTTGTATGGGGAGGGGCAGGTTGTGTGTTGTATGGGGAGGGAAAGGTTGTGTGTTATATGGGGAGGGACAGGTTGTGTGTTGGATTGGGAGGGACATGTTATGTATTGTATGGGGAGGGACGTGTTGGTTATTGTATGGGGGGGGGCAGGTTGTGTGTTGTATGGGGAGGGAAAGGTTGTGTGTTGTATGGGGAGGGACGTGTTATGTGTTGTATGGGGAGGGACATGTTTTGTATTGTATGGGGAGGCACAGGTTGTGTGTTGTATGGGGAGGCACAGGTTGTGTGTTGTATGGGGAGGGACGTGTTATGTGTTGTATGGGGAGGGACATGTTATGTATTGTATGGGGAGGGACATGTTGTTTATTGTATGGGGAAGGACAGGTTGTTTGTTGTATGGGAGGGACAGGTTGTATGTTGTATGGGGAGGGACTGGTTGTATGTTGTATGGGGAGGGACATGTTGTATGGGGAGGGACAGGTTGTGTGTTGTATGGGGAGGGACATGTTATGAATTGTATGGGGAGGGACAGGTTGTGTGTTGTATGGGGAGGGACAGGTTGTGTGTTGTATGGGGAGGGACATGTTATGTATTGTATGGAGAGGGACATGTTGTATGTTGTATGGGGAGGGGCCAGTTGTATGTTGTATGGGGAGGGACATGTTATGTGTTGTATGGGGAGGGACAGGTTGTTTATTGTATGGGGAGGGACATGTTATGTATTGTATGGGGAGGGACATGTTATGTATTGTATGGGGAGGGACATGTTATGTATTGTATAGGGAGGGACATGTTATGTATTGTATGGGGAGGGACATGTTATGTATTGTATGAGGAGGGACATGTTATGTATTGTATGGGGAGGGACATGTTATGTATTGTATGAGGAGGGACATGTTATGTATTGTATGGGGAGGGACATGTTATGTATTGTATGAGGAGGGACATGTTATGTATTGTATGGGGAGGGACATGTTATGTATTGTATGAGGAGGGACATGTTATGTATTGTATGGGGAGGGACATGTTATGTATTGTATGAGGAGGGACATGTTGTTTATTGTATGGGAAGGGACATGTTGTTTATTGTATGAGGAGGGACATTTTATGTATTGTATGAGGAGGGACATGTTGTTTATTGTATGGGGAGGGACATGTTGTTTATTGTATGGGGAGGGACATGTTGNGGTTGTATGTTGTATTGGCTGATTGTATATTTAAATGTGTCTTCTCCTGATTGCAGAAGTAGGAATGTTTGTATGGATTTAGTTAGGCATGGGGATGGTGTGTTTTTCCTGCAATGTCATGGATCAGCTAGTTATTATTACTGTAAATATTTTCATGACATAGATATTTTTTGCGATTGTGTTTAAATTCAATCATTTGTGAGTATTGAGAATTAATATCAATGAAAAAATAACAGAAACATCTTTTGTGATAAACTGTCTTTGTCATTTAGTAAAAGAGGAAGTATTTTGCAAAATGTAGCCGATTAGCAGTTTATATTTGCTCCTGCTCTGAACAAGTCACGGGTATGTATAGTAATCACCTAATATGTTTGTCTTTCTTTGTTTGTTATGGACATAAGTTTAGGTACATCATTTGAAGGTGCTGTGTTGTTTACGAGAAATGGAAACCTGCAACTTCTGTTGGACTATAGACCTTTAATTACTCACCCCTGAAGACACATGATGAATTTTTCAGGGGTGATTCATAGAAGGACGGGATCTTGAATTCAAATGTCCTGCGATTTATTTATCATATTTTAACATGTAATAAATATACCGTCGTATGTATGATGTTTTTGTTGATTTTGTATTCATATCACAAGAACATGCTGCTTTATTTAAACACAATTGCAAAAATGTCTATTCATGATTTACAGTAATTTGACAAGGCATGTATCAGATTTCGTCATGAAATCTTAACTTTACAATATAACAGCATATCACAATGTGTGTTTTTTCGGACAGAATTATATAAAAAAAACTTTAATTCATTGCAAAAATCACAAAATGAGAAACCGAAAAGAAGACAGAGGGAGGAATTTTGATTGAAATTAAATATTGTTGAACATTGCTTGTAAATGAAAGAAAAACATTTTAAATATCAAGAAATTTGGACAATATTTGCCGAAATACAATGTTAACCTTATTTGTATGTTGTATGATGCTTCAGTGTACTTGTTTGGGCCTTAAATGTACTTGTTTTGGCCATTAGGATTTGTATGGAACAACCTGTTAAGATTCGGATTGACTCAAGTAAGTACATAGCTGAGTGATGTTGAAGTGTTGGCCCCTTTTACTTGCAGATACGCTAGCCGTGCCCAAGTCACCTAAACAACATCAGCTCCATGGTAACCACAGGTAGGTATCGCTTTGTTTCAGGTACCTACTACTTGCATTTCCCTCCTGACAATATTTATTTAAACCATCAGACAAAACCCTACACTTGTTTGTTTAAGATAGTTCAAAACCAAAACTACATGTATTTAGATTAAAAGTTTTTATATTCAAAGACAAGAAATTTTAAATTTTGTTTCTTAATTAAGAGTAAGATAATTTTAGACTATAAGATACAGTAAAATTGAGGAAAACTTCCTGTTTGTGTGCGAACTTCCAGTTTCAAATATGGATGTGACATAAGGATGCGGTCCACACACACAATCCTTTATGAAAGGCGGGGGCCCGAAAGGCTTGGACCAAGCATGACTGTTGTTATTTAGCATCTGGCTGGCTGGCTGGCTGGCTGGCTTGGTCCAGCCCATAACTTTCTTGCTATTTTTATCTACGTTATGCAAACCTAACGTAATTATTTATCCTGGCAAGGGCAGTGTTATGAACCCAAGTTGGGAATCCTGCCCAGATTCATATTTATATCATACATATAGCCCTTTGGTCATTTGTAATGCAAAATTATTACTTAAAGAACTAAAAGATTATATCAAATGTAGGTCACTGTGACCTATATATTCTGCTTTATTGACTTTTGTTGGGCTTTGTGTTAAGCTCTATTCCTTGAGTTAGATTTTGCAGTCAGCTCCATTGCCATCAAAGCCAAGCTGGGGCATATTTATCATGTTTTTTTAATGAAGTTGGTATGTAGGTGTTATGTGAAACATTTAATTTTTGTCCGCCTCATAGTGAAAGTGGTATTAAGTGTTCGCCTTTACTGTACATCGGTTCTGTATGAGATAATGACCACTCACGTTGTGTAGACTTGATATACATGTATAGCTCTGTTTCTTTTGTTATACTCCATAGCTCTTTTTGCATCAATCAAGGCAAGAGCTAAGCTTATCAATCTTTCACCAACCTTTCCAGGTTCTTCACTGGTAGTATTAGCTTTATCTTTCTGGACCAGAATTAGGTCGGTTTCATCAACATGTTCCAAATGCAAAGGGCCAAGTGAGCCTATGGCATGGTGCGGCGTCCGTTGCCGTCCGTCCGGCGTCAACATTTTACTTTAAACAACTTATTCTGAATAACCAAAAGGCCAAGGGTACTGATATTTGGCCTGTAGCTGGCTGGGATGAAGGGCTACCAACTTTGTTCAAATGAATGACCTTGACCCACTTTCAAGGTCACATGGGTCAAATATCTTAAACTTTTCAAACAACTTCTTAATAACCAAAAGGCCCAGGGTACTGATATTGGGCCTGCAGCATGCTGAGATGAAGGTCTACACAGTTAGTTCAAATGAATGAGGTTGACCGACTTTCAAGATCACAGGGGTCAAATGTCGTAAAATCTTCAAACGACTTCTTAATAACCAAAAGGCCCAGGGAACTGATATTTGGCCTGCCGCATGCTGAGATGAAGGGCTACCAAGTTTGTTCAAATGAATGACCTTGACCCACTATCAAGGTAACTGGGGTCAGATGTATTAAAATCTTCAAACGACTTCTCAATAACCAAAAGGCCCAGGGTACTGATATTGGGCATGTAGCATGCTGAGATGAAGGGCTACACAGTTAGTTCAAATGAATGACCTTGACCAACTTTCAAGATCACAGGGGTCAAATGTCGTAAAATCTTCAAACGACTTCTTCTCAATAACCAAAAGGCCCAGGGTACTAAAATTGGGCCTGTAGCATGCTGGGATGAAGGACTACCAAGTTTGTTCAAATGAATGACCTTGACCTACTTTCAACCTAATGTCCCTGTTTGACATTTAAGGTCACAGGCATCATATGTTTAAATCTTTTAATAGGTTCTTATGAATCAAACACTGATATTCTGCCTGTAGCTGTATTTTAGTCCACTTTTAAGATTACAAGTGTGAGAATAATACCAGGTGAGTGATGCAGGCCCATTGGGCCTCTTTTTCCAGTTGGATTGAAGTTGTTTCTGTATGAAATATAGCTTATAGTAGAACAGTTTTTATACAACTTTAATTTACTTACATTAATCACTTTTGTTTGCGTGTATGGAAGTACACAGGGGGAATACTTTGAGAAAACCCAAGTAGTCAGGCAGGTGACCCGATACTTTTTCACGTTTGACCGGAGAGTCCAAACCCTGCTGTCTTGTTGAAAAGCAAGTGGCCACACTACATCCCCTGCCTACCCTTATGAAGATGGCGTACCTTGTGATCTGATTTTGTTTTCTGTTGAACCTCGGCAAACATTTTCTTTGTTTATATTTTACCATTTAGAGGTCTGTCAAGCTTTACTCTTCAGGATGTAAAAGAAGAAGTCACACTTTTTGATCTACATAAACAGACAAATTAAGGCCCTAAGTTGTCCGAATTTTGGATTCTTTGATGTTTCTACCACAGATTATAGCTTGTGATTATCTAACATGTTGTTGCTTTTCAACATTAGGTTCTGTAACACCTTTAAGATAACAACATGCGACCACTGTCACAAACAGATGTTTCTTGGATACAAATGCAAAGAGTGCAAGTAAGATTGTAGCATCTGTGTTGTCTCCCTTGGTAACCCTCTCCAGGGTTCGCCCTGGTGACACAGATCATCATGTGATTAGTTGGTTGTAACGATGTTGTACATTTTGTCCCATCATGCACTTGTAAGCTTCGGTTTGCACCTTTTGTCGGCTTTGTTTAATGTCTTTGATTTCGTAGCTATTCTCTATGTTTTTTAGTCCGACTCGATTTGATAGGGAATTTTTTATTTTCTTATTTGTTTCATTCCTTGTCCTTGATGTGAATTTCCCTTGATGTGGCTCTAAATGAACGTTTGGGAACATAAAAAATCTACTTAAACAAGTTCTAATGTGTGGTTTTTGTTTCAATGAAGGTTAAAGTTACCATGCTGCAATCTGTCAGAAAAATTATGATTAAAAATGCAGTCATAAAATTCCATAAACTCTTTTAAGTATATTGTAATAAAAAAAATAATAAAAAAAAATCAGCAACTCAAAAGTCAAAATTTAGACTCTTCCAAGACCATGAATCGGACAGTCTACTGTTAAATCCAGGGGTGAATGTGTTCATTGAAATATAGAAAAAACAAATGATTATGGCCTTTTTACAGGGAATCTTTTTTATTCTAATCAAATGAAGAAAACATAATCAGAAAAACCTGTATTTTCATCACGCTCACATTTAGAAACTTTGTAAAATTGTTGGGCATCATCGGGAAAATGTGCTGTTCCAGACTTCAGATCGAAAGTGCCAGGACAAATGAATTTTCGTTGTACACTTTTAAAATACTTTACCACTGACGTTTCTTTTGAAGTTTATTTAGTGTCAGCTGACATCTTTTAATTTCTGTTGATTTTTTACTGTTTTTCAGTTTGAATTTTTTATCTTTTCATTTAATTTACATCTGGCTAACTCTGTAACTTCATAGAAACTTTATTCTTTTTTTCCCCTAAACATATTTAGATGTAGTCTCCAGAATCTAATAATGTGTTCCATGAAAAATTGCCAAAAAGTCATCAGTGTTAGCCAGAATGCTCTGTTTTTAAGTCTTTACATGTAGTGCCTCACAAGTATTTCTCTTTTTGGTGAAAATGGCTCTAAACACGCAAGCAAATCTGAAATATATCACGGAAAAAATTTACAGGAAACATTCCAAAACTTGTGATCAATGATTCAGCCCCAATTAAATGACATCTGTCCATGATTTTACAAGAATTTGAGATATTTTTTTTACATTTCAATGAAATCTTTATGAAAGTGTTTATTAATTTACATAAATATTCTACCAATAGATCTTCAAATTTGCACAAAAATGATCATTCAAATTATAGTTTGAGGAAAGGATTCGCCTCCAAAATGTTCTGTCTTAAAACTTTAGTAGACTCTACCATGCATTGATCTGGATGAGTCCATTATGGTCTACAGTGGTAAAAGGGTTAATTAATATCAACATAATTGAAATAAACAGTAAAAATACAAAACCAAAACCAACGAGCCATGAATCCAATGTTTGTGAGTACTACAAGTAAAGAGGTTGTTGATGTTGTGTTGTTGCCCTGTTGTTGTCACCTCCCGACTTTCTTCTCTTTGTAGATTTGAAAAAAAATCCTTTACCATATTTGGAAGTAACTGTGACGTTTGTTCTAAAGTCATCTACTTAAATGGAAAAGTTTGCAAGGATTGCAAGTAAGTATGTCGCTGGCATTGTCTCCCCTCTGCAACCTCTCCTGTCAGTGTTTTAGGTGTTGTAAAAATGTGGATATTGTTCCCGTATTTCTTGTCTTAAATTCTTTTTTTTTACATATATTTTCTTTTTAGCTCACCTGCTCGGAAGGGATGATGATACAAATATAATCATGGGCAGTTAGTCTTTATAACATGTTGTCCACATATTTTCCTTGTTCTCTTTAATATAGGTACCATATTCTATAGAAATTTAAATTAAAAATAAAGATGTCCAGGTGAACAGTCGATTTTCCTGGGCATCTTTTTATGGAATCAATAATTTTGTTTTGTAAATTATGTTGACATGTTTTCTGTTAGCATTCATATATTCAACTATGTATATGAAATTAGGTGGATTTTATATATATTTATATATATACTGATTAATAAATTACTGTTCTTTTATTAATATATTACCAATGAAAATATTATTTATATTCACATATTGAATTAATAATCATCTGAAATATTTTTGAATGAAATGACAATATTTGTACATTGTGCTACTTTTCATTCATATTGTTCTTGAACTGATGTTAGATACAATGTTTTAAGATGTGATTTAATATTAAAATGTTCTAAAATTGTTTACAAAATGTATACAGTTAAAGAATAAACATTTGTTTAATTTGACAGCATTCTATTTCATATACGTATGTATATTTCTGCAATACTGTGAAAACGAACTATTTGTTTAAGAATGACTATGTGTTTCAAGAAAGATTGTTAAAAAAAACACCACCTGAAACTTCATTTGCATATTGTATTCCAGTTGTGTCTAGTTAGCTGTCAATGGTAAATTTCGTAATAGGTTCTACTTTCAGTATGAAAACTGTACCTACATTTATGTTACACTATTTGTCATCGCTCTATCGACTTCATTCCTCCTCAATGGAATTTCATGAAACTTCATACAAGGGTTTGGTATGTCAATGCCTTGAACAAGGTCTCATTTCGGGTTTCTACGTTGAAGGTCAATGTCACTGTTACTATTTCTAGAAAAAACCTCCTCATCGCTCTAGCGGCTTCATTTCCTCTTACATATGTCACAATGTGTGAATGCAAGGGGATTTGTATATCACTTGTGATGCTTGGTTGACGTAATTATTACTGTCATATGATGCACAGTAATACTGCTATACTCAAAGTCTCTTCATCTGTCTATCTCTTATGTCGCCATGGACTGGGAACGGAGATAACAAAACACAGATAATCACATGACTGCCATGACAAAAATAAGACAAAACAATGGTTTTGGAATGTGTTGGATCACAGAGAAAATTGTTTTAGAAAGTTAATTTGTTTTCAGCTGCTTTCTACAAATATTAATGTAAAGACACTCATATTAATGTTTGTGGTTTAGACATATTTACTATATATTGATACATATTCATATGAATGATTCAGCTTTTGTATTGAGAACAAGTCTATTCATTTCACTTTATTTTAGGAAATATTGAACTTGGGAGTTCACGTTAAAATTTGACTAAACAAAGAAGGGTAGATAACACTGTTTCTATACTTTTCGGTGATGTATTTAGGAAGGGTATAGGTTGTTGATATGCTCACCAAGTCCATTTGTTGCCAGATTTAAATGTCATCGAGATTGTGCGGGGAAAGTCAGTGTGAACTGTGCGGGTGACTACCCAGACAGCTTTTGGGAGGGTAAGTCTTTATTCCTGTCACCATTTTTCTCATGATAACTTTAGTTTAGTTCCAAAGTTTTTGCATTATTTAGGAAATATCAATTACACGTATTTTATTGTTTATGTCTTTTGGTTAAAAGTAAATGGCCAGATTTGAAGAAAGCATAAAAATTATGTTCTTGTCCAATTCAGCTTATAAAAATAAAGTCAGAATGAATTAAACAGCAGTTAGACATAATTAACTCTGAGATCAATTCAAGTCTGACAATTGAAGAATACAGAACAACATTCATGGACTGACGGAAGTTATGTTATAATTGAATTTTGCCTTGTTGTGTTTCTGACTTCCAGATTATTTAATTTTCAATTTAGATCATCAAATTTAATGTAGAACTCTCTGGTTTCCAGACAAAAAAAATAAAAAAAATAACTATTCTATTATATGTGGATGTTTTTTGCACATTTACTTTTTATCATTATAGATGCATGATAATAACTTACTATCAAAAAGTCTTATATTCTTAAAAAAAAAACAGCCCAGTAATCTGACTTTTGATCTGGCCATCTGCTTTTCCTGAATCAGGGAAAGTAGCGATTCTAAAAATACCTTTGAAAGTCATTGAATATGAATTTGTACAATGTTTTAATGACAGAATTACCTGTCATATCTACAGTATATGTTTTAAGGTCACCTGAGCTTTAGCTCAAGTGACCTATTGCTATCCGTCTCTGCGTGCGTCGTCCGTTAACATTTTACCTTTTCAACTTAAGCTGAAATACTGTCAAAGTGATTTCATTAATATTTCATGGGAAGGTTACTGACATCTCCCTGACCAAGTGTTTTTACTTTTCGGGTCGATCAGAAATCCAATATGGCCACCACGGCCGCCATTTTGAAAAACTATTTCAAACTTAAAGTCAAGTTCTGCTGGGCCGATTGAACTGAAACTTAGTAGGAATGATCAACTCATGGTCCTGACAAAGTGTTGTTATTTTTCGTGTCAATCAGAAATCCAATATGGCTGCCACGGCCGCTATTTTGAAAATAACTATTTCAAACTTAAAAACAAGTTCTAATAGGCTGATTTAACTGAAACTCAACATAGGAATGATCAGCTCATTGTCCTAACAAACTTAAGTTAACGTTATACTTAACTCTTTTTTACTCAAATTGGTACATATTTCAACAACAAAAATAAATACTGTAGGACTCAGGTGACCATTAAGGCCCATGGGCCTCTTTGTTTCTATGTATAGTATTTTTGCGTATGACAGGATCACCTGTCCAGACACGGAGAGACACAGAACCATACTTAGATACCTACCATGGGGACGGCCCAGGCCTGAAACCAAACCGCTCTGTACCTGTGCTCAATTCAGATTCCAGCTCGTCCTGTAACTCCAGCACAACATCCTCCCCCGCCCCGTACATTAACTCTCCCGCGGGGCACATCGCCTCCCCCTCCCCAGGGCCCTCACCTCACAGAAAAGGCCAACAGTTCCATTATCCAGGTAAGTGATCATGTTTTTGTAACATCTTCATTGTTCGCTTACACTAAGTCATTAAATCACATTTAATTGGTGACACCCTCGAAATTTAAGAGGTGAGCTCACTTACACTCTCTGCACCCCTAGAATATGTCGTGACAAAATCAAAGTCAAATAGTTAGCTAATTGATTGGTGTCGGGTGAAAAACTCTTACCAATCACGAGGCTCATACCTCAGTGCAATTGAGCGGATAGAATCAGTTTTTAGAAGTGAAATAATTATTATTAGGAATCCAAGGTAAGTTCACACATATGTAAGCTGTGTACTGTTAAGTCACTAGTTTTCATGGGTTTTTTAATTCATTGATTTCACGGGTAATCTTCATCAATTAATTCATAGGTGCACAAAATAATTACAAGTTTTATATAAAGCAATTCTCCATTTGAGTTGTCGGGGAAACCACAAAATTTGGGCCAAATGAAAATATCTGATTTCACAGTATAATCATCACTGTCAGTGACAGTTTAATTTTCCAGTTACAAATATTGGATGTGATTAAACAAATTTGTTTAGAAACCTGTTGACTAATTGATTATTTTCTAAATTAAGAACATTACTGATGAATTACATGGATTTTTTTTACAGACACCAAGCCGTTAAAAGTAGACAAGGCTACAGAAACGAATAGTAGTGAACCTGTGAAAATCAGTGTAACAACGTAAGTACACCCTGATCCCACATTCCAAAATATAACAAATACACAGATAGTCTGAATGATACTGTAAAGTACTGTTCTTGAATCTACACAACACATCCCTTAAGATTGGCTGAACAGAATTTGTAACTACCTTTTGTATGAAGCATTCCTGAGACATTTTGTATGAATGAAAGTAGTGGATCCCCTATGTACAGAGGTTGGGAAGTTATAGATAGACGTAATTCTAAAGAAGATTGCTCTGGAAGAATGTACCACTGAAAAATTGATTTACAGAGTTTTCCTTTATTTGATACATATGCAAGACCACACGCTTGTGTTTTTATAACGAATCAGAAAGCACAAGTTTTATTGCGCGGACGAATTTAGTCACAAGTGTGCGGAACACAAGTGCGCTGCCGCGCACGAGTGAATATATACGTCCGTGCAATAAATGAGTGCTTTCTGATTCGTTATAAAAACCCAAGTGTGGTCTAGCTTTTATCACATACCTTCCGCATTTGGTAGAGATCGATACAAAGATTTTATAAACTTTGATATTTTTTGCAAATACAGGGAACTTTTCAGTTCGCCATGACAAGGGGATTCCCATAAAAAGTAGTTCCGGCTAGTAGGTAAATACAACATTCGGTATTGCACATGTGCAATACAGAACGTCGTATTTCATGGTCTGAAAATTGCTTGTATTACTATAACAAGATTCAACAGGTATGTGATACAAAACAGTCCTGAAAATACTCAGTTTAGTATAAGTGAAGACATTATGGTCCTGGGGGGAGTAGTAGTGGTAGCAGTTTGGGGTTGAATGGCACACCAGGATGTCCCATATGACGCCAGTTTCTTTGGGTTTCTTTATATAGCAGTTATTTCCTAGACCTCACCCCACGCTTCGGACACATGACCAGTTTACGTGCTTGTGTCCTGGGGAGAGTTGTGGATTCAGAGGATTTATAGCTTTAGTGACCACCCGACCCCAACCCCAACCCCAACCCCACCCCCAACCCCACTGGTTTGATACCTTATTTCTCATGTCCGGTAGGAAAAGAAAATGTATATTTAAAAATGTAAAATTAAGTTAATTGTTTCATCTACAGCTCATTTTAAGCTTGTATGTGTTTAATTTGCTTATCTAGAAACAAGTTAAAACTTGGTGAGATATTTTCAGGCCTATTGGCTTCTCGTTAAATGAAATTGAGATTGCATAACCTTAAATGTGTGATAATAACAGGTTTTTGTTATTTTTATTTTTCAGAGATACCAATACGTCAGATGATAGTAACAAAACCTTAGTAGATGTAAGTAACATTTCTTTTATGATAATTTTTATTTGAATAAAATCAAATTTATGAGTGAATTATTTCTGACAAATAAAACTACAATGTTAGTACATTGGATATATAACTTTACTTTAATAACTTTAATGTGCTATCAATTATTATCAACAATCTTTCACGAATATGTTAAATGCTTAGCCAACCATTCAAAAAATATCAAGCAATTTTTTTGTCAGGTACTGTTAAATCACTAATGTTCGTGGAATTTTTGATTTTGTTGAGTTCGTAGGTAATTTCAATCCACGAATTCCTAGGTCCACAAATTAATTACAAATTGACATAAAGCCACCCTCTGTATGAGTGGGTACTCGTAATCCACAAATTCATGTACCAATGAAATGGTGCTTTTTCAGAAAACCCAAAAATTTGGACCCCACAAAAATATCTGATTTCGAAGTAAATGACCCAAGCCCCTCTGTCTATAATGAACTCATTACTGACAAAATACAGCTGTCTTATCCATTACTTTTTCTCATTACAGAGTAACACATCGGACAAAACTCTGCTGGACAGGGTGGACTCCATGGACAGCCAAGATGACCCATTAGGTCACAGCTGGAATAGACAGAATAGTGTAAGTGTAAGACCCTTTAGGTCACAGCTAGAATGGACAGAATAGTGTAAGTGTACGAACCTGTAGGTCACAGCTAGAATGGACAGAATAGTGTAAGTGTACGACCCTGTAGGTCACAGCTGGTATAGACAATGGCATCCTGATATATTTCTTAGACAACATTTGATCATTTCTACTTCGAGTAAACCTACATGTAATGCTTACAATCAATTACTACAATAAAAACAATGATATATCAATCAATAGAATTAGAAGAGTTTTGTAGGTACTGTCTTCTCAGGTGCCAACTGCCTTTTCACCTGTACTTCTTCATGGGTTTATGCTTGCATATGCTGTAAGGGTATTAGTGTTCTGTTTTGAGGTGGGACAATGCTGCCAACAGTAGGAATTTTCCTGAATGTCAAATCACTTGAATGCTACAGTACTGACACCGAGCTCCCACCCAGTCCACTTTATACTTCTCTTGGGTTACTTGTAATGTGTAGGCAGGAGAAAAATACTTTTCTGAAAATCCATGCTTCAATGACTGCAGAAATAAACTCTGACTGTCTGCCTGGAAGGCAATAATGTTAACCACTTGACCAAATCTGTCCACAGAGTTTCGTACTCTATTGTGATTTTTGTTTCATTTTCAGTTATCAGTTACATTAAAAGACTGGATAATTCCATTTGAGGAGGTGAAGTTAGGTGACCTCATAGGGACTGGGTCCTTTGGTGCTGTATATAGGTAAGTGTGAGGGCCCCTTCTAGGGACTGGGTCCTTTGGTGCTGTATATAGGGAAGTGTGAGGGACCCTTATAGGGACTGGGTCCTTTGGGGCTGTATATAGGTAAGTGTAATGGACCCTTATAGGGACTGGGTACTTTGGTGCTGTATATAGGTAAGGGTGATGGACCCTTATAGGGACTGGGTCCCTTGGTGCTGTATATAGGTAAGTGTGAGGGACCCTCATAGGGACTGGGTCCTTTGGTGCTGTATATAGGTAAGTGTAAGGGGATCCTTATAGGGACTGGGTCCCTTGGTGCTGTATATAGGTAAGTGTGAGGCACCCTTATAGGGACTGGGTCCTTTGGGGCTGTATATATGTAAGTGTGAGGGACCCTTATAGGGACTGGGTCCTTTGGTGCTGTATATATGTAAGTGTGAGGGACCCTCATAGGGACTGGGTCCCTTGGTGCTGTATATAGGTAAGTGTGATGGACCCTTATAGGGACTGGGTCCCTTGGTGCTGTATATAGGTAAGTGCGATGGACCCTTATAGGGACTGGGTCCTTTGGTGCTGTCACATCGTGATGATTTAGTATCACTTCTTTATTTTGATCACCATTGCCCTACAGAACAATCGGGTAAGTCGGTTCAAAACTCAGTTGTAATTAAACAATACTGGTAACTATTTCAACACATAAAAGAATAATTAAACATTTGTGTGCGTAAAGTAAAGTATCAATGTAGCTTTCAGTATTTTGAAACATTTTGTTACAACAATGCATTGGAAGGGTCCAGTTATGATACTTTGCACTAAATTTATAAAACAAAAAGATATCAATTGAAATTCCTTTGAAAACTGTTGATATTTACCTCGCAGTTCAAATATCAGAACTATCTACCATTAAATAAGCATCCATCTGCCATTCAGTTGCTCCATGATACAGTTGTTTTGTTGATTTGTAATTCATCATTTTAAAGGAATTCAAAAAAATCCATTTGATGTTGATAGAATATCAAAAGGTGCATACTATTTTAACTGAGGAATTTTTATTTGTGTTCCTAAAGGAGAGTATCTTTTATGTATGTATAAAAAAAATGTATTTGTGTATTACAAATATTGTCCATGTTCCAGGGGCCTGTGGCACGGAGATGTGGCCATTAAGATGTTAAATATAGATTCTGATATGGACACACAGGCACAAATGTCGGAATTCAAACAAGAGGTATGTAACTTTTCATTGCTCAATAGTTCAACTTTTTAAAAGTATTTTAGATGTTTTCAATATTACTGTGTGTAATCAGATATTTTCGTGGGGCCCAAATTTCAAGGTTTCTGAAAAACTACCATTTTGTGGGTACATCAATTTGTGGATTACGAGTATCCACACACACGAAGAATTGCTTTATGTCAGGCTTGTAATTACTGGTTGGACCTATGAATTTGTGGATGACGGTTACCCACGAAATCAATGAAATTGAAAACCCAACGAAAAATTAGTAATTTCACAGTATAGACTTGTAAAAATTAGAAGTAAGATGATATTGCTTGATTTTATAATATACCTTTGATATGATGACAGTCTTTTACTATTCCCTTAATCAGGGATCAATCTAGACTTGATTCACTACCGGTTATTGGTAGTTTCCCCTACAGAAGAAAATTACTCTGTTCTTTGAAATTCTCCCTGTGTGCTTCAAAATTCCCCCACTTCAACAAGAAAATAGCAGTTTTTTCTTCAAAATATTTTCCCTGTATATGTTTTCTTTGAAGTTCAACAGTTAAAATGCCTAATACTGCATATATACATTTTCTCCACATAATTTAAACAAAAGTTCTACAATTTTAAGCTAAATATTGTTTAAAAATTGAAATATGCTGCACACATGTATGTCGGACAAAACATTTATCTTTTACCTTCATGATGCTAGAGCCTTGTATCAAAATTTTAATTTCCCCCAAATCTGAAAAAAGGATAAATTCCCCTAAAACCTAGATTGATCCCTGCCTTAATGTCTGATGATGTTTGATTGAATCTGTTTGGATGTTTCTGTTGCAGGTGGCTATGTTGATCAACAAGAGACACGATAACCTTATTTTATTTGCCGGAGCGTGTATGAAGCCTCCAGCTATTATAACTAGGTATGGATCACGCCACGTCAATGTTAGGAATGCTGATCAATATTAATCTGACAAGCATTTAGTCATTGGGCAGTTGTTGGTGAATTTAAGAATAAACTGTACACTGGGATATGTTTGCCAAGTCAAATATTTACCCTTCACAGGTGAAATTTATAATCACCCAGCATTAGTTTTGCCCTTCACATGTAATTACTGTATATTGTATGGTATGTACTGGTATTCACTGTCAAGATAAAATCACCCTCATTGTAGAAGTGGAAAAAATCTCCTAATGTAGATTATGCTTTACTAGAATAAAACAGAAAAAAGATATGTTTATACACATTGCTGTTGTAAAACTACATCAAACATTTATACACACTGCTGTTGTAAGACTACATCAAACATTTATACATATTGCTGTTGTAACACTACATCAAACATTTATCCACATTGCTGTTGTAACACTACATCAAACAGTTATACACATTGCTGTTGTAACACTACATCAAACAGTTATACACATTGCTGTTGTAACACTACATCAAACATTTATACTCATTGCTGTTGTAACACTACATCAAACATTTATCCACATTGCTGTTGTAACACTACATCAAACAGTTATACACATTGCTGTTGTAACACTACATCAAACAGTTATACACATTGCTGTTGTAACACTACATCAAACATTTATACATATTGCTGTTGTAACACTACATCTAACACTTATATACATTGCTGTTGTAACACTACATCAAACACTTATATACATTGCTGTTGTAACACTACATCAAACGTTTATACACATTACTGTTGTAACACTACATCAAACATTTATACCCATTGCTGTTGTAACACTACATCAAACATTTATCCACATTGCTGTTGTAACACTACATCAAACACTTATATACATTGCTGTTGTAACACTACATCAAACATTTATACTCATTGCTGTTGTAACACTTCATCAAATATTTATACACATAGCTGTTGTAACACTACATCAAACATTTATCCACATTGCTGTTGTAACACTACATCAAACAGTTATACACATTGCTGTTGTAACACTACATCAAACAGTTATACACATTGCTGTTGTAACACTACATCAAACAGTTATACACATTGCTGTTGTAACACTACATCAAACACTTATATACATTGCTGTTGTAACACTACATCAAACGTTTATACACATTATTGTTGTAACACTACATCAAACATTTATACTCATTGCTGTTGTAACACTTCATCAAATATTTATACACATAGCTGTTGTAACACTACATCAAACATTTATCCACATTGCTGTTGTAACACTACATCAAACAGTTATACACATTGCTGTTGTAACACTACATCAAACACTTATATACATTGCTGTTGTAACACTACATCAAACATTTATACACATAGCTGTTGTAACACTACATCAAACATTAATACAAAATTTTGTCTTTACAATAAGTCACACATTTATACAAAGTCTTAAATATTGCAATTAATATGCCTATGTTTTAATTTTCAGTTACTGTAGTGGTCAAACTCTGTTCAATTATGTCCGCAAGGAGAAGTTCCAGATGAACAGGACAATAATTATTGCATCCCAGATATTACAAGGGATGGGATTCTTACATGCAAGAGGGATCTTCCATAAGGACTTGAAATCAAAGAATATATTCTTGGAAAATGGCAAAGTTGTGATATCAGATTTCGGATTGTTCAACATTTCTCGGCTCTGTCACGGCAACAGGTTAGTGTCGTCATAGTTACAGATATATACAGAACAGTACTTCCGTGGAAGCGATCCTTATGTCATAACTATGTCATGTAAATGTCGTGGTAATAGTTGCCCTCTATCATCCACAGTCAACCTATTTTTTGCCCATTTCCATTTTGATTATTCTACGTCGAAAATATTCTGTAAAACTTCAACTTCACAAGCTGCAGTATTTGATGGGTTTTGGGGCACGGTTTCATCTTTATGCCCCCTCTCCCATTAAAATTGGGTGGCTGATATTGTCACCCATGTCTGTCCCGTCTTGCCGTGTCACAACCCTACCTACTGCATTTCATCTAAGTTTATACAAAGGTTACTTATAAGAATACATTGAATGATTTTATATTTCAAGGTTCAAGGTCAAAGCTAAGGTCACTGTTGCTATAGAATCGCTGTCATCAGTCTACTGCCCTAAGAGCCCAGGGCTGGGGAGGGGGGAGGGAGGTTCTATGTCTTACAGATGCTTTCTAGTCAAAGTTAGAGTGCTACATTTTTAGCTCACCTGGTCCAATGGACCATGGTGAGTTTATGCCATACCGCAGCATCTGTCGTCCGTCAACTTTTCCTTTATCACGCTACTTGTCCTGAACCGCCAAGTAGATTTTGACTGAATTTGGTCAGGAGCATCCTTGGGCCAAGGAGACTCAATTTTGTATTAACGGGGGATGTGGCCCCCCGGGATCAGAGAAGCGGGGCCCAAAAAGGAAAATAGAGGTAATGTACTTTGAAATCCTTCTCCTACCATAGGGATGGAAGTGATTTAATCCCAATTTGGTCAGGTGCCAAGGACACTCAAGTTTGTATAAACGATGGGTGCCCCCTTGGGGCAGAGGAGCGGGGCCCAATAAGTGATATAGAGGAAAAACTTATAAAATCCTTCTCTTACTGTAGGGATAAAGGGATTTTATCAAAATTTGGCCTGGAGCATCTTTTGGCAAAGGGGACTCAATTTTGTATAAACGGTGGGTGTGGCCCCTTTGGGTGCAGAGGGGCAGGAATCAAAAGAAGAATTTAAGGTTTAAATCTTTAAAATATTTCTTCTTTTGTACCATTGGAGGGATTCTATCCAAATTTGGCCTGGAGCATCCTTGGGCAAAATGGACTAGATTTTGTATAAACAGAGGGTTGTCCCCTCTGGGTGCAGAGTTGTGGGGCCCAATAGGGTAATTTGAGATTTGAACCTTTAAAATCATTCTTCTTCAGTACCATTGGAGGGATGTTTTGTAATAAAAATAATTTCCCATGGTTGCTTTATTATCCATGTGAGCGATACAGGCCCTCTGGGCCTCTTGTTTGAACTGTCCGATCACTGGTTATTGACCCGGTTATGTAGATTTGACCCATTTAGGAGGTAATAATTCCTGATTGTAGTTGTGAAAAATAATATCAGTGGCAGAACTTGATTTAAGGGTGTAGCTCGAGCTCTGCTTGCTTTACTGCTTTAAAATCATCACTCGCGCCATATACTTAACACAGCTAGCAAACAGGTGAATCTGGGGATGAGAACACTTAGAAAAAAGATCTGCAAACTCTTGTGTTTTCATCTTATAATTGTCCTACTTTAAATTGTACATTAATTATGTGTAATGGTTACCATAGTAATACTGATTTTAAGACATTAAGCTGGAACTTTTCTTGTAAATAGGTCTGTCCGAGAACTTTCTGAACAGCCTTCGTACTGTCAGGAATTTGCTAGCCACAGGTTTGTGTGACCGATGTATAGTGGACTCTGCTGGCAGGAGTATTTGTAGCCTTCCTGTGGGCTTATAGTGTCTGTGTATGCCTGTTTGTATCTGTTACTTGGCTTGATGTGAACTCTGGTGACTGTATCAGAATTATATACTCCATGTATATTACTATTTGCCAATCAGTACAATAAAATCAAATGGGGTTAAACGGTAGAACACATGTAGCCAGTGGACCAACAGGTCACTGGGGACACGGGAAGCAAGATACTGTTAAAAGTGTGTCATAAGGTTAAATATCTAAAGACTTACAATAGATGCAGCAGTTTGATTTTGGTCTTTTTCCAGCAGCAGAGAATACAATCTGAAACTTTGATTCAGTAGGGGTTCCGATACTTTAATCAACTTTTATGATCATGCATGTGGATACAGCTATCAACTGGCCTGCAATCCTTCACCCTAAAGCTTTAGAAAATGTCTTTATGAGAAAGTATGTTAAGCGTCAAGATGTTTTAATTATTTGAAAGTGAATTGTCAACGCCAAGGAGGTCATGACTAACTGTATATATACTTCAGTCAAGTGTCAATTATTAGCAATGTTGAACAGAAAACTTATTATCCCCTCGCAACGAAAGTTTGCAGTGATATAGGATTCAGCCCGTATGTATGCTACACTCTTTGTCATCGCTCAAGCGACTTCATTTCTCAACAGAATTTCATGAAACTTCATACAAGAGTTTGGTATGGCAATGCCTTGAACAAGTTCTCATTTCGGGTTTCTACGTTGAAGGTCAAGGTCACTGTTACTATTTTTAGAAAAAACTTGTCCTCACTCTAGCGACTTCATTACTGAACGGAATTTCATGAAACTTCATACTACAAGTGTTGGGTATGGGAATGCCTTGAACATGCTCACGTTTCACATTTCTATGTTGAAGGTAATGTTTTTATTTCTTAAATGCAAAAGAATATTCTCATTATGTCTGCCATTTAACGTCAAAAACACAAAAAGATATTCTTATGCAAGCAAAACAACAACTGCACAACAGAAATCTACTATCCATCGAAGAATGCAGTCGCTAGAGCAGATCGATACTGATACATCATTGAATTTTCTATTCATTTTCTCGTACATATGTCACACAAGGTGTGAATCTGAGGGGATTTTGTATCACTTGTGATGCCTTAATGTATTCTTGAATTGTGCTAATCCTTGACTAGGGACTCCGGCCTAATAGAAGTTATATCATATGCTTCTTTCGTCTGTACACTGTTTGCTTTCTGTATATCTGAACTGTTAACATGTGGTTTATGCATGACTGTTTACCAGATTGTTCATAGTATGACCGCCAGATCTAAATCCAAGTTCGGCATGTACCTTCAGTATTCACTATCAATCAGATTGCAAGGACATCCTCAATTTTCATTGGTTTGCTTACAGGAAACTTACAAGAATGCAGATATTTCCTCAATTTTATTGACTGTCTTGTAAACGTGATATGAAAATGCAGTTATATCCTTAATTTTCATTGGTTGGCATAAAAAAAATGTTACGAGGTTGCAAATACATGTATATTTATATTCCTGTATCTATCCACTGGCTTGCTTACCAGAATGAAACGTCTTTGCAGCAGATTCATCATGGACTCTTCTGATAGGCTAGATCATAAAACATTATGAAGCTGGGAAAAACTGTATACCAGGATATTTTTCGCCCAGTCTAACTTTCCCCCTTTGCCCATGAAATCAATTTTGCCCAGCGTTAATTTGCCTTTCATATTTAAATGCCTTGTTTATTATGCTGTTTACTTGTATTCGCTGTAATTATCAATTTGCCTTCATTACGGAGGGCAAAAAAGGTGAAAATTTCCCGGTATACAGTATAGGTTGGATCTGTGTAACTTAATTAAATGTTCAGTATACCTGGTAATCTTGTTATACTGCCAACATTGTTCTGCAAAAGTTTGGCATTATAAAGGGGGTTGTTGATTCGTCAAGAGAGCTACGAAGAAATTGTAAGGAAAAATGAAACGGTTATCTTGAAATACGTTGGCAGTATATATGCTATTGGCAAAGAAAACTAGAATGTTGTATTGATATAAATTTGTTAAAACAAGGATGCTATATTAATATAATCGATCAACGTAAACTTGCCTAGGGGTGTACAATGCCACTAGTCTTATGCTAGAGGGGGCTAGTAGATTTGATGTTCGGGCTAGTGAAATTGTTCAATATTTACTATGAAAATATATTCAGGTTGGGGCTTGTGAAATTTCAAAATCAACATGCAGGCTAGTATTCTAAATATAACATTGTGCACCCCTGTTATAACATAGCAGGAACATTCACCATTACAGTGGAACTGTAAACAGCAAATTTACGTACAACCTAATTGACTTAATTTCACATGTACAAATCTGTATTGTTGAAATGGTTTGTAAATATAAATCAGCAGCGGTACCAGGTATATAACATGTTACAGGATAAGTGTTTCAGAAATAAGAATTAAAATTATACGGTTGATTATTGCCGAAAAATAGCATTTTTCCCGACAAATTTGAACAATATGTTTTCATAACAAACAGCTGAATGAAAAGCTAAAATTTAAGAAAATAGTAGGGTTTGTATTATTACTAGATGGTACACTGTACACTGGACCCTGATGTGTGTTTTCTGCCTCCCCAGGAAAGGAGAATGGCTGAACATCTCCCCCGGCTGGCTAGTGTATCTCTGTCCAGAAATCATTAAGCGGCTGTATGCAGGGGGCAACAATAAGGACCTTCCCTTTTCAGAAAAGTCGGATGTGTATGCATTTGGGTAAGTTTGTGGGTTTAAGTATATTGGTAAATACAATTCTTGTGATTCTTTTGTCCCTTGCTCCTGAATTGTCTGTTACCATTTTTAATTCCTCACTTATTCATGTGGAACACCACACCAATCCCCTGAAACTTTTGTTTCCTTACTCTGGAGTCATGTAGACCATCTCCAAATGTCTTCATAATTTTGTTTCATCCTCATTCTGTAGTATTGTTGAATATCTCTAAATCTCTTGTATAACTATTGTGTTTCCTCACTCTGGAGTCATGTAGACCATCTCCAAATGTTTTCATAATTTTGTTTCATCCTCATTCTGTAGTATTGTTGAATATCTCTAAATCTCTTGTATAACTATTGTGTTTCCTCACTCTGGAGTCATGTAGACCATCTCCAAATGTCTTCATAATTTTGTTTCATCCTCATTCTGTAGTATTGTTGAATATCTCTAAATCTCTTGTATAACTATTGTGTTTCCTCACTCTGGAGTCATGTAGACCATCTCCAAATGTCTTCATAATTTTGTTTCATCCTCATTCTGTAGTATTGTTGAATATCTCTAAATCTCTTGTATAACTATTTTGTTTCCTCACTCTAGAGTCATGTAGACCATCTCCAAATATCTTCATAATTTTGTTTCATCCTCATTCTGTAGTATTGTTGAATATCTCTAAATCTCCTGTATAACTATTGTGTTTCCTCACTCTGGAGTCATGTAGACCATCTCCAAATATCTTCATAATTTTGTTTCATCCTCATTCTGTAGTATTGTAGAATATCTCTAAATCTCTTGTATAACTATTTTGTTTCCTCACTCTGGAGTCATGTAGACCATCTCCAAATATCTTCATAATTTTGTTTCATCCTCATTCTGTAGTATTGTTGAATATCTCTAAATCTCTAGTAAAACTATTTTGTTTCCTTACTCTGGAGTCATGTAGACCATCTCCAAATGTCTTCATAATTTTGTTTCATCCTCATTCTGTAGTATTGTTGAATATCTCTAAATCTCTTTTATATACTTATTGTGTTTCCTCACTCTGGAGTCATGTAGACCATCTCCAAATGCCTTTATAATTTTGTTTCATCCTCATTCTGTAGTCTTGTTGAATATCTCTAAATCTCTTGTATTGTGTTTCCTCACTTTGGAGTCATGTAGACCATCTCCAAATGTCTTTATAATTTTGTTTCAACCTCATTCTGTAGTATTGTTGAATATCTCTAAATCTCTCGTATTGTGTTTCCTCACTTTGGAGTCATGTAGACCATCTCCAAATGTCTTTATAATTTTGTTTCATCCTCATTCTGTAGTATTATTGAAAATCTCTTAATCTCATGTATAACTATTTTGTTTCCTCACTCTGGAGTCGTGTAGACCATCTCCAAATGTATTTATAATTTTGTTTCATCCTCATTCTGTAGTATTGTTGAATATCTCTAAATCTCTTGTATAACTATTTTGTTTCCTCACTCAAGAGTCATGTAGACCATCTCCAAATGTCTTTATAATTTTGTTTCATCCTCATTCTATAGTATTGTTGAATATCTTTAAATCTCTTTTGTTTCCTTACTCTAGAGTCACTTTCAAGTCTATTTTAACTATTTGTTTCTTCACTCTGGAGTCACATGGAACACCTACACTCTATTTGCTCCCATTTGTTACTGCAATAGTGTTGTGAGACTAGAACACCATTTGATCAGGTGACCACTTGTTCTGATGTCACCAATCTCATCGTTACGATACATGTACTTGCTTTGCTGTTCCAAGAACTTCACAAACTGATGTTGAGACTAATAAACAGTGAAATATAACATAACTGTTATACAAAGCATGGAGCCCTGAATTATTGCTAAGTTGTGTGAAATAAAGTGCAATTGGGACGGTATCCGTAGAAAGTTGTCGCTGTTCTTGGAAAACAAGTATACAGTAAGAAGCTGGCTTGATAAAGTCACGGCCTAATATTTATGGAGATTTGTTTGTATTTCCAGGACGGTTTGGTACGAGTTGATTTGTGGGGAGTGGCCGTTCAAACACTACGCCCCAGAGTCGATCATCTGGCAGGTCGGACACGGGCTGAAACCTGCTCTTGTCTGTATCGGGGCCTCCAAAGATGTGAAGGTAACTCACCTCATCAGTTTTCCATCCCATAGAAAATTTTAAGAAAAAGAAAAAGGGGTGGGGCTGGTCAATCAATTATTAAAAATGTTTTAATTCAATAAGTTCTTTGTTAAAAATATTTATCAAAGACCGGTTTAAAAAACAATCATGAGTTTTCTCAGTTAGCCATTTCGTTTATGCGGACAGTTTTGTCCAATTTTAAATAGAATCTTTTCGACAGTTAAATCTGGCGGACCTGCAAATGTCAATGCAGATACAGTCTTTACCAAGTTTTGCCAGAAAACAACATCAAATCACTAGGTCTGTGCTTATTTTGTAAACGAATAACTCTTGGTCAACTGTATGGAATGTGTAAAAGTGAAAGGGACCCAGGTAACACTTGTAGAAGATCACTGGACTATTGTTGCAAACTTATTGTCTACTCATGCCTTGCTGTTACAGGATGTGCTGATGGCATGCTGGGCTTATGACCGACAGGAGCGACCAGACTTTAGTCGACTGTTAAAATTGATGGAGCGCCTCCCCAAAAAGCGCCTGGACCGTAGCCCCTCACATCCAATACACCTGTCGCGCAGTGCAGACCCAGTGTTCTCAACATGAGGCGTGCTCTACATGTCTTTCTCTCAGTCATACGTATACAAAATCATCCATATATGGACCGAACAGGGCACAGACAACTGTGACCAGGATACGTCTCATCCAGAGATGGAATGCCACAGACAAAAGTTGCCTCCCCTGTTGGACCTGTGTTGGTCTAGTGATGGCCCATAGTGGTCGTAGCCTTCACAGGTCTCGACCTTTATATCATTACCTGGATCCTGGTGTAGGATCCATCATAATCATGTGATAGGGGTCACCTGACCCCGCGTCTGTGACCTCCCGGAGGGCATTCCCGTGACGGAGTGGCACTTGATTCCTCCTGACCTGCTGCTACATAGGTCTCTGTGTCAACACATCATGTCAACATCAGTACATTATGTTAACAGTTCTTTCATAGATGTTGTGTCAACACTTGTGTTAACACATCATGTGACATCTTTAAGTACACCATGTATTTTCATTGTGTCAACATGATTTATCTTGATATCTGTTTACGCTGTTTTTCTATGGTTACAAGTTGACATAACCTAACTCATTCACCCCCTGAAATGTCATAATGTACTAGTCCAACCTTTGAATTGGAAGAGTTCAAATGTGTCTTCAGGGGTGAATGAGTTTATAGATTATGTCAACACATCATGTTCTCTTCTTGTGGTATGATTCACGTTAGCATGATATTTCCATGCGGTAATCAGTTTTGTTAACAGTTGACGACATGTTAGCACCATGTTGCCACGAGTAATTTCACACTCTCATACATAAGTGACAACATGTGTTTTAATGTCAACATAGTTATATGTTGACACAAGTTAATACAGTGTGTACTTGTCAACATTTTGTGTTATAACATTGTGTCAACTATTCTTTTCAACTTTAAACATTTGTTTTCATGGAACTTCAGTCACATTTCAGCACAGTATGTCAACTTTGTGCTATGTCATATGTTAACATTTTGTGTCAAAATATGAACTGTCAACATTTCAAAATATTTAATATTTTTTCTTGAAGTGTTAACACTTAACATTATAAACCATGTGTTAACACACTGTTAGAATGTTGTCCATGCAATCAATTTCCACAATGTGTTAACATATCATTAATGTCTGACTCGTATGTTTACACTTTGTGTTAATGCAATATGTAATGTTAAATGTGTTCAGTTGTTAGGGTATAAATGTGAACAGAATATGTGGGGGGGAACCTGTGTGTGTACATAGGGTACATGTTTGTGTAAATGGAGGTACATGTGTATGTATTTATATTCTATGTCAGATCGTTTACAAAAGGGTGTCAGAAAGTTTTAACCTGCTGTGATACAGGATCTGAACAGAGTTGTGTGTGTATAAATGTACAAACTTGTATAAATGTCCCAATCATGTATAAATGTACAACTTTGTATAAATGTACGACTTTTTATGACTATACAAATGCATAACGACTGTGTTATATTACTTTGTAAAAATTGCAAGACTTGATATCGGTGTACGACTGTGTAAATCTCTGACAAATTTATCTAAATGTCCGTCTTTCTGTGAACTTTTGTATAAAATGTAGAACTTTGTAAAAATGTGTGACTTTGTATTAAAGACATCATATTGTGTAAACGTTTGACTGATTATTGACACAACATTATATAAAAGTGTGACTAATTGTAATAACACAACTTCGTATAAATGTGTGACTTAGTGTAAGGACAAGACTTTGTATAAATGTGTGACTTAGTGTAAGGACAAGAATTTGTATTTATCTCGGACACGACTTTGTATAAATGTGTGACTTATTGTAAGGAAAAGACTTTGTATAAATGTGTGACATATTGTCAAGACAAGACTTTGTATAAATGTGTGACATATTGTAAAGACAAGACTTTGTATAAATGTTTGATGTAGTGTTACAACAGTAATGTGTATAAATGTAACTATTAAAAATGATGCAAATGTTAATGTATGTGTTATGCAATTAGGCATATGTGTCAAAGTGATTATATACTTAAAAGTATGGTGTCGATGTGGTGTGTTAACACACCAAACGTGTTTTACAAGTGTTTACTTATCATTTAAAGTGTGTTATGAGATTTTTTGATAATTGCAAATTATAGAACTGTGTAAAGACTTTGTATGCAAAGTTAACAATTTGTGTGATTTCAATATACTGTGTAACATAACAATGTGCTTTATGTGTGGCAAAGAATGAAGGGTTTCACCTGAACAACTACAGACATTTCAACATAGTGTCATTAGTACACTTATAGAACATTTACGGTACACAACATAGTGTCATTAGTACACTTATAGAACATTTACGGTACACAACAGTGTCAATAGTACACTTATAGAACATTTACGGTACACAACATAGTGTCATTAGTACACTTATAGAACATTTACGGTACACAACATAGTGTCATTAGTACACTTATAGAACATTTATGGTACACAACATAGTGTCATTAGTACACTTATAGAACATTTACGGTACACAACATAGTGTCATTAGTACACTTATAGAACATTTATGGTACACAACATAGTGTCATTAGTACACTTATAGAACATTTACGGTACACAACATAGTGTCATTAGTACACTTATAGAACATTTATGGTACACAACATAGTGTCATTAGTACACTTATAGAACATTTACGGTACACAACATAGTGTCATTAGTACACTTATAGAACATTTATGGTACACAACATAGTGTCATTAGTACACTTATAGAACATTTACGGTACACAACATAGTGTCATTAGTACACTTATAGAACATTTATGGTACACAACATAGTGTCATTAGTACACTTATAGAACATTTACGGTACACAACATAGTGTCATTAGTACACTTATAGAACATTTATGGTACACAACATAGTGTCATTAGTACACTTATAGAACATTTACGGTACACAACATAGTGTCATTAGTACACTTATAGAACATTTATGGTACACAACATAGTGTCATTAGTACACTTATAGAACATTTACGGTACACAACATAGTGTCATTAGTACACTTATAGAACATTTATGGTACACAACATAGTGTCATTAGTACACTTATAGAACATTTACGGTACACAACATAGTGTCATTAGTACACTTATAGAACATTTATGGTACACAACATAGTGTCATTAGTACACTTATAGAACATTTACGGTACACAACATAGTGTCATTAGTACACTTATAGAACATTTATGGTACACAACATAGTGTCATTAGTACACTTATAGAACATTTACGGTACACAACATAGTGTCATTAGTACACTTATAGAACATTTATGGTACACAACATAGTGTCATTAGTACACTTATAGAACATTTACGGTACACAACATAGTGTCATTAGTACACTTATAGAACATTTATGGTACACAACATAGTGTCATTAGTACACTTATAGAACATTTACGGTACACAACATAGTGTCATTAGTACACTTATAGAACATTTATGGTACACAACATAGTGTCAATAGTACACTTATAGAACATTTACGGTACATAAATAGTGTCATGAGTACACTTATAGAACATTTACGGTACACAACATAGTGTCAATAGTACACTTATAGAACATTTACGGTGCACATTCAACACTTTTTATCTAACACTTTCAGTATTATACTTCCAGTATATCACTGTACAACTTGCCGTACATGCGCAGAATTTAAAGATTTGAGTAGTATATTTCAGTACACTTTACACAGTGTAGAACATAAATTAACATTCAGCAATACAGTTTAGCTTTGTTTCGTTTATGATACTATAACTTGTCAGATGTAGTGCCCCTAATCCTCCAGCTATCCTGAAATGAAATTACCTAATAGGTGTACGATGATAAGTACAGTTGTAGTTAATTAAATTGCAAGAACACATGCAGTTCAAGTACAGTATAATTACTGTACAATTAGTGTAATTACGGTACATGTAGTGTAATTACAATACAATTAGTGTATTAACGGTACAATTAGTATAACTACGGTACTATTGCGATTACAGTATACAAAATGAATACACTTTACTGTTGATGTAGCGTTCATTTAAAGATCATGAACGTGTTTGTTTACACAAAAAATCATTGTTCCAATGCCTAACTCATATGTGGTATGATGTCCATCATATGTTTTACACTATTAAGAGTTGTGAAACTGTATTAACTGTAAATATCTGAAGTAAGCCCAGAGGATAAACACATACATTCTCACAGGAAGAAAGGAGTGGGCCTATTGCAGGACAATTACATAACGTTTGTTCCATTTCTACTGAACTGTTTTTGACATGGGTGGGCAGGGGCTTATTACCGGATAAATATGGTAAATGTTATGATAACGATTGCAGGACATTACAGTACAATTACTGTATAAAAGGAGAGTATAAATGCAGTACAGTTCCAGTACCATAGTAAGTCACGGTTCGCCAAATAAAAACCCAGGATGTTACTTTCAAATTGTGTTTTAATATCAATTTTAGTTTACCCATAAAATTTTACTTTAACCAATTCATTTTAATATTTCTACTATCGATAATAATATTTTGTTTTTATTTAATAATGTATTAAATGTATTGATCTTCAAATAAATGTAACATAATAGTAACCGTTATTATATAATCAAACAAATCAAATCTGTGATATAATTTTATGTTAGAATGCAAATTTTACTTTTGGGGTATAAACAAATTTAAATGTGTAGAGAAAACATCAGATTCTGCAAGGGGTTCAAAAATGTCATTTCTGCATGTTTTTGCTCTTTGTAATGGGGAAAATTTTCCTTTTTTGGACAACAATTGCTTCAGTGACTTTAACCCTCGCATGTCCAGGGGATGTTGTTACGACAACACCCAACACTCCAACCCAACCCCAATGAAAAATACATGTAATGCGTACAAACATTTTCAAAATATTTCTCACTTATATTGGATTCCTTCAGGATAAATGCTATGCATCCATAGGGATAAACACAGTCATATTTCATAATTGACTCTGGGGTCTGGGTCCACCCTTAGGGACTTAATTATTGGGTCATAACTTTGAAATGGTTGAGATCCCCACCCCATAACCATATACACCATTGCTGGGCATCAAAAGATGAATTCAATCTAAGTAGTGACTCTTGTGTCTGGCCCCACCCCTAGCCCTAGGGACTTATTTTCTGAGCCATAACTTTTAAAATGGTTGAGATCCTGAACTCGTAGCCATATATACCTTTGCTGGGCATAAAAGATTCAGGTGAGCGATACAGGTCATGTGGGCCTCTTGTTTCTAAATATTTGTATTCTTCCCTTAACTTCCCGTAGCAGAGTCGGGTCACAATATTTCTGTTGACCAGGCAGCTTAATCTGTTAGAGCAATGGCATTACAATCTGAAGTCCGGGGTTCGAATCCCAGTCTAGCCCCACAACTGATATTTTTACACCCAGAACACCGTTACTGATGACATTTTGTTTATTTTGTCTTTATTATTTCTCATAAAAAACAACTGCAAGGTATGGTTGTTTTCTTTTCAAATATGATTTATTAAAGCTGTACTCATGCTGGATAAAACGGTTTCCAATGCTTAGTTACAGTTTTGGCAGTGGTATGGGGAACCGTAAATGTACACATATATATTGAGTTTCCCTTTAAAAGTGATAATCAGCTGTCTGTTGATATATTTTTTTTTTCTCAATTATTTTTCCTAGCTGATACACTAAAAATTGTCGGATACACACAAATACAACACTGCCCAGTGAAAAATACATTTATTTTTACATGTTTACGCATGTGGCTGCTCAGATATTTAATACATAAGTCAAATGCTGCCCAAAGATAAATTAATTAATTCAGATAGCCAGTGATAACCCAAAATTGAATATGTGCTAAAATTAAAATGGCTGCCGAGAGCAAATAAATTAAATAAAACATAAAAACTGGCTTTCCAGAGATAATCAAAATTACATAAAATCGGAAAAGTGGCTGCCCAGAGTAACCTACAGTCTATTTAAGGAGAGGGCTTATATAGGTTATGTCTGTAGCCCAAAATAAAATGTTGTGAAATGAGAAAAACCAAAACTTATACACATTTGTGGCCAGCAAGACATGACCAAAATCTGTACCATTATTTATAGGCCAGATAGACAATGTTCTGATACTGCAAGTCAAACCATAATCTATACCATTATTTATAGGCCAGATAGACAATGTTCTGAATGCTGCAAGTCAAGTTTTGTACACCTTATCTACTTCATATTTATACTTACACCACACAAATGCACATGTGTGGTTAAGTTAGTCAATTCTGCTGGTAGTGTTTCATATTTCAAATCAGAATAAATCTAAAGGAAATGAGTACAAAAATCACAGGTTTAACATGCCAGGAAGCATATAGCTCCAATCAATAGAACTGTATTGTAAACATACTTAACAAAATCTGATTAACTGAAGTGTTTGTATATCACAGACCCTACACAATAAGACATGTCTAGTATTAATATATCACAGACCCCACACAAAACAACATGTCTAGTATTAATATATCACAAACCCCACACAACACAACTTGTCTAGTATTTATAAATCACAGACCCCACACAAAACAACATATCTAGTATTAATATATCACAAACCCCACACAACACAACTTGTCTAGTATTTATAAATCACAGACCCCACACAAAACAACATATCTAGTATTAATATATCACAACCCCCACACAACACAACTTGTCTAGTATTTATAAATCACAGACCCCACACAAAAGAACATATCTAGTATTAATATATCACAAACCCCACACAACACAACTTGTCTAGCATTTATATATCACAGACCCCACACAACACGACCTGTCTAGTATTTATATATCACAGACCCCACACAAAACATGACTTGTCCAGTATTTATATATCACAGACCCCACACAACATGACTTGTCCAGTATTTATATATCACAGACCCCACACACAGCATGACTTGTCCAGTATTTATATATCACAGACCCAACACAACATGACTTGTCCAGTATTTATATATCGCAGACCCCACACAACACGACTTGTCTAGTATTTATATATTACAGACCCCACACAACACGACTTGTCTAGTATTTATATATTACAGACCCCACACAACACGACTTGTCTAGTATTTATATATCACAGACCCCACACAACACGACTTGTCTAGTATTTATATATCACAGACCCCACACAACACGACTTGTCTAGTATTTATATATCACAGACCCCACACAACACGACTTGTCTAGTATTTATATATCACAGACCCCACACAACACGACTTGTCTAGTATTTATATATCACAGACCCCACACAACACGACTTGTCTAGTATTTATATATCACAGACCCCACACAACACGACTTGTCTAGTATTTATATATCACAGACCCCACACAACACGACTTGTCTAGTATTTATATATCACAGACCCCACACAACACGACTTGTCTAGTATTTATATATCACAGACCCCACACAACACGACTTGTCTAGTATTTATATATCACAGACCCCACACAACACGACTTGTCTAGTATTTATATATCACAGACCCCACACAACACGACTTGTCTAGTATTTATATATCACAGACCCCACACAACACGACTTGTCTAGTATTTATATATCACAGACCCCACACAACACGACTTGTCTAGTATTTATATATCACAGACCCCACACAACACGACTTGTCTAGTATTTATATATCACAGACCCCACACAACACGACTTGTCTAGTATTTATATATTACAGACCCCACACAACACGACTTGTCTAGTATTTATATATCACAGACCCCACACACAACATGACTTGTCCAGTATTTATATATCACAGACCCCACACAACACGACTTGTCTAGTATTTATATATCACAGACCCCACACAACACGACTTGTCTAGTATTTATATATCACAGACCCCACACAACACGACTTGTCTAGTATTTATATATCACAGACCCCACACAACACGACTTGTCTAGTATTTATATATCACAGACCCCACACAACACGACTTGTCTAGTATTTATATATCACAGACCCCACACAACACGACTTGTCTAGTATTTATATATCACAGACCCCACACAACACGACTTGTCTAGTATTTATATATCACAGACCCCACACAACACGACTTGTCTAGTATTTATATATCACAGACCCCACACAACACGACTTGTCTAGTATTTATATATCACAGACCCCACACAACACGACTTGTCTAGTATTTATATATCACAGACCCCACACAACACGACTTGTCTAGTATTTATATATCACAGACCCCACACAACACGACTTGTCTAGTATTTATATATCACAGACCCCACACAACACGACTTGTCTAGTATTTATATATCACAGACCCCACACAACACGACTTGTCTAGTATTTATATATCACAGACCCCACACAACACGACTTGTCTAGTATTTATATATCACAGACCCCACACAACACGACTTGTCTAGTATTTATATATCACAGACCCCACACAACACGACTTGTCTAGTATTTATATATCACAGACCCCACACAACACGACTTGTCTAGTATTTATATATCACAGACCCCACACAACACGACTTGTCTAGTATTTATATATCACAGACCCCACACAACACGACTTGTCTAGTATTTATATATCACAGACCCCACACAACACGACTTGTCTAGTATTTATATATCACAGACCCCACACAACACGACTTGTCTAGTATTTATATATCACAGACCCCACACAACATGACTTGTCTAGTATTTATATATCACAGACTCCACACAACATGACTTGTCTAGTATTTATTTATCACAGACCCCACACAACACGACTTGTCTAGTATTTATTTATCACAGACCCCACACAACATGACTTGTCTAGTATTTATATATCACAGACCCCACACAACACGACTTGTCTAGTATTTATATATCACAGACCCCACACAACACGACTTGTCTAGTATTTATATATCACAGACTCCAAACAACATGACTTGTCTAGTATTTATTTATCACAGACCCCACACAACATGACTTGTCTAGTATTTATTTATACAGACCCCACACACAACATGAATTGTCTAGTATTTATATATCACAGACCCCACACAACATGAATTGTCTAGTATTTATTTATCACAGACCCCACACAACACGACTTGTCTAGTATTTATTTATACAGACCCCACACACAACAAGAATTGTCTAGTATTTATTTATACAGACCCCACACAACATGAATTGTCTAGTATTTACTTATCACAGACCCCACACAACACGACTTGTCTAGTATTTATATATCACAGACCCCACACAACACGACTTGTCTAGTATTTATATATCACAGACCCCACACAACACAACTTGTCTAGTATTTACTTATCACAGACCCCACACAACACAACTTGTCTAGTATTTACTTATCACAGACCCCACACAACATGACTTGTCTAGTATTTATATATCACAGACCCCACACAACACAACTTGTCTAGTATTTACTTATCACAGACCCCACACAACACAACTTGTCTAGTATTTACTTATCACAGACCCCACACAACATGACTTGTCTAGTATTTATATATCACAGACCCCACACAACACAACTTGTCTAGTATTTACTTATCACAGACCCCACACAACACAACTTGTCTAGTATTTACTTATCACAGACCCCACACAACATGACTTGTCTAGTATTTATATATCACAGACCCCACACAACACAACTTGTCTAGTATTTACTTATCACAGACCCCACACAACACAACTTGTCTAGTATTTACTTATCACAGACCCCACACAACACGACTTGTCTAGTATTTACATATCACAGTCCCCACACACAACACGACTTGTCTAGTATTTACATATCACAGACCCCACACAACACAACTTGTCTATAGTATTTATATATCATAGACTGGACATATATGAATCTACCAGTGAACATGTGACTTTATAAAACGCTACCTTATATGCTGTGTTCTGTTTTTTAACAGAAAGGCTAATGCATTTTACAGTTTGTTTTTACCTTAGATTTTAAACATCATTCCATGAATGTTTTAACTATGATAACAATCTTTATCTATATGACTCCTGTGATGTGTATGAATGGTGTACATATAATGTATAACTGTGTTACATGTATGACTGTTGCCGTATGAGCGCCGCTGTATGACTGCCTCTGTATGATTGGACATCTTCGTGTGTACTACCTGTACAATATATGTCTGTTTTAACTCGTGTGTTCCAAGATTGTTTTGAAGTTTTAAATGGATGCGTGTGTGATAACCTGCCGAACCTCATTGATCCAGATGCCATTGTTTCTACATTTAACTTTATTTTCCCCCAAGCATTCATAACAGATTCTAAGCTGGTAAAACATGACGTATCCATTGGGAAAACCGTCGTTTCTGCTAAAGAAAGCCTAGAATAACACAATTATTGAGATGTACTCTTTTGCAACAGTATATTTCTCATTTCACTGTACCAGAAGGTTTTCACTAATTTCATTTTATGTTCAGCCACAATGAATGGAACAAAAGGTCTCATGTACACAATATATTTATCAAACATTCAGAAACGTATGTAGGTTATCATATCAAATCAATTAAAGGAAGGGAAAGTCTTAAAAACTGTTATTTTTTGGTGCAATTTTCTTTTTCCTTTTAAGTTATTTATTTAAGAACTGATTTACTTTGCTTAGTTCTGATATTTTGGTACCTGCGAAAAACAATTTTTCCTAGTTTGAGGTGCAGACTCAAGTTTGCAGAAGTGGCTCAATTCCATTATGTATCTGTCTGTCGATACATTTCCGTTGCCTCAAAATGACTGGAAATTGTGGTATTTATATTTCTTGGTTATTTCGAATATTTAAGTCTGTAAAAGTGGCTGAACTTCAATGGTCCCGATACCTAATTTTGTGATTTTCTTTTTTCGTTTTCTTTTTCAAATGATGCATATTTGAATTTGTGGAAGTGATTGGGTCTGGATTGCTAAGGGTCTGTAGGCAAATGAGCCTGGTCTGTTTCTAAGTTTGTTTTATCCTGCGCAAAGCTATTATTATTGAATATATGTTACGATGAATGGCTGTTGATAAGTGTATTCCATAGTGTGGGTGTGGTACTTAATTACATGAAATTACTTGAATGTATATTCCAAAGTATGACTGTTTCAAAACCTATAAGTGCATATGAGAAACACTGTAAATCACCCGATTTTCATGGATACGATATATGTTTTCACTTCAAACAACCTAAACAAAAGCATTCGAGTATTGTGAAATGAACAAAAACAGATCTATGAAAATATGTCGGAATCAACACTTAAAGATATTTGAATTTGCGATTGACAATCCTCGCAAAATTGATGTGAAAAATCAAGATCTCACGAAAGCTTGGTGATTTACAGTTCTAAATGAGAGGTTGTTTGTGAATAACAGATATGGATGTGAATTATTAGATTGTATATTTATATGAACACACTACAGGAAGCATCAATAAATTGTTCATGTATGAACTGAAATTGTAATCTGTGTCCTGTGGAAATTTGTTCACAAATACTTATTGAAGTCCAGTATGAAATATAAGGCAGGCTTGCACAGCATGTAAAGGGTCTGCCTTTCATCTGCCTTCATCTCATTTCATCTGCCTTCATCTAATTTCATCTGCCTTCATCTCATCAAAATCACACATCTAAGCAGATGCAGTAGAACGGTCCATATAGTCTGGTACTAGTCCTTTTTTCAATAGACAATAAAATGTGTCCTTAATTGCAAGAAAAACAAACGCAAATTGATGTTCTTGAGTTATGATTATTTTTCATTAAAAATATCACCTTTAAAGGTAAATAAGTAGGTTAATTAGAGGTAAATGTCAACCAGGGCGCAGTTGTTCAAAAGGTCATTAGTTTAATCACTGTTCAACTACATTTTTCAACCTCAAATAATTAAGTTGAATCTTGTAATTATATGCATGTAAATTTACTCAACTAAACTATTTTCTATCTGGAAAGTTTTTACTCTATTAATGGTTGTGTGTCGATGATGAACAAAAAAATAAAACTTGTGCAAATCACTGATTAAGCTTATCACCTTTTAAACAACTGGGTCCAGGCAAAAAAAATTATATAACATTCAAGGGCAGACAACTCTAAATATGTACTGGCACCACCAACACCAATATGTTGGATTTCAAATTTGCATAAGTAGCTGAGGGTTTTACTTCAAATTCGTAACCCATAGGGTCCATAAAGCCTTAATATTGAGTGATGGATGGATTCTTAAAGTGGTGGCAGTGCCAGGCTAAAGCAAGATACCTCGTATCGTAAATTTCATACACCCACTGAGAGAACCACCACCTGTTCTGATACTAATCAAACCAAATAAATACATGTTTTGTTGCACATATAATTTTATTCAATTTTACAACAGGATCGATATCAAAATATTCATTTGTCATTTAACTTGTATCTAGTACAAAATATAGATATAAAATAAATACCAGAATCAGCAACTGAAGACCTGTTGTCATGGAAACTATTATCCTGTTACCAAGATAAAAATGATTTATTTGTAGGGTACAATGTCCTGTGCTATGGTAACAATGTTCTGTTGTTGCTAAGGTAATTACACTTTTCCTAGTAATTCTGCTAGCTTGAGAGCTAAAATGTATGACCATATTTTCGCTCTGGCTAGGTTTTGGTAATTGAAAATCCCTGAAGAGGCATGCTTATTTTGACCAATTGGTGGACAATTTCAGTTAAGATAAAGCATGTTGCTTGTGTCTTCCCACAAACAAAACAGATGTTTAACTCATTCACCCCTAAAATTCATCATGAACTATTCCAACCTTTGAATTGGAAGAGTTCAAATGTGTCTTCAGGGGTGAATTAGTCAAAACAACATCAGAGTTTTGTTATGTAATTGAGGCAATGACATTTTGAGAAACCAATTGCAAGTTATCTTGACAAATTGAGAATAAATATAAATTGAAATGAAAAAGAAACACAACTTCCAATTTAAGGGTCAATAATATATTGTTTTCAATAGTATACATTGTAATATGTCTTAATATTAGATGTAATAGTTAAATTTAAATACACAATTTTGACTGTACCGCCTACAATTTCCTTAGTTTTTCATGAAATAAAGAACCCTAAGTGACTGAAATTTAATATGTAGGCAGTTTTTAAACTATTGCCTAATACAGTGTCATTCTCGAAAAGCACCTCTGAGTCAGCTTTGCATTGAGTTTATAAGGACATTTTGATTGTCCATATAGAAATGTTATTTCTCTCTCACAGTGAAATTTCCTTTTTTGTTTGGGTATACTATAGACAACCTGCCGTTAGGTTACAACTGATTAAGAATGATCACAGTAACTCTTAACTCTGGTGTATACCAGTTTTCATAATAAAAAGTTGATTATTTGTTGTCTATTATGCCGTCTTGTCCGTGTTCAACTCGGCAGAAAAGTCCTGATAATCCTGAAGAACCCTTGCGTATGTTGTAAAGTGTTGTCTAGTACTCCTTCTTGTCTGTGACTCCGTCACTATCCCACCTAGCGCGCCACTCGTTAGCGTTAAGTAGGACGGGATCTAAAGCCCAGCCCTGCTGTACCACGCCCTGACGGAAGGCATCAATGGTGGAGTTAGTGTACGCCAATGAGGCCATCAATGTACCATGCACATCACCTAAAATATCAGATACTCAAAATTATGAGTCACTCTCACAACAACAGATAGCTAAATATGTGTCAGTCTAAATAACAGATAGGAGGCCCTGGGGTCTTGAATCACTCACCTGTAAATCTTTCATTTTAGATTGAAATCTGCTCAGTAGTTTGGAATAAGAGCTCTAATGGGCTTAAAAAGATTCACCGATAAAAATCTTTTTCGACCTTCACTTTTAACCACTATGTTTATCATGCTGTTTACATGTATTTGCTGTAATAATAAATTCGCCCACATTACAGAGGATGAAAAATGCAAAAATTAAATTACAGGGAAAATGTCCCGGTATACAGTAAGCCGATACACTGGTCAAGGGGAACATACTTTAAAGACCTAAAGCTCAAATGACTCCCGTTTGGGCCTTGCTCCTCAGTTGTCATGATAACTATAGGTATCTATTTTCGAATCAGGCATATTGTCGAGATTTAGAATATAATAACAAACCTTAACTGGATGTCAACTTACCATTTTCCATTGCCCTAACTAAAGGGTCCAGGGAGGAATGAAGCACCTGAAATATGAAACATTTATATATTACAGTGTATATTCAAAACACACTTCTTGAATACTTCCGGGACATATTTAAGATCAAAAATGCAGCGAAACCTATATAAACTAAAACGGTCAACCTAAATACCATTGGATTTAGCATTTCTTTGCATGATAACTTTAGGAGGCACGGTAGTCTAGTGGTAGGACTCCCGGCTGGTGAGCGAAGGGTTGCGGGTTCGAGCCACGGCACGGCAAGGCACGGCAAGGCACGGGCAGGCACGGCACGGCACTGTGTTGTATCTTTGAGCAGGATACTTTACTCTGCTTGTTCCAGTCTACTCAGCTGTAAATGAGGTATGTGGTTGGGCATTGCTAGAATTGTAGAATGCTAGCTGTGAGCACCGAAATGGCAGCAACGGCTGTATGCTCCCCAGGGAGTTGAGAAAGATGTTGGCTGGTTGCAAAGGCCCTATAACCACAGATAATAATTTGTGAACCGCTTTCAGACGACCTACAAACTAGGTTGTGATAAAGCAGTATATAAGAACCTCCAATTATTATTATTATTATTATTATAACCAGGTTTCTGAATCACACATGTTCAACCTTATCTTACTCAAATCTGTACCATATGGTTCAATACAATCAATTGAGATCCAACACCCGTGTTCAGTTAGTTTGAAAAGTTCCATTGATCGATTCCTAATGGAATCCAATAGTTCAGCACAAAAAGTAATCGAATTCAAAATAAAGTTGAAGGGACAACATCCACTGGAAGGGGATTGGCAATATTTATAGCAATGTTGACATGTTTCGACACATTAACGTTTCTGATGATGGCACACCTCATGTGTTGAAACATGTCAACATTGCTATAAATATTGCCGATCACCTTTGTGTGGATGTTGTCCCGTCATCTTTACTTTCAATATGGTTCAATCAATGGATTAAATATTTCAAAAGATGTAGTATCAATTTTTTTAAATTTTTCAATAGGATGGGTTTAGATCAGACATGGTCTGAAGAATAATTAAACAATGATAAAGTTTTGTTAATACTAACCTTGCTTTTATACAGGTTTTCATACACATAGTTAATAACTTCTGCCTGAAAACAGCTCTGTAGCTGATCAGCTGTGTCAGCACCGTCCGACAGTGCTATACATATCTCTCCTGTAACATACAGACAATGCTATATATATCTCTCCTGTAACATACAGACAGTGCTATACATATCTCTCCTGTAACATACAGACAGTGCTATACATATCTCTCCTGTAACATACAGACAGTGCTATACATATCTCTCCTGTAACATACAGACAGTGCTATACATATCTCTCCTGTAACATACAGACAGTGCTATACATATCTCTCCTGTAACATACAGACAGTGCTATACATATCTCTCCTGTAACATACAGACAGTGCTATACATATCTCTCCTGTAACATACAGACAGTGCTATACATATCTCTCCTGTAACATACAGACAGTGCTATACATATCTCTCCTGTAACATACAGACAGTGCTATACATATCTCTCCTGTAACATACAGACAGTGCTATACATATCTCTCCTGTAACATACAGACAGTGCTATACATATCTCTCCTGTAACATACAGACAGTGCTATACATATCTCTCCTGTAACATACAGACAGTGCTATACATATCTCTCCTGTAACATACAGACAGTGCTATACATATCTCTCCTGTAACATACAGACAGTGCTATACATATCTCTCCTGTAACATACAGACAGTGCTATACATATCTCTCCTGTAACATACAGACAGTGCTATACATATCTCTCCTGTAACATACAGACAGTGCTATACATATCTCTCCTGTAACATACAGACAGTGCTATACATATCTCTCCTGTAACATACAGACAGTGCTATACATATCTCTCCTGTAACATACAGACAGTGCTATACATATCTCTCCTGTAACATACAGACAGTGCTATACATATCTCTCCTGTAACATACAGACAGTGCTATACATATCTCTCCTGTAACATACAGACAGTGCTATACATATCTCTCCTGTAACATACAGACAGTGCTATACATATCTCTCCTGTAACATACAGACAGTGCTATACATATCTCTCCTGTAACATACAGACAGTGCTATACATATCTCTCCTGTAACATACAGACAGTGCTATACATATCTCTCCTGTAACATACAGACAGTGCTATACATATCTCTCCTGTAACATACAGACAGTGCTATACATATCTCTCCTGTAACATACAGACAGTGCTATACATATCTCTCCTGTAACATACAGACAGTGCTATACATATCTCTCCTGTAACATACAGACAGTGCTATACATATCTCTCCTGTAACATACAGACAGTGCTATACATATCTCTCCTGTAACATACAGACAGTGCTATACATATCTCTCCTGTAACATACAGACAGTGCTATACATATCTCTCCTGTAACATACAGACAGTGCTATACATATCTCTCCTGTAACATACAGACAGTGCTATACATATCTCTCCTGTAACATACAGACAGTGCTATACATATCTCTCCTGTAACATACAGACAGTGCTATACATATCTCTCCTGTAACATACAGACAGTGCTATACATATCTCTCCTGTAACATACAGACAGTGCTATACATATCTCTCCTGTAACATACAGACAGTGCTATACATATCTCTCCTGTAACATACAGACAGTGCTATACATATCTCTCCTGTAACATACAGACAGTGCTATACATATATATCCTGTAACATACAGACAGTGCTGTACATATCTCTCCTGTAATATGCAGACAGTGCTATACATTTCTCTCCTGTAACATACAGACAGTGATATACATATCTCTCCTGTAACCTACAGACAGTGCTATACATATCTCTCCTGTAACATACAGACAATGCTATACATATCTCTTCTGTAACATACAGACAATGCTATACATATCTCTCCTGTAACATACAGACAGCGCTATACATATCTCTCCTGTAACATACAGACAGTGATATACATACCTCTCCTGTAACATACAGACAGTGATATACATATCTCTTCTGTAACATACAGACAATGCTATACATATCTCTCCTGTAACATACAGACAATGCTATACATATCTCTCCTGTAACATACAGACAGTGCTATACATATCTCTCCTGTAACATACAGACAGCGCTATACATATCTCTTCTGTAACATACAGACAATGCCATACATATCTCTCCTGTAACATACAGACAGTGCTATACATATCTCTCCTGTAACATACAGACAATGCCATTCATCTCTCCTGTAACATACAGACAGTGCTATACATATCTCTCCTGTAATATACAGACAATGCTATACATATCTCTCCTGTAAAATACAGACAGTGCTATACATATCTCTACTGTAACATACAGACAGTGCTATACATATCTCTCCTGTAACATACAGACAATGCTATACATATCTCTCCTGTAACATACAGACAGTGATATACATATCTCTCCTGTAACATACAGACAGTGCTATATATATATCTCTTGTAACATACAGACAGTGCTATACATATCTCTCCTGTAACATACAGACAGTGCTATACATATCTCTCCTGTAACATAAAGACAATGCTACAGATCACAAGGCAAAGTATAGTCCCTCACCTGAGTGTTAATTTTTATGGAAAGTGTTTTGTTTTGTTATATTTACATGTACAGTGCAAAAGTCTAAGGAAATACGTATGATTCTATCATCAGTACAGTGTTAATCTTTATGGGAAAGTGCACGAGTCTGTTAACCTTATAATCTTAACATCCATGTCTATGGAAGAAAATTCAGGGGCCGACACTTACACTAGTCTGCTAGTCCTGGACTAGTAGATTTCAGAAAGGACTAGTGAATCACCTAACCTAACTGGTCCTATGGACTTGTGAAGAATATGATTGTGAATTAAGAATATTCCTTTTTAGAATGAAGAAAACTGCTTGAAATAAGATATATTGCATGATGATTGTCAAAAGTTTCCTAAAACTCCACCATATGTTTATGGCAGTAGGTATTTTAAGTCTCCTACAGTCGTTTAATTTTTATGTTTCTTGCTGTAGATCGCAATATTTCCATATCAGGAAATCTTTTACTACTGATAGTTACACTGACTTAGGACTAGTAAATAATCTGTTCAACTAGTCCTGTAGGACTACCAAGCAAAACCAGTTAGTGTCTAACCCTGAAAATGTTTCTGAAAGCCCTGTGGTCATCTCTCACCTCGTTTTACATTGAGACCTAGAAGGTATGGCATCCCCTTATATACAGATAGCAACATCTGTAAATCTTTGGTACTGAAAACACAAAAGTAACATGTTAACACAATAAAACTTAGCAATTATACACAAGAGCAAAACAAATATCTCCGTCTTCTGAATTGTATGCGATGAAATATTATCAAAACACAAAATTGTTGGATAAATACCAAATGCATAATTCATTTTCTAACCAGTAATCAAGTAAAGAAATTTATTTGAAACATAATGACATTTTCTGTGTCATGTTACATGTACATATAAAATAAACCTGTCATAGAAAAACACAAAGAAGGAGATTTTCATTTTATCAGGTTTATTTTTGGGATATATATCGAGTTTAGCAGCCCTAGGAAATGGTATTGATTTACATGTGAAGTAGGGCTAAAAATATTGCTCTATTAAGCATGGTGGTCCTCCTGAAATTTTAGCTAGACTATTTAAACTCAGAAAACGTGCTTTCTGAGCAATATTTAAAGAAATGTTTTTTAAACAGTGTTCTAAACTGCACTTCACACAAACTAATCTTTCCTTTACATCTAGGATACTTTCCAACCCTGTCAATGAAACTATGAAAATCTTATATCTGTCAATGAAACTATGAAGATCTTATATTTGTCAATGAAACTATGAAGACATTATATCTGTCAATGAAACTATGAAAATCTTATATCTGTCAATGAAACTATGAGGATCTTATATCTGTCAATGAAACTATGAAGATCTTATATCTGTCAATGAAACTATGAAGATCTTACATCTGTCAATGAAACTATGAGGATCTTACATCTGTCAATGAAACTATGAGGATCTTATATATGTCAATGAAACTATGAAGATCTTATATCTGTCAATGAAACGATGAAGACCTTGTATGACTTATTTCAGCCAACATTGCATCAGAAACAGACCATTGTCCAGTGTCTTGTGACCTAACAAAGCTGAAAGTGATAGAGAAAAAAGTCACAAGAACCATGCTCCATTGAAACCCCTAGAAACATTGAAATTCTAATGGAGACCAGTAACACTGCGAAACACAGTTTCTTGACTCTGTTTTGTAGGGTTAGTTTTTGTGTTCCCTTCCTATTGGAGCTGCTAATATGGAAACCTGAATAAATCCTAGCACAGTTATATGAAATCAAGAGGGATGTCCTTAACCCTCTCACCACTGTAGACCATAATGGACTCATCCATATCAGTGCATGGTAGAGTCTACTCAAGTTACATAGGGGTGAAAGGATTAGCTACAAAGGGTGAATATTTTTTTTTTTAATTTAAATTATATTGGTGGTGGTGGTTATTCTTACCTATTGCACAGTTTTCCTACAGAACATCCCAGGAAAATTTCCAATTTTCTTCTTGTTTCTGAAAATTGTATATATATATTTCAAAATTGATATCATCTCTGTTGCACATAAACATGTAATCAATTATTTTTTCCTTATTATAATTACCCATAATGAGAAGATATTGGGACAGAAATGACACACATACCTCGTGATACAATACATATCGCGGTATGATCCTTATGATACGTAACAGTATTACAATACACATGTACACAGACTATAATCATTAACTGTAATATATGGTAAAAAAAGATTATTTTCATTCAGAGAACATCATTTGAAGTTCCACAAATTTCATTTTCTGTATATAATTTGCACAAGCAGGCAGAATAAATTTTGGTTGAAAATAACACATTGAATTTCACCACAAAAAAATAAGGAAATGCACACTTACTTATTTCTTTTTTTTGGAGTACATACCATTGTTATGAATATCAGTAAAAAATACATCTTTGGATAGTTAAAATAAAATGGCAGATATTTGAATGTCACTTACTAAATACCACTGGCTCCGAGTGGTTCGTACGCTTGACAGTTGGAATGTGGGAGGAGTCTAGGAGATCTTTCACAATGAGATTCAATCTTGATTGGTTCATTGTTTCCATGACAACACATTTGACAGCAGAGTAATTTGCATAGAGATGTAAACAGGTGAACACCATATACAAGAACCAGATGAGCCTGAGGACAGAAAACAAAACAAGAACAGTCGTAGAGCACCACAGCTGGCTTTTTTAATAAATAGTGGAGTCCGAAAAAACAGGGGACAAATTTAAAAAATCGTTGTCACCCTTGTAAAAAATACTAGCCGCTACCTACCGACTCGGCTCGAGAGAATTTCTCTTTAGCTCATTTAGTAGAGCATAAGACTAGTAAACCAGAGGTCCTGGGTTCGACCCCTAGCGGAAGCACTGAAAAAATAAAAAATAATGACCTCTGTGACGGTTTTATTGTTTTTCATTTTTGCTGTTTTGATTCCGTGCTACAATGTTCGATGCCTCTGGTACAACCATACCAAATATCATCATCCGATCAAGTATATATATTGGTTGTTATGTTGTTTTCATTTTTATGTCATTTTCAATAACAAGGAAAAGTGTTCACTGAATACATTTTTTTTAAATTTTCAATCCTACTTACATTTGTTTGCCGGTGACTAGAGGAATGAGTGCTAGGTTACACACCAATGCTGCCAGGTTGACCAATGTTTCCTGTTGTGTATGGCAAAGCAAACTTTAAAACCCTAGTTTTAGTTCAAGCTTGACAGTTAAATGTTATACAAACTGACATATTACTCTACATCATACTCAAAATCTATTTCACACATTATATCAAACACGATGAGCATATTTGATACATTATTATCATAAGTGTAAGTTAATGGAAAACAAACAAGAGACTCAAAGCACTGTATCACTAACCTGAATATTTAAGCAATCGTGGAAAATATTTTGTAAGCCTCTCAGCACCCAGGTGACCAACACCCTTTCTTTATACTGCATCTGATTTCCTGATCCTATTGCTTATTGCCACCACATCCCAGAATGGTGTTTTTATGACATAAAATCTTCAGATTGCATGCTCCAGTGGATTGCCTGTAGTTGTCTGCTACATGTTAACTACTAACAACGTAAAACTGCAACAAGTAGGGAAGTGGGGTAAGGGTTGTGCGAGTTCCTCTGTTTGTTAACTTTAATCCAATCTACCTGAGAATGTTTTCAACCAAATAATTGCAGTTCCTCCGTTTCTTAACTTTAATCCAATCTACCTGAGAATGTTTTCAACCAAATAATTGCAGTTCCTCCGTTTGTTAACTTTAATCCAAACTACCCCGAGTATGTTTTCAACCAAATAATTGTGAAGTCATTTAAAGGAATATGGCCAAATTAACCAGTTCCCTGTTCGAAGAGGAAGAGGGAAATTGGTTGAGGGGATTTGGACGAGACTAACATTTACCTATCAGTTACAAAAACATCAGAGCATCCTCAAGTTTCTTTCGCTAATCGATAACCATAATTTTTTCTACATAAATGGCCATACCAGATTGTTTGAGGTTTTTTATTACCACTGATATATATATGTGTCACTCAATCTGGGAAATCCTGGATCAATGGACAACTGTTGCTATGGTATGACATAAACTTACGTTTGTCCTACAATATAACGTAACAGTTTCTTCATATCTCACCTGACTTCCATCTTTAGCTGATACATCAGCCATGTTGTTTCGTCTGGCCTGGTGTTGGGTCAGGGCAGCTCTGGTGGCGCCACCTGCCACACCTACAATCGACTAACCACAGTAGCAGATAAGTACAACATTTGGACAAGACTAACATTTACCTATCAGGTACAAAAACATCAGAGCATCCTCAAGTTTCTTTCGCTAATCGTTAAACATCATTTTGTTCTACATAAATGGCCATACCAGATTGTTTGAGGTTTTTTATTACCACTGATATATATATATGTGTAAAAGATGTGCATTGATTAGGTTGCCTTACAAGCGTCAGCTGTAGGAAATTTTCCTTTAGCTTAGCAGTAGAGCATCGGGCTGGAGAGCCAAGGGTCGTGGGTTCGAGCCCCAGCAAAGGCGCTATCTTTATCACTATTCCTCGTCCTATTACAAATTGGTGCCGTTGACCCTCACCGTTCAAGGTAGGAGAACCCTTGGCGGGGAGTCAAAGAACCTGGCACTATCTTTATCACTATTCCTCGTCCTATTACAAATTGGTGCCGTTGACCCTCCCCGTTCAAGGTAGGAGAACCCTTGGCGGGGAGTCAAAGAACCTGGCACTATCTTTATCACTATTCCTCGTCCTATCACAAATTGGTGCCGTTGACCCTCCCCGTTCAAGGTAGGAGAACCCTTGGCGGGGAGTCAAAGAACCTGGCACTATCTTTATCACTATTCCTCGTCCTATTACATATGTGTCACCCAATCTGGGAAATCCTGGATCAATGTCTGACTTACCTTGCACACACCAGCAGTACACACCAAAGGAGTAAATATCCCCGGGAAGTTTGGTGCCAAAATCTCTATACAGATGGCCAAGTCATTCAAGATGTCTGCAAATAATCTGAAACAGAAACCTAAAATTCTCAGAGTGATCTCAATTTATTTTGACATTAGGTGTTTTAGTTTGAAATAAGGTTCATCAGCTGGATTGTCTGTAACTCATTCACCCCTGAAGACACATCTGAACCCTTCCTATTCAAAGGTTGGAATAGTTCAAAATGAAATTACAGGGGTGAATGAGCTAATTTATGACATTCATATACGAAATACTACAATGATAAAAGATTTCAGAGATCCAGTCAAACATATTCTTTATCATTAATTGCAAGGCACTTACCCCTTGTATGAGTTACAAAATTTAAAAAGTTTTTTTTTTAATCCCCAGATTTAATACATTAATGGGATTAAAACCTACATATTTCTTTTCATTGTAGCTTTTGTGACTCAACAGATTGCAGGTTTCTGTACCATGGGCTACCCTAGCTGACAACTAGTAAAAACCTCATATCTTGACACTCAAGGATACATACTATCAATTAACTCAGTCACAGATTAGCAAATCAACTCTTTTCTTGGGAGAAAACATGTACTTTGCAGTTACATGGTAGCCCTCTATAGAAGTTAGTGCATTGGAGATTGTGAAAAAGGTGCAAAAATAAGTACATTTTCATTAATGTTCTAAACAGATACCGAGATAGCAATATTATTTACAGTTGATAAGGAAGTGGTTTTCTCTCATTTCCCCGTGCGTAAGATAGAGCTGTCCAGGGTAAGAAAGGGGTGTAGGAAATTTCTATCTAACATCCCATTTCACGTGACGGGACGTCACAATGGCTTAACAACTCTGTTTGCAAATATGGGGTATGCTTAATCTGGCTGACACATTTGTTTTCGTCTCAAAAGCTCATGGGAAAAATTGATATTTTCAAAATGGTGGCCAGTCTAAATGTATTTTCATGGTTTCTGAGCTTATTCTGGTGGTTGGAATTACAGAAAAATACTCTTTCATGCCCAAGGGTGTAGGATAGGAAAATTCCACCCTCTGGATTTTCAAATTTGGCAAAACCCTCGACAAAGCCTCAACTTTTACCAAATTTGAAAAACCCTCCGGTGGAATTTCCCTATCCTACACCCCTGGGCATGAAAGAGTCTTATAATATTTACCTCCATCTCTTGGAGTTGCAATCTAAGCTTGATCCACGCAGCCAGGCAAATACAATCCTCCCTAGCATCCCTGTACCATCTAAATAAATAAAAAATAAAAAATTGTTATGTACAGTACCATGAAGGAAATAAAATTAAAATCTTTGCAACTAGTTAAACCTGATTTTGTTGCCATAAAAATAAAAACACTGTTGTCTTCAACTTTTGTTCAGAAGATTTCATGGGAGCTTTGGAATATATTTTAGTACAAATCTCCTTTATTCATCTTGTTTTTTCTTTCTTCAGCTACCTTCATCCTTTAATGTTACAATGCCTCTGTCATAGAAATTTATTTTAGTAAATGATATCATATGTTCTGCCTAAGCCTTCATTCTATGTTGATCGAATTGTTGGGGAAAATGTTGTTACCCTTTAAATGGCCATAAGGCAATGGGATTAATTTCATTTGAATTAAATTTCATCTTTTACAAGGCCAAAAAAAAACATGTTTCAGGTACCCCTACCGACGAAAAGTTTTTCCCTCCGACCCTAACAATTTAGATGACTTGTCCACTGCAGGATGCAAACAAATTGAGGATCGAACAAACAAGGCAACTATATTGTATCTTCCCGTTCTACTTCATATAGGCAGGTATCAAAACCAAACCTCATTTTATTATCTAAAAGACCTAAAAATATGTTTGGTGATTTTTGTAATTTCTTAAATTAACCCCCTACCCCTCCCTCAACATAGAAAAAATTGTATAGAAAAGAAAATTAAAATAAATCCCGACCAACCTACCCTATTTTTTCAGTCATGTTACCTGAAACACATATAATGGGGTTTTTGGCCTAATAACAAACAACTTGCACAAAACACAACTGCAATAATATCCTGACATCATATGATAACCCTATGTAAGTCAAATTGTGACAAGTAAAATGTTTCCACACAAAGAGTCTCCTATTCCGTCATTGCGTATTGTAAGAGTTATTTTCTCTAGTGAGCAGGTATTGGCTGTTACGTCATTGGTTTGTGTGAGAAAATTACGTCGTTTTTCTCAAAAACTGATGACGTTACTCTCACAAACAAATGACGTAACAATCAATACCTGCTCACAAGAGCAGATAACTCTGCAATATGAAAAGACGGCATATGCCAAGAAAAGAAAGCTCCTAAAGGTGATACCTTTTAGTATCCAAGTCATTGTCGCAGCCAGGACGGTCGCGTTAACGTCGCCAACACCCACACCTTTTAGCATTGCGGAAGCTGCCAGTGCTCCTGTTATACTGCTGGCAAATGCCTGCAAACACCAATAATGATATGAAAGAAACAAATTCATTATAATGTAAAATTACAGCAAAACGAAACTTTACATCAAAAAGGGACTTACAGGTAATTTTTTTAAAGATAAGACACCAGGTCAGTTAAGCTTGCAGGGTTAAATAAATCAGTTTTTTTGAGTACGTTGCAAGTTATTTTTACAATTTATTGACAGAAACTTGTATACAGTAGTAGGATGGGGAGGGTGGGTTACATATATAGTAAAAGGAGAAATTTGAATATTGGTTAGGGTTCGTCACTCCATTTCATCCCAGCCTTAACTTAAAAATATTAACTGAGAATTAATCCTTTTATTTTATTCCAAATTAGTCTATTACTGAATTGACAATACAAATAGATATGTTGAAAACATTTGAAACACATTTCTATTTTTAGCAGAGATCAAGAAACAATTTCAAAATGGGTGGTGAGCATTTTTGTATGATTGAAGAAGTATTTCTAAAGCTTAGTGAGGCTGATCAAAGACCAGAGGGAATTCCCTAACATTCCTTGAGAAATCGCAGGTGTATATAGTACCCTTTCTTTTTGTAAGAAAAAAACACTCCTTTTTGTTCTTTCTTTTCACTATTTTTTTATTTCTAGAATTACAATGAACCAGAGAAATTTACGCACCGTCTCCTCAACCAACTCTGTCCTATCCAACTATCGATCTACTACTGTTTGCCTGTAGAATAATCAAATTCAACTCTTCTATAAAAATTACTGAAATTATGGCTTTATTAAAATGACTGTATTGCAGATCTATAAACGACCTACACCTGTAGATTTGTGAGTGGTGTACCTGTATTGTGTCCCATATTTGGTACTCTAGGTAATCCTGGCTCACACTCTCTGGGTAACCTTGAGGTAGAAATACAGACTGTAAAATATTAAAATAAACATCGTGTTAATCAGTTTATTCATAAAATAAACAACAAAAATTTACACTTAACCCTTTCACCACTGTAGAACATAATGGACTCATCCAGATCAATGCATGGTAGAGTCTACTAAAGTTACATAGGGGTGAAAGGGTTAACTAATGACAGGTGTCCATGTCTTTTCTTTTTATCAACAAATGACCCATTTCCCAATTTATCAATAGTTTTTAGGCATGTGTGTTCCTTGCTGTATTTTGAGGTATGGTTAAAATACAAGTACATATGAATTGTACAAGTAATTTATCAAAAAAAAAATATACATTTATGTATCCACCACTTAAAAGAGTTATTTATATTTTATTTTCAAATTTTTCAATGAGTTGATAATTTTCCCAACTTAACTATATATAGAGGGCTACATAATTTACTTATGTCCTTAAAAAAGGTCAAAGACTATGAAAATATAAGATTTATGTATAATATAATAAATAAACCTAATGAGATGTATGGGTATTTTTTTCACATTTTGGTTCAACAATAAATATAATTATGTAAAGATTTTTACAAAAGTATGGAAACAAAGTTGCTCATAAGGGTGAATTTGATACGATTCCTATGCATGTACATTGTCATTATTTTTCAATGTAAAACAACACAATTCACTTGAAATTGAAATATTGTTGTGAAGCTTTTTTCAATTAATCACAAAAGCCTGTACTAGCATGATGAGGAAACTCAACAACCATTAAGGAATTTACGTTCTCACTTTGGCAGCCCTGGAGGCCATTGTTGTATACAAAAGTTAAACATTTTGCAACATACATGGGTGCACCAACAATTAACTGCTATTAATTTATTAAATTAAATGAAAAGTTCTTGCTTTTTAATAAAGAATGCTAAGAAAACCTTCGGCCCATGTCATTCACACTTAAAAGCATCCTCAAACGACAATTGATGTTAATGATTTAGCATTAATTGTGTAAGGGAAGAAAGAGAAACGCAATGGCCAGACTGGGAATCGAACCCAGGACCCTAAGAACTCTAGACAAACATTAATGTGGTTTTTTTTCAGAGTTTTACTAGATAAACCCCTTCCATGGATCATTATCAGATATTGGATCTTGCAAGAGTGACATGCCACATACAAAGATGGTATCCTTCAGTATGCAACTTAGTTTGGAGTCTGTTTTTGATGCAATGGTGAGTAAAGGTTTTGTAAATGAGACCAATAGCAAATACTTGAACATGATTTTATAATGAGTAAGACTTTTATCCAGTTCAATTTTATTGATGAAAATATATGCAATCAAAGAATAATTTCAGCAAAATCAACCATCAAATAAAAGTAGCATACATGACCAGGGACGTATATATACTGTCCCTGACATGACAAATGGTTAAATTATACTAGTCAATAGAGACACTTGTCAGACATTCATCACATTCATGTAATGTAAAGTTACACGTTGTCTTTGGGTGAATTGTGCTAAATCATAAACATAATTATTTAGACTGCCATTGTTGGAGTCTACCAATGTTTGGGTTACAACATCTTTGGGCCACTAGGTTCGTCCCTATTTCATTAGTTAGGAATCAAATGGTCCCAAGTTGCATGTATACACAAGACACGTGGACATCTATTTTTAGACATTACCCTGAAAAAGTGAGAGACACTCGTGCCTGTCGGCGAATGATCAACCACCACTAATCGACCATCGTCTGTTGAAACATAGTTCTTCTTCACACGAGACGAACCATAGCCTTCTCTGCATAGCACGGTTTCGCCCATAACTATTGCTTCTGGCCTAGCCGTTCATAACTAAGGCTAATAGATGGCGCTTTAAACACTTCCTGTTAAAATGAAAAGTGAAAGTAGAAATGACATAAACAGCCTATTACGATACACTTAGAAATTGTTGTGTGATTGCTATTCATCATTTTTTCATAGAATAATTATATACTTTGCATCAACACTTTGGATGATTCGTATTCTTTTATGAATTTTAAGTTTCAAGATCTCAATCTTTCAAATGTTTTGTTTCTAATGGAAAAGAAGCGTTCTCGCAACCCCGTACTGCAGTAAAAAGTCTGCTGAAGTTTCATTGTCACGAAAATTCGATTTATTTAGGTCGATTGGTAAGTTATTACAGATTCTACTTTGGTTTGTCACATCATTATATTTTAACAGACTTTTCTACAATTTCATTCGAACGGAATTTTTTTTCGAAAGCAAGAACCTACAATGAATTCTTGTTAGAAGTTTGCAACTCGCAAACGATTAAATCGTTCTTTTTTTCACGGACTTAGATAGCAATCTAGGCCTAATTCCATAGATTTTATCCATTTTATGCAAAGCAAATGTAAATATTAACAGAAACATGAAAGTTTTAATTTTGATAATAATGAAAATATGAAACACTGATACAAAGTTTACCAGTGTGTAATTAAATGATGAATTTTTATAGAGCAAATCTTGGAACTACACAGGTGCTATTTTTATTACTTTCACTGTAAGAATAAAATTATCCATCTGTTGTAACGTGCCTTAGGGTAATTTTGCAAATTATATAGGGCGCTATACAAATGTTGTACATTATCATTATTAACCTTCATTCGAACGGCATTGCTTTTAAGTTTTATCTATAAATTTTCAAAAAGCAAGAATCTTCAATTAATCTGATACATGAATTCTTGATAGAAGTTTGCAACTCATAAATTGTTCATTTCCTTTTATGCAGAGTAACTTATATTGTTAGAAACACGAAAGTTTTAATTTTAATAATGAAAATATCAAACAGCGATACAAAGTTTATCAATGTGTCACTGAAATAATGAATATTTATGCAAGCACATCTGTTTTAATAGTAAGTAAAGTGTATACCGGTATGTGTACTACACAGGTGTATATACACATCATATTACTTTTAGTGTGTCCAGCACCTGTGGTGTACTATATGCCAAACATGGTCAAAAAGTTCATCATTACTCATTGATTTATTTTGACAGGTTTCACACTGAAGATGGATAGAGAAGAAAAAACTTCAGAGAAAAATCGGAGTGAACAGTGCCTAGAGCTGGACTCCATCATTGACACATTCGATAACTGGCAGCTGGTTATCGCAGACTTGGTGAAGAGCAAAACTGAATTAACTGAAGAAACTAAAAGTTTAAGAACTGAGAACGAGAGACTGAAGAAGAAAAACACAGAGCTTGAAAAAACTGTTTGTGATCTTCAGGGAATGATAGATACTATGCACAAGCAGCTTCACAACATGTGTGACTTAGAGGAAAACGTCAGAAAATGTCAAGAAGAACTTAAAAAACAAACAAAAAAACTTTGTGATGCGAAATCGGAAGGAATTGCCCAAAAAGTAAGACATACCAAATCAATTGAGAAAATGCAAGATGAACATTCTAAAGAAACGAGCAAATTAACAGAAACCTTTAACAGAGAGAAGGAATTCGAGGTAGACAAGTTAAGGGGAATTATCGAACTGAAAAACGATGAAATGTACCAGCTGCAACAAAAATTGGATAAATCATACGCTGAAAAGGAATCCGAAATCCTGAAACTTTCATTGGATTACGAAAACAAATTGTCAAAACTTAAACAAAAGACATCGATCGCACCTGCTCAATCAAGCTCTTCAAATCAAGAGATTTTCCGTAAAAAGCTCCAGCATCTGAAAACAGAATATGACAGAGAAGTGAATAATCTTAAGTTCACTATTTCAGATCTACAAGAGAAATTGTCTTCCCAGGGAAACACAGGTCGAACGGCGTTGTCTTCTGGGAAAAAGAGACGAACTTAGTATCAACGCAAGACAAAAAGAACACTTATGTGATATACTTAATATTCAGTTCATATTAATTTATTCAAACAGAATTATTGAGTTTTTATTTCAAATATTCCAACAGCAAATAAATAGATTTCATTTTCCAAAGATATTTATTGTGATTTTAAAACCGATATAAGACTGGGATAGTATGTACGCGAGTGCTAATCCAAGATACTTGTACTTTTCTATGAACATTTTATTACAGCAAATTCTCGCAGAATAATCGCTAAACACTAGTCATCACGTGAACATGCAGTGAATGAAAATAACACTGTAAGTCTTGATTGTATATTTGATTGATTGCAAGGCCTGATGAGAGGAAATGATCCCCGTGTAAATTAAGTAGCATTGATCAGTGGTTATGCCAAAACCTTGTGTCTTCTTTTATGTATTAAGAATTTTTACTGAATTTTAACAGTCCAAAAACAACAATGCCACGTATTCATATCGACAATCAAAGTAATGACCACAAAAAGGGCACAACTTAAGGCTTATCGCCATCAAAAACGAAATTATGTGATCTAGTCCAGGTGTTTGCGAGTAGCTCTTTATCATATATATATAAATTAATTACCCTATTATCCCCGTAAGTTTTTACAATGCATCAGCTGAGGAGAATAGTGGGGAAATATTGCCATGTCATCGAGCTAGTTGTGTTTCAAAGATGATTGGGGACTCCCTTAACCCTTTCACCCTATGTTACTTTAGTAAACTCTACCATGCTTCTGGATGAGTCCATTATGGTCTACGGTGGTGAAAGGGTTAATAGTAAAGCATCCACGGAATTCCCCACCCAAAGTCTCGGGACAAGACTTTATCTCTTTTTTCGGTGAGGAGGTGGGGGGAGGGGTGGGGGCAGTGCAGAGCAAAAGACCAAAAGAATATGAGGGAAACGGGGAAACTGTTGCATTAATGGCAAGGTAGCTTCCTTTAAAGAGTATTCCGTCTTTGCGTATTGCAGAGTTATCTTCGCTTGGGGGCAGGTATTGATTGGTACGTCACTTGTTTGTGAGAGTAACGTCATCAATTTTTGAAAAACGACGTAATTTTATCACACAAACCAATGACGTAACAATCAATACCTGTTCCCAAGAGAACATAACTCTGCAATACGCAAAGACGTAAAATAGTAACCGATACTATGACAATGTGTGATAGCCCCATGACTTGCTCAATAGCATGATCCGGGCTCAGTGGTTAAATAGGTTCCCGCTTCCACGTTACATAGATGTTCTCCAACCTCAGATGATCCAAATCCGTGCCAAACGACTGCTGGTTGGTTGTCGTGGTTTTTTTTACCTTACTCAGAGACATGTATTACATATGTATCCTCGGGTTACCGGTTTCCGCGCACTTAAGAAGCATCCGCGATTTCGTACTCATATCGGCAGAAAACTGTTGAAATTACGGATCACTGTCATAAACATGTTTACAATCTACTAATGGAAACAAAAAACTAGCAACATAAAACTGTATTTTAAAAAAAATCAGAACAAACAATTTTTAACAAATTTCTCCCGTCGGAAGTAGCCGTCATATGTTTCCGTGTGTCTATTTTGATTTAGTGTTCAAAGAAAGATAACTCGAATACACTAAAAAGAAATTATCTACAGTGACCTGCAAGAACAAAAGCTTCGTTTGGAATAAAAATATATCTTTAATCGTCAAATTAAATATCAAAACAACCTTTTTTAAATTTCACCTTTTTAATTTATTTTTCAAGATGTCAAATTGAACGAATTCATGTATTTTTTAAAAATTAGTTATTATATTTATTTGGTTATGATATAGAATCTGTTAAAAAAAAAATCTGCAGTCTTATATCGGTTTTGGTTGATGGTAAGTTATTTCTCATTTTGTTCTGTTTCAAATTGGTGAAAATTGAAGGTTCATTGCATTACAAGTTTTACGTTTCATTGAAAACACTGTTTATCGATAGAAGAATGTCTCCTTGGCTCTTCGGAAGTGGAAAAAAATCGGCGAGGAGATGTGGCCTCATTTGCATACGTCATTTTCGTACGTTGGTCAGACTACAAAAAAGACTGGTTCATGAATGAAATATATCACCGTTTTTTCAGGTATGGGCTCATTTTGAGCAAGATAAAAAGAGCATTAAGCAAAACTGCATATTTATGCGTGTTTTTAATCGGTGATTTTTCGGACGAACTTCCGGTAATTTTTTTGTCAGTTTACAGACGATGGCCAAACGTCTAAAATATCCTTGTGTTGTGGCCAGCAGGTCACGTAGTTACGAGATATAGCTTGATAAAATGTCTGCGCGGAAATACATAACGCGCGGAAACTGGTGTCTAGACGATATATGCTTAACTCAAATTAATTATTTCAAATTGTATACAGACACCCTGTTTACTTCGTTTTAAAATGAAATAAGCACATTTATCTGTCGTCTGCAGCAAGGATAAATATTCTGAATGGGTAAAAATGAATATTTCTTAAAATATATAATATATCTATCTTATTCTAACTATGTTATTGTTACTTGAATTTTTTAATTTCTTAAAGCAGGAAAAATATGGTGATAAACACTATAGATTAATGAAAATCATTGGAAACTTATTATTACATGAACATTTGATAGTGTGCTACGTATATGCGATTATATGTAATTATCCCCCCTTTAGGGTTTACTGCGCATGAGTAGTTATACGTCAACACAGTAACTTCCGGAACTTCACGAGTGGAATATATTTTGACGTGATGATGGAATAGAAGTCTTATTTGCGTCTTATTATGCTTCAATAATGACACGTGTGGAATAGATTAAGCCAACATCTAAGAACGTAAACTAAATTAAACATGGCGACGCCGACTGGAGCAGAAGGAGGTACCACGCCCCCCGGGGGAGCAGATTCAGCGGACACAGATGCAGGGACATTTTACGAGTGCAACATTTGTCTGGACACAGCACGCGATCCGGTTGTCAGCATGTGTGGACATTTGTTTTGGTACGATTGTCAACTTGTCAATCCTTTTTGCTAAATATCGTCTGAAATATGATCATCATCAACTGTTGAGTGGTTATATTAGTGTACCCCGAGTTTCCTGACACCAGACGTTGACATTTTGACAGACATACTTGTTAGACTTCTTTCAGTCAAAACGTCGTAAGTCTGTGTCAGCGCTAGAAGACTCGGGCTTATATGTGCTGTCCTTCGTTTAATGGAATGTGACATCAGACTGGGACATTTTGACAGATAGATGTCTGGTATATAAATATATGGGATCTGGATTTCTCGAACACCATTTGGTGTCATTGGGTTGCTGGCAACAAAAATCTACCTTTTTTCAGACTTTAACATTTTGACAGGCATACGTGTTAGACTTCTTTCAGTCAAAACGTCGTAAGTCTGTGTCAGAGCTAGAAGACCCAGGCTTATATGTGCTGTTCTTCGTTTAAGGGAATATACTAGCCCAAGTTTAATATGGCCATCAGGCTTATATGTGCTGTCCTTCATTTAAGGGAATATACTAGCCCAAGTTTCATATGGCCATGACACCAGGACTGGGACATTTTGACAGATAGATGTCTGGTGTATATATATATATATATATATGGGGCCTGGAATTCTTGAACACCATTTGGTATCATTGGGTTGCTGGCAACAAAAATCTACTGGGACACGTCTGTCTTCGATCACACAAAAAGTCATGCATGAATGGACCGCATGGATATATAGATGGACGGTTTGACCCATTATTTACAGATAGAGTGGGTTCTGAAACTGAGGGTGTACCAAAGGAAAAGGACGAGTCCAGGAATTAGGGACATGTGTCCCATAAATCACTTTGGTCGCATACCAATTTTAAAATTCTCATGTTAACTCATTCACCACTTAAGACACATTTGAACTCTTCTAATTCAAAGGTTGGAATAGTTCATTATGAAATTTCAGGGGTGAATGAGTTAAGCTCTTCTCATAAGCTCTGTATGTTTTCCTTGGTAAAAGTGATGATTTCAATGTGGTTAATTAGCCAAATGTCAGTCAGGTGGTGAAGTGCACAACCCATAAACTGTTTTGCTAGTAACAAAGGCAGTAGCTTTATCTGTCAAATACATCTATCGGCTATCTATATATGGATACAGTATTTGACAGACAGAGCCTGTGATTTGAAACCAAAAGTGACGGTAAAAAATATAAATGATTATAAATTGAACAGACCAGTGCACCCTTACAATTTGTATGCATGTACATGCATGTATAAGGCTCTGTGATCAAATTAAATGATCCATACAGATTAAATGTCATAGCATTGGTCAAACTGTTGTAAATGTAATTATAAGCATAGAGAGATGCTGAAACAATTTAAGTTGAAGAAGGGAGAGAAAGAAAAGATAAAAATCCAAGGTATTGCCTACATGTAATTCGGAAGTCACTGAAAAAGAAAATGTAGAAATCCCCATATTAGATGTGCTATGTATTACTTTACCAAGAAACTTATCTGCACGTTGGTACTGTTAAGGGGTTGGTTATGATATATTGATGGTTTGCATAAAAAAGAAAGAAAGAAAAAAATAATTCTGTTTCAAAAATATATAGTCAAATTTATAATTGATTATAATTACAGCTGGCCCTGTCTCCACCAATGGTTGGAGACTCGCCCACAGAAACAGATGTGTCCAGTGTGTAAAGCCGGCATTGGCAAGGACAAAGTAATACCAGTATATGGCAGGGGCTCCAATAACCAGCAGGACCCAAGGTACATGTAGATCTAAGTTCCACTTCAAAAATTGATCTTTTGATGAAAAATGTGTATTCTGCACCACCAGGGTGGTCGGGTGGTGCACTGGATAGCGCACTTGCCTTTCACCAAGGCGACCGGGTTCGAATCCCTGATCGGACGTAAAAAGGTGTTGGGGTCACCTGCCTGACCATGTGGGTTTTCTCCGGGTACTCCTGTTTCCTCTCACAATAAGACCCCCGCACGCTAACATCCGAGCCACCAAGAATGATTAACATAAGTTGAAATAACTTGTTTTATAATTGTTGTAAAATAAATAAAATTTACATTTATATGCATTCTGCACCTATCAAAATCTTTCTTATAAAATATCTACAGTGTATTTTGAAGTGATATTGTCCAGTACTAGCTATAGTATCTTAGTTTAGAAATCCTGTAGACCCTGATCATTTACAGCTTATAACCCACTTGAATTTCTTGACTTGAATTTCAAGCTGATCTAAACAAATTAAAATTATATCATATCTCATACTGGCCAAACTTATCATATTTTAGTCGGATTTAGTTTTGAAAGCTGCAAGAAAAGGTGATGATAAATTTACAAAAATAGTCGGGGGTGGGGTGGGGGGGAATGTATTGAATCAAAGGTATTATCTTCAATTGTAAAGGTGATGATTTATACATAAAAACTTAGGAAAAAAACCAATTTCCTTTCATCATATAATAATCTTTTTTTGCAGAGAAAAACTGCCACCTCGACCAGCAGGTCAAAGATCTGAACCAGAAAATCAAGGAGGGGTAGGTATAGAGAAAGGACACAAGAGTTAATCAGACTGGAATATTTAACCCTTTCACCCCTATGTAACTTTAGTAGACTCTACCATGCATTAATCTGGACGAGTCCATTATGGTCTACAGTGGTGAAAGGGTTAAGGCTGAGAGATGCTCCTGTAGATGTTAAAGAAAAAGATACCACGGTTAAGTTGTCATAAAATCTTGATTTATCAATCGTTAATGAGCATGGTAATTATATTCCAATGCATACATTTAAGATGGGTAATTTACGACCTGGACACCTTGTGAAAATGAAGAATTTCCAAAATAACATTTTCTAAAATAAACCAACATAATCTCCTTTATTCACACCTACGAATCATGTGTAACACTAGTCTTGCCTAAGTCATTTCATCACACGTCCAATATGTAGAAAAGTTCTCGATAAGTACAGCCATGAGAAAACAAAATGATAACAATGTTGTTGTTTTTTTAACAAAATATAATTACGGTATCATCCCCTGCCGGTCAAAAGAAAACATACATGGCTGGGATATTGAAATATTGCGTTATCTACCTATTTGACACAGTCAATGACAGACATATAAACTAATTTTGATTGGTTTTTCGGTACACATTTTCAGACACGGGTTCCAATAAAAATTGAGTTGTGTTTGGGTACTCACGACAGCCCCAATATGATTAACTACAAAAATGCTGTAGAATCATTTATTTTGTGGGGTTAAAATTCTGTGGTTTTCACATACTAGACTGTTTTAAGGACACTATATTTCGATGATTTCTGATTGTTCCCTATCTATATCATATCAAATTTATGTTTTAGTGGGGATTTAAAAAAAAAAAATTGTGGAATTTTGTTGTCCATGAAATAAACGAAATTTAATGTCCCACGAAAATTTATGATTTTACAGTGGTTATTTCTCTGTATTCCCAGGGATTTCCAGGTTTTGGGTTCGGAGATGGAGGATTCCATATGTCATTTGGAATTGGTGCTTTCCCCTTCGGAATTTTTGCCTCAACGTTTAATTTCAATGATGGACGTCCGGGTCCAGGTATGTATAAGTGACCATTCTAGGTCATTTTACCACCACATACAATATACATGTTTATTATTTACCTCTTTTCACTCAATTTTTCAAAGCATAGTTCCTTTCCATCAAATTTTGTTCAATTTACCACTTTCGGCATCAACAAAATGAAACAATGTATGACTGCAATTATGTTACAATCAATGAATATTTCAAAAAATGTTACAATCAATGAATACTTCAAACAATGTTACAACCAATGAATACTTTAAACAATGTTACAATTAATGAATACTTCAAACAATGTTACAATCAATGAATACTTCAAACAATGTTACAATCAATAAATACTTCAAAAAAAATTACAATCAATAATTGCTTTCAACAATGCTACAATCAATGATTCACTGATTGGTTCAAACAATATAACAATGAATTAATGATTGGTTCAAACAATATTACAATCAATTAATGATTGGTTCAAACAATGTTACAATCAATTAATCAATGGTTCAAACAATGTTACAATCAATTAATGATTGGTTCAACCAATGTTACAATCAATTAATGATCGGTTCAATCAATGTTATAATCAATTAATGATTGGTTCAAACAATGTTACAATCAATTAATGATTGGTTGAACCAATGTTACAATCAATTAATGATTGGTTCAAACAATGTTGCAATCAATTAATAATTGGTTCAATCAATGTTACAATCAATTAATGATTGGTTCAAACAATATTACAATCAATTAATGATTGGTTCAAACAATGTTATAATCAATTAATGATCGGTTCAAACAATGTTACAATCAATGACTGCCAAATAGATTTTTAAAAACGTCACAGTCTTTGACTGTTTGAAACCGTGTTAGAATCAATTATTGTTTTGAAACATGTTGTGGAAAATTGTGAATGTTTCCTTGTGAAATAGATCAATATTGTAGTAATATTTCTAAAAACAATATACAATTCATCTAATAATAAATTTTGATATTTTGTTGGATAGCTCCCCCTGGATCACCACAGAATCGTGAGGAACAGTTTCTGTCTAAAGTATTTTTATGGGTAGCTATCCTCTTCATTTTCTATTTACTCATTGCATAGTCGACCCCATCAAACACATCATCAAGTACCTGACCAATTGTCAAGCTGATATCTGTCTAATAAAGTGTTAACAGAAAGTGTTTGAACACTCTACCACTGAGCTACAGGAAAATTCCCTGAAGCGCGAAGCTAGAAGATGACCGTAATCCTATGTACAATTAAAATCTGCCACAAAGATTACAGAGTAGCTACACCTAACTTTAAAGAAGTCGATTTTACTGTTGCGCTGTCGCATAATTTTTGTTATCTTTTTAAATCTAGTGTACAGGTATCAACCTTAAGATGTCACATAAAGAGCCTTTGATTTCTGGTGACATATTCCAAGGGCCTGTTCGTTTATAAAAAGCGGTATGACAGTTTATAAATGTAAGAATTCCGGGTATAAATTCTGGCGGACCTGCAAATGTTTATGCAGGCCTTGCAAGGCTTTGTCAAGGCTCGCCTGAAAGCAGCATCAGATTACTAGGTCCGATCTTATTTAATAAACAAACAACTGTGGTCCGACCGGTTTGGCCGTTTAAACAAAAAACGGCCCAAGTGTGAAGAGAAGATATGTGTATCGAAAGACAAACCCTTCAGTATGGAGATCAGTGTTGGTATGTTTTCTTGACTACCCAAAGTTGGTGGGTGCCAACAGAAAACATGAAATCCTGGATTGGTATCCATTTGTCGTTTTGTGGTGTCAGTGGTGCTGACAGATTATGTCTGTTGCAAGTCCTAAACATTTATCATATAAAACCCATTTAGAGTAGATCTCATTTTGTGTTCGTCAGATACTCAGAAATCGGAAAAATGTGTTGAGGGTGTGTCCTACCTATGTTGTTGTACCAGTAGGCACAAAATCTGTGGTCGTGTTGTTCAAAACTTGAATCAGCTAGACAGATGTTAATAGAAAAAATCATTGAAATTTATAGCTAAAACTGGTATATATACTGAGGAATGCCACAATGATCTGATAGTGAATTAATAAGCTGCAAATGTAATGGTAAAATTTAAGGTATTTTGGAAAAAAATGCAAGTTTGATTTACTTTACCCTTTCACCAATGTAGACCATAATGGACTCATCCAGATCAACTTCTGAAAAAGCTGACTTAAGTCATGTGCAACGTAGCTGATTGGTTGGGTGTTTTTTCTTTTTCATTTTTTCTCCTTTATGATTTCTTAATCGACCTACTATATACCAAATCGATTTGCTACATTTTGGAATTGACAAATTCATATTGTAACTGTTTATTGCAAATATTATCAAATCATAATTTTGATTGACGATGTAACCCTTTGAATGCAATGCAATTTTTATTTATTTACATAAAGTTGCTTGTGTTTATGATGACTGTCACTCTAAGAGCGACAGGTAGATATATTGGTCACTCACTAGGTGATTGCGTACCAAATCATCTGTTGCATACTGCAAAAAAAGGTACCAGTATGAAAAATTATTGTAAATGATTACAACCAAACTGTTGTCTGAGGAATGTGGAATATTGATTAGCACACAGATTTCAATTCTGGTTTTGAATGAGATATGTGCAACGTTTCAGAGTTTGTCATTAATCCTACCCGCTCCGTTTGATGTCACTCATTAATGAGATTGTTAACGTGTTACAATTTCTTATTTCATGATATAGGAACTCCAAATTAGATTAAGTTTAGTTGGAACAATTCCTCTTTTTTATAACTGCAATATTAAAACAACTGGTTCAGGAATCATTTTCTTTGTAGATATTGAACACCTATTTTTACTAGCAGTGTTTATGATTTTCTCAGCAAGTGTATGAATTTGAAGTAAGAATTGTGTAAAACAGCTTAAGATATCATTCACAAGTGCATTGTAATTAACCTTCAGTGTTGAGTCAAAATCATTTAAGTTTTTTTTTATTTTTTTGTCATGGTTGAGCATTTTAAGACAGTATTGATTGAAATATTTGGAGATATTCCATCAGTGAATTTTTGTTTACGTAAAACTTGTGTATGTATAATTGTAATGGCATTTTCTCATACATCATTCAATAGATTGCATTACAGTGAAAACTGACAATATTTCTGTAAAGAGAATATTTTTTTGTTTACACAGGACCCATTTATACTGGCATATATGCTGTGAAACTTAAATGATTCCACTTAAACAAATGGTCATAAAACATTTGTTTCAGCTACATGTACCTGTATAATTATAACTTCAAATATAAAAGTGGTTTGTATCGATGCTAGATTTTCATAGCAACAATTTTAAATCATTAACTCATTCACCCCTGAAATTTTATAATGAACTATTCCAGCCTTTGAATTGGAAGAGATCACATGTGTCTTCAGGGGGTGAATGGGTTAAGGACAAGACAAAAACTTTTCAAAAATTTCTTAGGAGTCAGACTCTCTGTGAGACTGAATTTGAATAAGTATTTAATTAACCATCTATTTATGAATAATAGATATCAGTTCTTCAATAAGCTTCAGAAAGCTGTTAACATTTTTCATATTGGTACATCCTTCCGATTCAAGATATATGTAATATGTCTAAATTAATTTGTATACCAAGTGTGTTGTACGTATTGTGATTGCCTACAAATGTTACATGTTTTTATATGTTGGGAGAAAGTACTATCAGACATATAACTAAGGTCTGCTCTTCAAGAGCAATAGAGTGTGTTTAACTGATTTTATTGACAGGGTGATTTGATGCTGTAAACCACAGGGGCTTGGCACCAATCCACTTCCCAACATTTTGTATATTATAGATACATATATATATACAGTGTGGAGTTCGGGGTTGATGCCATGCCCCTGTGCTGTAGATACAAATACATTTATACAGACTGTGGAATTGGGGGTTAGTGTCATGCCCCTGTGCTGTAAATAACTTCCTATTCCAAAATGAAAATTTCACTTTTGAACTTTAGAAGGCAGTACCTAAGTTTAATATTTAACAGATCTAGAATTTCAATGAAAACGTGGTTTCATTATAAATAGGAATAAAGTTTGCCTTGGTTTGTTGTATGCTTTGATACATCTTCAAGGTAATTATCGAAGTATGTGTGTCTGAGGCCATGATATAAGTGATATTATTTAGATATTAAAATAACGAATTTATCTCTACTCTGATAAAACCAGTGAAATCGCATGGAAGTGAAAAACTAATCTTCTAAATCTATTTATACTAGATATATTGCTACCGATATGGAGAGTACTCGGATAGGCATATAGCCTGTCGCTGTATCCATTTGTTGAATTTATTTAACAAAGGAAATTTGCGGAAATCAAATTATCTGTGTGAACTATTCTGTACCTGATATTTGCTCTTCTGACGAGAGCATCAGCATTTCATTCTAAGGTTACTACATGTGACTCTTCAACTTGTTTGTCAAAATAAATGTTTTTCACGTTTTCCTTCAAATGACCTATGAAGCATGAGAGAAAGGAAAGAGAAATTTCATACTTTGACATCAAAAGTTTATAACATCAGATATTTATGTAGTTACCATTCCAAACTAAGTCTTGTAGTTCTTTCCATGTCTGTTATAAAATTGTTTTCACATTTTGTGTGGAAAAAAATGGGAAATAACACTGAGAATGATGTTTCTGTTCTTTTTAGAGGATCTGTCATAAGTTTCCCTTTATATTAGATTTACGATACAAGTTATGGATTTTCAATGTTTGCGAGCCTCTGGCGAGTATCATCAATCTAATATGAAGGGAAACGAATGACAGATTCTTTTTATCATATCGTACAAAGTAAACTGTATAGTTGTGATCTGAAACGAATATTTTTGCACTTGGCCTCTTCTGAAACGATGAAAATGGCGTCCACTTCACAATGACGTGACGTCACATTGATTGTTCATATTTGATTGTGACGTCATTTCCGGAGTGGTAGTACACACGTTACATAAACATAATCTATGTGATGGCTTTATGACACTGCATAACATGGTATTCATATGATAAATATGAACAGTAAATGTGGAACATTTGTATATGAGGACAATATTTATGTAATCCCTTTTCACTGCATTTCAAAATTTTCAGTTCTGGGAATAACTACAGTTATAAGGCAATTTGCTTAATATTTCTATGTAAATTTTGTAGTTTCAAGAAAAACATCTTTCACATTTGATCTCGTGTAAAAAAAGACTTCTATAAGTAAATAAATCGTAGCTATCGGGAGAGAATGCAGTACAAATTTTGTGTGGATGGTGTACACGGTGTACCTTTGGTGTACCGGTATGTTGTAATACTGTGGCCAATTTTCCATTATATAGAGGCAATAGGCAAAATAATATATTTATTAATCATTGTTTTGTATTGATTGTTGCAAATAAATCATTCAAGAAACGTTTATCAGCATTTAATTGTTGTTTTATGTGTTGGACCTTTACAGTAAATTTTTGTAATGCATTTAGAAAAGTATGAAGTATCAGGATTTGTTTGACCTACCCCCCGGTGTTCATGCTCAAACCTGCCTGTCGACAACAACATCTGGCTCTCTCACAGCTGATGTGGTGTACGTCGGATAATGCACATTTTCATTATGTTGCAGCTTTGATATTTTCATTTCCCTCTTACCTACTCATACTCTTTATGGCAGTGTATTGAAGGTCATAGATGCGAGAGGGATAACAGGTGAGAGATACAGTCCAAATGGGCCTCTTGTTTATTAAAGGTCATTGATGCGGAAGGGAAAACAGGTGAGAGATACAGTCCAATTGGGTCTCTTTGTTTATTTAAGGTCATTGATGCAAGAGAGATAACAGGTGAGAGATACAGTCCAATTGGGCCTCTTGTTTATTCAAGGTCATTGATGCGAGAGGGATAACAGGTGAGGGATACAGTCCAATTGGGCCTCTTGTTTATTAAAATGTCATTGATGCGGGAGGGATAACAGGTGAGGGATACAGTCCAATTGGGCCTCTTGTTTATTAAATGTCATTGATGCGAGAGGGATAACAGGTGAGAGATACAGTCTAATTGGGCCTCTTGTTTATTAAAATGTCATTGATGCGAGAGGGATAACAGGTGAGAGATGCAGTCCAATTGGGTCTCTTGTTTATTAAAGGTCGTTGATGCGAGAGGTGGTCCTCTTGTTTATTAAAGGTCGTTGATGCGAGAGGCTTATCAGGTGAGAGATACAGTCCAATTGGGCCTCTTGTTTATTCAAGGTCATTGATGCGAGAGGGATAACAGGTGAGGGATACAGTCCAATTGGGCCTCTTGTTTATTAAAGGCCATTGATGCGGGAGGGATAACAGGTGAGAGATACAGTCCAATTGGGCCTTTTGTTTATTAAAGGTCATTGATGCGGGAGGGATAACAGGTGAGAGATACAGTCCAATTGGGCCTCTTGTTTATTCAAGGTCATTGATGCGAGAGGGATAACAGGTGAGAGATGCAGTCCAATTGGGTCTCTTGTTTATTAAAGGTCATAGATGCGAGGGATAACAGGTGAGAGATACAGTCCAATTGGGCCTTTTGTTTATTAAAGGTCATTGATGCGAGAGGGATAACAGGTGAGGGATACAGTCCAATTGGGCCTCTTGTTTATTAAATGTCATTGATGCGAGAGGTGGGCCTCTTGTTTATTAAAGGTCATTGATGCGAGTGGGATAACAGGTGAGAGATACAGTCCAATTGGGCCTCTTGTTTATTAAAGGTCATTGATGCGGGAGGGATAACAGGTGAGAGATAGTCCAATTGGGTCTCTTGTTTATTAAAGTTCATTGATGCGAGAGGGATAACAGGTGAGATACAGTCCAACTGGGTCTCTTTGTTTATTTAAGGTCATTGATGCAAGAGAGATAACAGGTGAGAGATACAGTCCAATTGGGCCTCTTGTTTATTAAAGGTCCTTGATGCAAGAGGCTTATCAGGTGAGAGATACAGTCCAATTGGGCCTCTTGTTTATTAAAGGTCGTAGATGCGAGACGGTAACAGGTGGGAGATACAGTCCAATTGGGCCTCTTGTTTGTTAAAGGTCGTTGATGCGAGAGGGATAACAGGTGAGAGATACAGTCCAATTGGGCCTCTTGTTTATTAAAGGTCGTTGATGCGAGAGGTGGGCCTCTTGTTTTTTTTGATCATCGTTCAGATGTTTGTGTCCCACTGCAACATCTAAGGTCATGAAGATGGTGTCTGCAGATATTTCATAATCTGGACACAGCAGCATGACACTTCACCTTGGTCACATTTGGTTAGGATGTGTCAGAATATTGTGACCAGGTGATCATGAAGTGTCATGCTGCTGAGTCCAGATTATAAAAAGTTCTTTGTGATGGAACTTTTAAAGTGGCTTCATTCTCTGCAGATACATGGTACCATCTTCATGACCTTAAATGTCAGATGTGGTTCCCAAGTTTGGCTTCAGTAGGATCTCTGTAACATTGCTCTAACCACTACATCTGACTTTGTTGGTTCACAGTGTTAACCAGCCACTGTGTATCGCTGTATGGTCCCCATCTCTGTCCTCTCCTGAGATGCCAAAGCCAACAAGTAGGCTCTGCCTGCTTGCCAAGTCTGCGTATGGCCGCTCGTCTCTGGTGTCCATTGGTCCCAATGCTCTTGAAGGGTCTCCATACCATACAGTCTGCTGGGAATCCCTGCCATCCAACTTCTACAGGGAACAGCCATGCTTTCCAGCCCCATTGTCTGCATATCTCAATCAGTTCCTGGTACTTGGAGCTCTTGCACTGATGTGCCTTCCTGCACCATTCGGCCCATGGAATGGTCAACTCTACAAGTATGATTATCTTCTGCTGGGATGACCACAGTACTGCATCAGGCCAAGTGGTAGTCTGAACGATTGATGAGAAAACCATCTTCTTCCCCAGGTCGACTTACATTTTCCATGATGCTCCATCTAAGAGACTAGTTTCTCCCACACCTTAACAAACTGAACAAACTCAGGTTTCCTTGATGTAATGCAACTTAACAACCAGACAATGTAGGTCATTGTTCCATAATCTCCACACAACTTACACTCTGAGGATTCCACCAGCCCCCTTTGCCAAGTTAACTGGAGATGGAAAAACATCATAGACGGACCTCAGTAGGGATGAGATACAGTAAGGCTAGATTCTCCATATTTCCTGCCATGTCGATTGTCTTTCTGGCTGTTCAGGAGTGTCAAGGTTCCTTGCTTGCCCAGTGATACTGTTCTGGCTTTCTATATCTCCTTCCCCGCTCTTCTGATCTCTCCTTGAACCATTTCTCTCTTTTCTTTTGGTTCCTGCTTTGCTCCACTCTCTGAATTTAGTGCTGTTGCCTAGCCCTTATCTGCCACCACTACATACATTGCTAATGATGTCTCGAAACTCTTCTGCTCTCTTGATGGTGCTACTGGCTGACCATTTTCTGCTGGTTCTTGTAACCACTCCTGCTCTTCAAATTTTCTCATCTTCCAGAGTCATCACAAGTCGGCACTTCGCCACTTTGAACTCCTAAACCAGTGATGTTAAGGGCACTTCGCCACTTTGAACTCCTAAACCAGTGATGTTAAGGGCAACTGTAGCTCGGATGTGTGACTGAATAAACCAATGGACCTTAGCCATCTTAGGAAATTTGCACTGAATCTTCACTCCATCATTTAAACAGTTGTCATTGGAAACTTGTACAGCACCAGTGGCAACACCACCCTCAGCATCCAAAGATGTACTTGCATACCAAATCTGGTTACTCCAGGTAATGGTATATGATTTATGCTCCAGACAAACCTTTCCAATGACTTGAGGTCAGAGGTCAAAGCATACATCACAGTGACCTACTTTTCACACACTGCACTCTGCCATCATGTATTTACATCCTGAATCTTGTTAATCTTGGTGAAATAGCAGAGAAGATATGCTGTGGACACTCTTTTTAACTCATTCACCTCTGACATTTTATAATGAACTATTCCAACCTTTGAATTGGAAGGGTTCAAATGTGTCTTCAGGGGTGAATGAGTTAAAAGGTTAAGGTCAAAGCATAGGATACAGTGACCTGTTTCTTGTTTTCTACACTCTGTGATCCAGAGATATACTTGCAAACAAAGTCTGGTTATTGTGAAATAAATGATATAAAAGACATGCCCAGGACAAATTTTTCTAAGGTTAAGTTCAAAGGTTCTCCACCATCTCAAGATGCACTTGCATACCAAATCATGTTACTCCAGGTGAAACACATTATGTAGTATAGAAAATATGTCCTGGACAAATTTTCAGACGAGGAACTGATGGAAGAACGGACGAATGCACCGAGTGCAAACCTGTAATCCCATCTGGTAACTGGTGGGGGAATATCCCACTGGTAACTGGTGAGGAATATACCACTGGTAACTGGTGGGGAATATCCCACTGGTAACTGGTGGGGAATATCCCACTGGTAACTGGTGGAGAATATCCCACTGGTAACTGGTGAGGATTATACCACTGGTAACTGGTGGGGGAATATCCCACTGGTAACTGGTGGGGAATATCCCACTGGTAACTGGCTGGGAACTAATAAACTGAACACAAAGACAAATAAAAGATTACAGTACACTTTCTGCATGATTTAATAACATAAATTTTTCAAATCTTTTCCAATATCTTATTATTATTCCATATCAAATAAATACCTGTCAAGTTTCAGGATGGCACAAAACACTTACTCTTTATTAGGTAACATTGTGTACTGCATATAAAACCAAATTACGATACGAATTGCCATTAACTAATAAAGAGAGTTAGAAGTTATAACAGAGATTGATGCATCCATTTACTAGTGCGGACAGCTTTCCAGGGGTAGCAATTAGCCAACTAGAAACACTAAAATGGATTTTCCTAATTGAAAAGAATATTTAAATTTCTGATAATATTTATGAAACAATTCTACATATGATAAGTTTCACTTTTACATAATTCTCCACCTGATTAGAGCATTTCCCTGTTCATTGTAACTCTTTAACATAATAAACGAACAAAAAATCTATTTATCTATCAAGCTAGAATGTATCGGGTAAGTACTACAGTGTGATGTTTCCTCGAGAGGACTGAACATGACCAGAAGGAGAGTAGCAGGGCCTCTAATATAAGTTCCCTGTAATAGCCACAGGGTATTTTTCCAGTTAACTGAGAGCATTGAATTATGGAATATTAAGCAAGGAAGAGTACATTCAGAATATTAATTTCATTTTATGGAACTACGACCCAAAACAGCTTTGCTGGTACGAAATATATAACTATCCCCTGTCCGTACGTAAGATTGTCTTTCTATAGTATTGAACAATAAGTAAATCTTTTAACAGTGTAAGCAAGAACTGATTTAAGTTGGTTAAGATTATGGTACGATACGGAGAAAATCACACACGCAGTATTAGCACTAAATGGGCATCAAATTGAAGAAGTATAGATAAGCCAAGCCCATGGTCTGTAACAAACCCTTCAATCACATTAGTGAGTATCAAGGTTTCTGGACACAAGCTTTTCCTCTGAATATGGTCAAATTCACAAGTAAGCCGAGCACCTGTATGACACCTTTTCTATTATGTACTAGGCTTATCACAGATATGAAAAGCTCTGCATCAATATTCTAATATATTTTCATAGATGTGAATGGAAAAATAACTAAACAAAATATCTTTACAATTTAGCAAATATTGAAAGTACAATTGTGATCTTCGATTTCATTTCTAAAGAAAATACGGCCTTGACTCTAATGATTCTTAAAACATCTGGATGAACATATTTAGGAAATGAATTTATTAAAATCTAATGAATCTGGAAAAAAAGGGGTTCATGGTCTATTACTACAATTTTCTCTAACTGTGAGGTTTCATCCTGGAGAATTACAGTTTATAAAAACTGTACAACAAACTAAAACACATACCTGTGTATCTACAAAGCAGTCTAAATGGGAGGGGGAGGGGTGAGGGGTAGGGGGTGGGGGGCAACAAAGTGTTGTAATCTATACAATTTTTACAATACCTGTCGTTTTATATATACATGTCATTCTGAACCAGAACGTTATCAACACACAAATTCTCTAAATAATAGTTACAAATAAATAAATTTGAAAATAAAATCTAAAAATTGGCAACAAAAACTATTAAGGCAAAGACAACCTTAAACGGTTATACAGATGTAACGTCCAGTGAATTCAACAATATGTTCTTTATACATGATTTTTACAATGACATCTGTGTTTTCCATCAAATAAATAATGTTCAGTGCTATCGTCATATTAAGGGATATTTCAACATTGGGTAGGTCGCCATAAATTATGAAACTGCTTCTTAAGCAAACTCCTGTGTTGTCATGTTTGATTCTGCCCTAGTATTTAAAATAATTACTCATTATATTAACAACAGATTTTCACCTTCAATTAGTTTAATCTGCATGAAACAGATACAGTGGTCTATTTTTTTTTAAACAATTAAAAACAAAGCATGTTCATAAAGAACTTTTGGAGACCTAGAACATTGGTTGGTATGCAGCTGGCATTATTGAATATTTGTTACAGGTGAAGATGTACTACCAGTGAACAAAAACCTGAAAAGTTTGCAATAAGAGAGGGAACAGTGAAATATTTGATTTGAAGATATTGGCAGAGTTATATATCTACTATGCCTAATATATCTACTATGCCTAAATGTCCTTTTAATTTTTTTTGATCAGCTGTACCATCATTTTAAGCAGCCATATGTGTTTTTATATCATGTTTAATACAAAGTTATCTACGGGAAAATGTTTAATTTTCAATCTTTATTGGACCTGTTCCAACGCAGCAAATTCTTCAGTATAAATGACGACCTTGATGATGTGTGTTACAAAGTTAAATTATAATTCTGTCTTCAGCTAAAACAGATATCTACATCTATACAAACGTGTCAGTACTACCATGACACTTCATCAGCAAAGTTTTCATATCTAAAAGAAAGAAAAAAAACACGCTTTGAATAAAAAATTGTTCAAAACTATCTTTGGAGAAAAAATTTTGAAAACAGCTGTTAGAAGTGAATTGAAAGAAATTACATGCACGCACAAATTGGCAATACTTATTTTAACCCTTTCACCCCTAAGTAACTTTTTTAGACTCTGCCATACATTTATCTGGATGAGTCCATTGTGGTCCACAGTGGTGAAAGGGTTAAATACATTAAAAAAATGAAAACTAAGTTCATTTTTCTCCACAAATAACCCCTCATCCCTGAGTTTGCATAATAGGTTTTGCTGTCTCTCAATTATGGTTCAGTCCATTCATCCATAAGGGGAGATGAGGTTATTTTATCAACAAAAACAACAAAAAGAACATATATTTTATAACAATATTTGAAGTCTCTCTCTCTCTCCAAAATACTTTTTTTTTATAGACACACAAACATAAGCTTATGCATTAAATAGTGACAAATATATGTGAGACATAAAAGTAACTTCCCATTCAGTACTTAATAAACAATTGCTTTCATCATAATATACATATGTACACCTTTCATAATGGGACACTACCAAATTACCTCCCTTTACTTTGGAAGATTTCCATTGGAAACTCTTTGTATTATAAGATATGTTTGAAAGGAAAGAGACCGCATTGCTGGAGTAAGTTTGAGTGACACAATCACATTTATATCAAATATTTATCATAAGATGCACATTAAGTGTCTTCAGTTTTTCTACTGGTCCCAATTGGTCAAGCTCAAATTACTCCAACGACAAGTCAGCATACATAAACATATATATTTACAAAGCATATCGAGAATCAGAACTAAAATTACATATAAAGAGATTTTAGATTATCATCCAGAAAAACACTTGTAAGCTTTCAGATATTTCTTAAAAATCGCCTTTCGAGAATTTGGGTCGGTGTGCCGTGACGTGACTCGAACCCGCAACCCTTTCCTTTAATATCTGTTCAGGTTCAAACCACTGGGCCCAGCTTTCTAATGATTTTACCTCAATTTTTTAGTAAGATTATCTATAGTCAATCGTCAGGGGCATACAATCTCATTTGTTATGTACTTGCCTACAGGGAGATTTGGGGAACAATCTACCTACACCAATACTTCTGTAATCAATATAGATATATTTACTGGCCCGATTACAAAATATACTAGTGCGGGCTGTCGGGCTTGTGGAATTGTACACCCCTCCTGATCGTACTTATCAATAGCAAACTTGATAATACAAACTTTTAAAAAAGGTATTTTATTACCTAAATGTAAGTCGGGCTATCCAGACCAATTATTACCAGGCGCCAGGTGCACAGATTTAGTTTTCAGAATTGATCAATATTTTGCCCATATAGCTGGCTTCTTCAGGTATCCAGACAAGTGTCCCTCGGCTCAAATATCCTCGGTGGCGGCTTCAAAACATTACCTCTCAATATTAGTTGTGATTTTGTTCAATAAATTGCTTCAAAATTTTGTTTTTAGTTGAATTTTATTTTAGAGTGCATTTCTCTGTAATATATTTTAGGACCATCATTATATTTTTTCTTTATATAACAGATTTGATTGATAATAAGTCAATCATGGACTGACCCAACTTGAAGCGATTCCCTGTTAAATTTCCACTGTTTTACCTTTAAACTAATGGGTTGAAAATTTGACAGGACAGAGTTCAATGCAATGAATTTCATGACATTTGATAAAAAAAAATGACATCTAGGGCCTATTTGTTTATGTGGACAAACCGGTTTATCTATATTCAAATTTAAGAATTCAGAGATAAAGCCTCACGAACCAACAAATGTTAATGCAGGCGTTGAAAGAGTTTCCCAAGGCTTGCCAGAAAACAACATGAGATCCTAAGTCTGTCCCTATTTCATACACAAACAACTGATCAAACTGTTTGGAACTTTATAGATTAAAGCAGTCAACAGTTCAATAGTATAGCAACACTAAGGCCTCTTTCGCATATCCGGTTCAACCAGTTGAAATGGTTGAACCTGGAAAGAAAACAATAGGCGCAGATCTGAACTGAGGCTGACCACAGGAATATTTGGCACATGTAGATTGAGGGGTCCAGACGTACCTGACCGAAACTAAATTGTTGACTATTGCTAGTTTGCGTTATTTCTTTATAAAACAAGGTCATACCAGATGCAGATTTTAAGATATGCTATATAATTTAGTGGACGCGTGAAAGAAGGACATAATATTCTTGATATATTGTTATTCATTCTCCAAAACTCTGCATTTTTTAGCTCTGCCTATAGTTGGGTCCATGTGCCTTCGTTTATCGTGAAATATTTCTGCGCCACTTGAACCGTTTCAACCCGGAATACGCGAATGTAGACTAATTGGTGAAGATCAGTAGTTAGGGGAGGTAATATGGTCGCTTCCTATTTCATACAGATGAGCATTAAAGACAAAAACTTCAAGAAACAATAGCACATCAAACACACTTTCTTAAAATAACGAGTTCTCTATTTCCTTTGCTCTCGTAACATTACTGGCGCTCTGTTGTCACGTCAATGTTTCAATCTCTTGCATGTATCAACACTTTCAAAATAAAATATCATGCCCCTCAGGGACAACCCTATTTAACTTCCATCAAGGAATTTCTTTGGCAAGTCTGTCAAACTTGCAGTACACATACACATGAAATTTTAAACAATTTTCAAAATCAAATATTTTTCTAGATTGCAATAATTCTGTTTGAATATTTGTTAACTATATATATATATTTATATACACACACATATTTTAACAAAATAATCAGCATAATCAGCATTATATATACAGGTTGTGAAAATAAAATCGGAAAATAATGATTCATGTGAGATGGCAATGCAAGTGTTCAATTTGCTGAATGTTTGGAAGTACCCATGCTGACGGAGTCCAATTTTGACGAGACACAGAAAAAATCTAAAATTATTGATATACCATGCGAGTGATATTTGATTCCTTGGAGAACAATGTGATCATGAAAAGATCGCTAATTAATATTGACAGAAAATTGTATCTAAAGCATTATCCAAACAAGTCTTTGATAAGTTAGAAGACAAGCCTTCAATAAATTATTATAACTTGGACTTGTTTCAATATATATTAAAATGTGTCTGAATTTTCATGTAGAATATTGAAAATAGTTCAACTTGTATGTTATCCATCAGATTGTCTTTTTTCAATCCCAAGGCTGTGGTTTTATGTCTCATTCACACGGTCCGTGGAATAGTATAAAATGGTCAGCTGTACTTTACACTTAAATGTTAAAACATTACACATATTGTATTAAACCAAGATTAAGTTTAATTTCTGTACAATCATAAATTAATGCTGACAAATTTAAAATGCACTGGAATCGGAAAAAATATGAGGCAGATTTGAACACCCTCACACAACATTGTTTTAAAATTAACCCTTCCATCACTGTGGACCAAAATTGACTCATTCAGATAAATGTATGGTCGAGTCTACTTAAATAGCCTAGGGGTGAAAGGGTTAATAACATTCACAGGTACTTTCATTCTTTACACGTGGCGATTGAGCCTGGCATGGTGCATATAATTCTTTCCACACTATGCTATAAGTTCCTCATGAGACGAAGCTTCACCGACTCCACACAGTTATGGCTCCAATCACCGCAACTCATGCAGTTCTTTGCAGAATAATGTTAAAAATCACAAGATGCTGGCTATGTCCAAACCAATAACATGATAACAAATCTGGTGTAGACACATGATTGTAGTGTAGACAACACTACGACATGGACATATAACACACGTCCCCTCCACAGATGTTGTGTAGGTAACAGTCTTTATCAACAGTAAATTAAAATCATTTTGCTATCATATAAATACATTAGGGTGAAGAAAATAAGCAAAATTCCTCAATTTGCAACTTAATTAATTCATTCGTAGATGGGGTGGTCGGTTCTGACTTCCTGGAAATGCCACTTGCTTGAAGGCAGTATTTTTGGTTGCTATGGCAGGAGACGTGGACCTCTTTGTGACAATTGGAGCTGTGGTATCCATGTCTTCTAGATCGTCTAATCCATTCACATCCGATGCCACACGGAACCCTTCCACTAGGGACACCTGGTGAGGGCTGAAAACATGGACCATTTCTTCATTAATTCATTATCAAGCCAAGTGTAAAATTAAAACTGGCTGTGTTTACAATCAATTTTGTGTGTATCCATATTTATATACTAACAGTTGAAAGCTGAAATACAGCGAAATGAGCTTCAATGTCACAGAATTCAGATAAAAAATCTCCTGACAGCACCAGCCCTATCAGCAATGACATCTAAAACTGATTCTACTACAAGTATTTATCGGACCTGTTAGGTAAACTTGAAGCATCATATTAAAGGCTTTGGAAAAAGAGACCTACAGGGCTACACAATAATTTTTAATACCACTAGTTACTTGGGCTAGCACTTTTCCAATTTTACTGGTCCATGTGCAAATAAATACACTAACCAAATACTAATCAACATGATAAGTAATATCAAAAATTTACTAGTTGATCGGGCTAGCAGTTTTAAGAACCACTAGTCGAGCTGGAGATTTCACTAGTCTCAGACTTGTCTTACACTATTGTCTAGCCCTGAACCTAAAAGAGTTGCTACTCTTCTCAAATCAAAAAAGAAAACTATCAGACAGATCGTTTCCCTACCTCATTCCACCAGTCCAGCTGGACCCGACCTTTCGTGGTGAACGGGGCTCTTTTTCTGCTATCCACGGCTTGTTGAGCTCCTCCAAAACGGATGGAGCTACATACGTGAAACCCTGACAACAACAAGGTCGAGGTCATTCCTATATCATTCTATGCTAGTGTCATTTGTTTCATTATAGATTATGTATGACTTTTATTTCATCTTTAAAGATCAAAGTCATTAGTTTTGTCATTCAATGTCAAGGTTATTTCTTATATGTTTTTTGTTCAGGTCGTTTATTACACCATTAATTTTGAGGTCACATATTTTTAAATTTTCAAAGTTGGAAGTCGCTCACTACATGTTTTGAATTCCAGATCATTGCCATTTATTTCATAACTCAAGGTTATGGCAATCGCTTGGTTTTACCATACCCTTCCAACAACATAACACACATTGTGTTTGGAATCAAAAGTGTTCAAACCAACTGGGATTCCATTATATCCTAAACAAGGCAAAGTATTATGAACGCTTGGACTCTCAGATCAAACTTCAATATCGGAAAGTTAACAAAGGGCCATAACTCTGTAAATAGCAGGGAATGCTTTATTTCAGAATACAACACTCTGTCAAGGGTACTCATAAATTAAATTTGACAAATATAGGTGACAGGAGTATGATAAATTACTGGACAGAGCAATTCACTGACTGACCGACACGGGGAACTAAGAAGTAGATTTGCGATTGGCAGACAACTTACCAGGAACACTTGATTGGCACTTTCACTGAGGACGGTGTCGTCTGGAGAGTCAACTGGCGTCTGTCTTGTGAATTTGGTGTCAAACTGACTGACATCCTCCTCGTTCATCTGGTTGTAAAAGAAATTATGCTATGTTTTAAAGTGCTGTGTATTCACAACCTAAACTTAAGCTTGAAGCAGGATACAACGTTATGTCTGCCATAACAGCTGTATAAGCTTCATATAACTCCCAGATGATAGGTATTTTATTTTTTATTTTTTACACTGTTGATAAAGATCATGAGACATCACATCACAACCATATTTACCCTCATGTTGTGGGAGAAACAATACATCCAACTAATGATTATTGATAATGATTTATATTCAAGCTCAGGGGTTAATTTTGAAGTGTCACCTACTTGAAGACCATAAGGTCATCCTTCAAGAATAAACTTGAATTGACATAAACTATTATCATTACTGATTTTGACATCCTTATATATATTGAGTTATGTTCTAATTTAATCATATATACAGGAATTAATTGAATTTATTTTTAAATTCCTGAAGATATAACTCAGTCATCTCTTCATCCTATTGAAACAGTTCTTCAACTCATTAACCCCTGAAGACACATTTGAACTGTTCCATATCAAAGGTTGGAATAGTTCATTATGAAAATTCAGGGGTGAATGAGTTCATGATAAATCAAAGCACTGGCCAATGGGTCTTCTCCTCAGTGTTTTGGATGTGCCTTGAATTTGTTTAACTGTTTAAGCAGGGTGAACAACTGCTGACTAGAAGTAACACTCTGACAACACTTACCACAGACGACTAGAAGTAACACTCTGACAACACTTACCACAGACGGCTTAAATGGCGGCTCAACTTGCCTCTGAATCAACTCATTCCAATCAATGTGGCGGAAGAATGCATGATGCTAGAAAATTAGAGCAAAATAATTTCAAATACAACCAATGATTTCTATTATAGACTTCTGTATAGATATTAATCACTGCTTGATACTGGTTTTAACACTAAGAGTATATACATTTATCACATAATGTACTTTGTTATCCAGTGAATATACCCATGTCATATTTTTTGGCTTATAACCCGATGTAATATAACCTTTCAGCCCTGTGATTTGTTGTAAGTTTAAATTGTTTCAATTGTGGCGCACTGAAGTCAAAATGGCAGCTTTTTGCATTTCAAGGTTGCATGAAAATTGGCGTTTTACACGAATAAATGCCAAAAATCTTGATAATGTGATAAAAAGGACCTTACACTCGATTTTTTTTTCATATGAAATTTATGAAACTCGTCACAAATTTTTCCTTTTACCTCGCCAGAGGCTCGCTAAATTGAAAAATTCTTAAGACTCGTTTCATAAATCTCATATGAAATGGAAACTCATGTAAGATCCTATGTATATACAGAAGTACAAACCAAAGACACAGTAAAACTTGTTCAAACCGATAGGACATGTCTGATACGTATACCCCTCCTAATTTAAATAGATCATCTTATCGTTCCTGCCATTTCCTTAATGCACAGCAATATCAGCATACCATCAGGGGACCTCCGAACTCTAGACAAATGCTCTAAACATTTAACTCATTCACCCCTGAAATTTTATAATGAACTATTCCAACATTTGAATTGGAAGANGTCTAGACAGATGCTCCAAACATTTAAGCTACTATCCAAGGCCATCGACCGAGTCCAGTTAGGCTACATCTCTCTACCTTCTATTTCTTTGCCCGAGAAGACAACACTTTTTACAGGGTATCCCCTTGACAAGCATACACCCAATACTTGAAACAAGGATTCGTCACAGGCACCACTGTAACAGGGGATGAAAAAAACATGGCCAAATTCGAACCTGGAACCTCCAAACTCTAGACGATCATTCTAACCATTTGTATAGTAATTTACCCCAAATGTGTTGCAGCAAATGCCCGTCCCAAGTGATCAATGTATTGTTCTGGTTTTTTTCTGAAAAAAGTCCTACACATTTATAAGAGCAAGCATAGCAGCTATTATTACCTTAAGTGGTTTGGCATCATCGGATCCTCCACCGAGTCGGTCAGCAGGAGACTTCTTCAACAGCTAGCAAAGAAAACATTTCCTTATTTACATGATAAAATAAAGAGACCAAATTTTAAAACATTAACCTTCCCGAAGTTTCATTGATGGTGTGAGCAGTGGACTTTTGCTAATTCGGACTGAATTGTCACGTCAGAACTGTTTCGAATCTACACCAATAACAGATATCATAGTGAGGTCTTTTCCATCTCAACATGATAGACAGCTTAATAATGAAATCGTTAAATCTTTAGAGAGGACATTTTTCTGTGAATATTTTATCGACAACTTATATACCACTTAGTTTTCACTGTAATGTTATGTCCTAGCTTTTTTCAACAATGTTGCAAAAATGTCCAGCTCCAGGCATTATTATAAGATCTAGTTAAAGAATAAAATTAGATACAAAGATACAAAGAGTATCAACTTAAAATATCGGAGCATTGTTGTTTAGACAAGTACAAAACAAAACTGAATTGGAGGTATACATGATAACCGTGTAAACTAGAAGTCAGAAAAAAAAAAGAAAAAAAAAGAAAAAAAAAGTATTTGTTTAGTCAGATAAATATGCTCTGGTCACTCTTTCAAGCTATTTTACACAGGATAACATTAATTTCCTGATGAATAAATAACACTGCACAAACGTGAAGCTGTATACAGTGTAGTAACTTTGTAATGTTTTAAACACTCCTTACCCTTTTGATGAGTCCTCTGGCTTCGTTTGTGAGGTATGGAGGTAAACTTAGTTTGGCTTTTAATATCTGAGGGGTAAAAAAAAGTCACATTTACAACATAAATTACTCTGCACTGGTTATAAAGATTACAAATAGTGAAACCATTCTAAAAATTGTGCTGTTAATTCCAGAAAACTTGATATACCAGACCCAAATTGTATATCTTTTTCATTTGAGCCTGTAACAATCAAAACACACCTCTATTTTTTAATAAATATATTTGTGGATGTGGGATTTTGTATCGACAGGTTCATGGATGTTGGATTTGGTATTGACAGGTTTACAGATGAGGGATTTGGTATTGACAGGTTCATGGTCGTGGTATTTGGTATTGACAGGTTCACAGATGTGGGATTTTGTATTGACAGTTTTACAGATGAGGGATTTGGTATTGACAGGTTCATGGACGTGGTATTTGGTATTGACAGGTTCATGGATGTGGGATTTGGTATGGACAGGTTCATGGACGTGGTATTTGGTATTGACAGGTTCACAGATGAGGGATTTAGTATTGACAGGTTCACAGATGTGGGATTTGGTATTGACAGGCTACTTGATGTGGGATTTGGTATTGACAGGTTCACAGATGTGGGATTTGGTATTGACAGGCTACTTGATGTGGGATTTGGTATTGACAGGTTCACAGATGTGGGATTTGGTATTGACAGGTTAATTGATGTGGGATTTGGTATTGACAGGTTCACAGATGAGGGATTTTGTATTGACAGTTTTACAGATGAGGGATTTGGTATTGACAGGTTCATGGACGTGGTATTTGGTATTGACAGGTTCATGGATGTGGGATTTGGTATTGACAGGTTCATGGACGTGTGATCTGGTATTGGCAGGTTCATGGAAGTTGGATTTTGGTATTGACAGGTTAATGGACGTGGGATTTGGTATTGACAGGTTCATGGATGGGGGATTTGGTATTGACAGGTTCATGGACGTGGTATTTGGTATTGACAGGTTCACAGATGAGGGATTTGGTATAGACAGGTTAATGGACGTAGGATTTGGTATTGACAGGTTCATGGATGTGGTATTTGGTATTGACAGGTTCATGGACGTGGGATTTGGTATTGGCAGGTTCATGGATATGGGATTTGGTATTGACAGGTTCATGGATGTGGGATTTGGTATTGACAGGTTCACAGATGAGGGATTTGGTATTGCCAGGTTCATGGACGTAGGATTTGGTATTGACAGGTTCATGGATGTGGGATTTGGTATTGACAGGCTCACAGATGAGGGATTTGGTATTGCCAGGTTCACAGATGTGGGAATTTGTATTGAAAGGTAATAAAAAGGATGTGGTGGGATTTGGTATAACATTAAGTTTTTGGAAGGGTGAAAGTATCACTTAGCAAAATTTTCCCGGTAAATAGTATTGACAGGTTCATGCACATGGGATTTGGTATTGACAGGTTCTATTTTATTGAAATTATGAGAAAAATTTAATAATACAATGAAAATCAATTTTGTCATCAGTATCCCATACACATGATTACAATCTTACCTTGTCTATTGTTTTCTTTCTATTTTCAGCTGTAAATGGAGGCTGAAAAGACAAAATAAATAAATAAATTTTACAATTTCATATCAATAAAAGAAAAATCATACTGGATTTATCAATAAATTAATTGACTGGATAAAAGGGGCTGTTTTCATTTTTTTGGCCTAACAGCAAAAATTATATTGAAATAGTAGTTATGATCCATATTTTCCACTGCAAATTGATCACGTAAAACATTCAACTGTTTCCCAAAGACATCAAACTGTGGTCCTGAGTATACTCACCGCCCCAGTCAACATGTCGTACATGAGTGCCCCCAGACTCCACCAATCTACAGCCTTCCCATGGCCACTCCTTGTCAGTATCTCTGGAGCCCTGTAACCATGGTTATCATATGTATTACAGTTGACGAAGTAATATTTTGATTCGTAAACAATAACTGAACACAGCTGTGGCATAATGATCATTTCATCTGTTTTGTCATGTTCTCACTAGTTAAACAAGAAAGGAAAAAGAAGAGGCTATAGCCCCAGATTCAAGTTTTAAGACCTCTCAAAATTCTAGATGGAAGTTCCAACTAACAGTGCACTATACCTGTTGATGCCATATGGTGCCAGCAGTGCTAAACGATTGAAGCTCGATTTTAGCAACTGCTATACATTTTTAATACGGAATTTTAACGGATTGGACAAGCAAATATTAACTGATGTACTTACATGTACTCAATGGTCCCACAGAATGTGTGCGTGACAGCTCCGCCATTGATTGACTCCTTACATAGACCGAAGTCCGTCAATTTTACATGTCCTGGAAATCAGTGGTACAATGAAATATGAAACATATATATGACGCCATCGAACTTGAAGAAAGGGGAATGGGCTCATTACCAGGTACCCACCCTATGCAAGGGAAGTAAGGAAAAGGGGGGGCTTATTACCAAGCATGGGCTATCACCGGTAAAATATGGTCCGTGGAACTATTTAGGGCTTCTGCGAAACTCCCAAACTCACCTAATTGAGTCTATTTCGTGACGTATGTAATGCAGTTCATTCCGCAAAACACCTAACTACTACTGAATATATATTTAATACATAAACTTTGCCTTTCATGGCTGGCAACTGGAACAGCCCTTACCCGATAGTACTCATGGATAAAGATTGATACATGCACTTTTATTAAGGCTTAAAATCAAAAACATGAAATTATATTAGAAATGCTGTATTGAGTTATATAAATTAAATGACAGAATTTCCATCTTTAAAAGGATGTCTATTAATTCCTAAATTATGACTCATAAAGGCCTACGTATGTCTTATTACCAGTTTTTGTATCAAATAACATCCTATACAATGGATGTGCTCAGCATCATCAACATATTATGACAGTAAATGACTGAAGACAACTCCACCATACCATTAGTCATAAACATTTTTGAAAATCATGGAGGTACTTACGTAGTATATTACCCATTATTATTTAAGACTGCTATATCAGGTAAATGACTTCACCTAATTATCTCAGTCATATTAATGTAAAATAGTTCTCACTTACCTAAATTGTCTAGAAGTATATTTTCTGGCTTCAGATCCCTGTAAATGATTCCCTGAGAGTGGAGATGTTCTATTGCTAGTGTGATTTCTGATAAATAAAAACTGAAAAAGACAACAACAACAAATTCAATACATGTAGTATCAAAACCAACAAAGAAGATTTCCAGTTGTATGATTTTTAAACTTTAATTTGCATAAAGTGATAATCAACACCACTTACACTTAGGCATAACCAAATGAACAAAATAGTGTTATTTTTATATATAAGCACATAGAAAACGTAGTAGTGTCAAAAAGCACCTGCTCAAAACCACCAACAATCACGTTTTATATTAGTATATAAGACTTCCGAGAACATTCTGAGGAAGTTAAGTCAAATTATTCTGATAGTTACCAAATTTACAAAGTAAGACAATGGGTGGAGCATTGGAATGAAAGAAAGGAGGAAATACTTACCAGGCAGTGTCCTCCATGAAAATGCCTTCCCGTTCCAGCTGCATGAAGAGTTCTCCGCCGGGTAGGTACTCTAAAATTAGGTACAGCTTTCCTCCCGTTTGAAACGCATAAATGAGGTCCACAATGAAAGGATGCTGTAAAATAATAGTGAAGGCATTCAACAAATATCATCATGGATACTGAATTATAAGTAACATGGTTATACTACTGCTATTTGTTCAGGAAAATACTAGCATCATAAAAAGGGGTCCAACAATACATATAAACCTACTATGCAGCAATCCTAGATGTTAATTTTCGAAAAAAGATTTCAGAATTTTTCTAAAATCATATTGTATTTTTCCAACTATAACCCCCCCCCATGCAAGATTTGTCCACCTGTGTCAAATACAGTTCAGCTAATTACTTACAAACGAAAATTCCCTGTCCTGCAAATAGCCCACCCTCTACCAAGACTTGGGCCCCCAGAGCTACTTCTTGGAGTATAAATCAAGTAAGAACAACTTTAAAACTAGTGAAACCTTTTCTTTTCTTTCATCTTTTGTTCAAAATTTGATATCATGATGTGATCAAATCATTATCCACCAAACAACACTTGTAACTAAACCTTTGTTGCTATATTGAAGTCTTGATCTCATTGAATATTATAAGACTCTAAAATGTACAGGGGTGTAGGATAGGGAAATTCCACCCGAGGGGTTTTCAAATTAATTAAAACCCCAGGCAGTATTTTTCTCTCATTCCAACTACCAGAATAAGCTCAGAAACTATGAAAATGCGTTTGGACTGGCCACCATTTTGAAAATATCAATTTTTCCCCCATGAGGTTTTTAGACGAAAACAAATTAGCAAGCCAGATTAATCATATCCCATATTTGCAAACAACGTTTGCACAGAAAAATTAATCACATCTTTCTAACGTGTAAGGTAGATATATTGTGAAAGGTTTTGCTTTCAATACATTGCCTTTTACGCAATGCGGCATCAAAGAGTTCCATATTCGTGACGTCACGTCATTGTTGAGCCATTGTGACGTCATGTCACACGAAATGGGGTGTAAGATAGAAATTTCCTACACCCCTTTCTTTCCCTGGACAGCTCTATCTTACACACAGGGAAATGAGAAAGAAAACTTACCTTGACTCCTTCTAATATGTTCCTTTCTGCTTTGGTATGTGCTGTGTCTTTGGCATTTCTTGCAATAGTTGCCTATCGACAAAGAAAAATTAACATTTAGCATCCTCTTCGGTATCATAAAAAGTTACACATAATAAAATGTATTGTAAGGAAAATGTACTCATTGCTTAAATTGTTTTATATACATTCAAAGTTACCTTTAACTCATTCACCCCTGAAGTTTCATAATGAACTATTCCAATCTTTGAATTGGAAGAGTTCAAATGTGTCTTCAGGGGTAAATGAGCTAATGACTAGATGTTTGTATGAAATCATAATAGTAAGATCTCCCTGAAGTGTCCTATGTAAGAAGACATAGGTCCCACATCAAGTAGTTCATCAGTACCAACTCAAAATAAATTTCTGAGAAAAAAAAACATGCATGTAGCTCACCTTCTTAAGGACTTTCATCGCAAATATTTTGCCAGTATCACTACTTGAAATTTTCCTGACTTGAAAAACCTGGAAGGTAAAAAAAAAACAATCCATAAAAATAGGTTGTAATGTAAACCAATCAGCTTTTCAGACTGATTTTACATGTTCGGAAATTCAAATATGTACAAGTGTCTTTATTAATGCAGATATATATACCGTAAAAACTCGTGTAATTTGCGCACTTTTTTTGAGAAATTCAATGCCCAAAGTGGGGGGTGCGCAGAATACATAAATGTAAGCAATTTCAAGTTTTTTTCATGAAAAGATCGACGATTCTCGCAGACCGCCATCTTGGACACGAGATAATCTCCCTCGGTATACAAAATGAACTTCAAATATAGATAGAGTGATGCTGGTTTGGAACCAACCTTCTAACAAAAGTACTAAAATCTTCTAATGAAGTGATAATTCCCAATTTACATAAAATATCTGGGATGTACTAAAATACTAAAACTGGGGTCCCTAACCTCTGCTCTGTTGCCATGGACACCCTTGAAAAGTTGAGTTCATGTACCAACAAAATAGTGCTGTTGATTTTTTGGAGAAACCACAAACTCTGGGCTCCACATGCATGAAAGTATCTGATTTCACAGTAGATAAATATTTGTGTTTTCCACGATCTTGATTTCCTATCAGCAGCAGAAGGATACGTTTAGATTTCAGCTTTATATGCCCAAACAATTTCACAGATAAATTCACCATTGTCACCTGATAATTCAATGCCTAACGGCAATCTAAAACATCTCTGAGACATACACCTTATGATTTGACAGAATTCACATGTGTTGAACCGCAATGATTAGTTTCATTTTTGTTCTGTTTTGGATTAATACCAGTGAGATAGCAAAGCATTTGAAATACTTAGATGCAGATATTGCTAGCTATTACATCGGAGGTCAGTAACAAATTTAAGCCTGTTAAACTCATGATCATGGCAAATTATCCTGTTAGCAGCTTTTTTGGTTTTGTGTAATATAACTTACCTAGGCTGTGGAGACAGGTTTTGACCTGCAGTTTTGAACTTTTGTACCAGTTCAGGGCAACAAAAGAGGTCATAAAAATTAATTACGGCTGAATAATGTTGGACGATATTTTCATGTCTAACACAGAGAATGCCATGCATTTTGAAGCTCAAAACCAGTAGACTACCAAGCCTGAATATCTGGGAGGGAGAGGATACATTATCAATATTTTCCCAATCAGAAAGCAACAGACATCTTTTAAAACAGGACAAATTATCACTCATAAAACTAGGGTGTTGAGTAAAATTGAAGATAACAGTTGTATTTCATTAAAATAACTGACCTTTCCATAGCCTCCTTTTCCTAGAACCTTGAGTAGCTCAAAGTTCTTGGGCCCGACCTTCAGCTGACCTGGATTGACCGTGTTTTCGGTCAGTTCCAGCGTTTCCATGCCATCGGCACTGCAGAGAAAATTACTTTGTTATTATATGGGGTCAATAAGATCAACAATCGTCAAAGAGCTTTAAATTTACAGTGCCAAACTGAAAAATGCAGTCAAATGTATATATATGTATAATCAAACTAAACACAATGGACTTCACAGACACATTGTAATATGAACAATAACTGTTTGTCATGTATATATGTCAATATAATTCTAAAGGAAAACTTTATAGATCATAATGTGACTGATCAGGTCAACCATTTATTGTTTACAAGATGTTACTGGTAAAATTGTTGTTTACTGCTATCTATATGGGGAATCTTTTAGTTCAAATAATCTTTGATAATTAATCATGGTCATATTTGCACTTTACTTATAATTAAGGCATGGTTTAATTTGTTCTCAAAGATACATTCTACTTACTTTATATCAAAACCTCCTCTTGTAGCTAGACTTGCCTGTGAAGAAGAAAATAAACACCAGTATTACATATAAATTTCCAATCTGGATGTAATCAACCATCATATTCCAGCATCTACGTACTAGTTATCAAATTAATTTACGAAGGTGATATAAACATTAACCTGAACTATTCAAATACATACCTAAAACCCACAATCACCTATATATCATGCGATAATATACAAGTTTCTCTTTCATACATTTATGAAATGGGCTTGGATAGGCTTTGCTGAGCTAAGAGAGGTTAAGGAGGAGTTCATATACCTGTGTGAAATTTCATGGTTGAATATTTATTATCACACCACAAAAGGGCATATAATAAATTTATCAACTAAAACATCACTGCATCTGTGTACTTGCCAACTTTTTGAAATTTCCATGGCTCAAAATTATAGCATTTACATAAATGAAATCTGTGTATATACACTAGGGGTGTCACAATACGTCAAGAGTGTGTCACGATATACCGTAAATTTGCAGGTATAGGTATCGCACTTAGGTATAGTGCACAGGTACGTTTTTGGGGTCAGATTTGAAGACAAAAAAACACCTTAAAACAAAACATCGTTCTGTTGCTGAAAGAACACCATGCTTTCATTTTTTAAACCGGTTGTGTATTTTCCAGATTTCAATGTAAAACGAAAAATGGTGCTTGTACCAAATCCATTACATCTATAGTCTGTACTGAAGTAGCAAATTATGAAAATATCTTGAATATATTTATGAGTTATTACAGAGAGGTGAAATCGTTAAAAATATTGCAATACAGAATGAATATATTGCGATACGTATCCCGATATATTGTCATAGGAAGGATGTGCTCGATTTTCTAATAAGTTGTTGTCAGAATGTTATCAAACTTAATCATATATAATATGGATCATACAGATTTAAGATTTTTGTCAAATTAAACCAACCATCGATTACAAAATTTGAACTAATTCCCACCACTATCAAAAGCCTGTTCTATGCATATTGGCATATCTGTTAGAATTTGTAAATTTAAATTAATTACCAAGCAGAATGAGAAACATAAAAATAAACTTTGAAAAAAATATTGCGATACAGCAATATTTCATCTCAGTATTGTATATGTGGCACAATACGATATACCTGTGTATTGCGATATACCTGTTTTCCGATATATTGTGACAGCCCTAGTATATACCCCCTAAAGACAAAATAACCCTTTAAAATGACATATTTTGAGTTTTTCTTTCACATGATTTTTATTTTTTTTATTAGATCTTAGAATTTAGGAATAGTTTAGCAAATTCACTGGTTGAAAATGCTAAATTTAAGGGTAAAAAATCGGGAGTCTCCCTCCTACGTGTAAATAGGGAGGGTTGCAATCGGCAAGTATCCATCTGCTCAGTTAAAGATCTTTTATTGATCATAAATTATTATCATTAATTAATTCACTCATTTTGTAATTCATGTTTTGTACCTATAACCAAGTGCGAGATTAAAATTAAGACATGTTCATTTACATTTATGTTCATGTAAATAAGAAGTAAATCATGTGTATGTGACAATAACAGATATATAGTGTACATATATATATATAAGTTAACTGTCCAATATATATAATGTCTGTAATTGGTTACTCCCTTAAGTAAAATGATTTCTAATCAGAAAAAGGATAGGTAGTTCAATTTTGGTCCAGGTTAAGTTTTAAAATAATATTTCTATTCGTTGACTAATAACTGTAACTGCAGGGACATGCTATCGCCAGGTGAAATCTTAAACTCACTCACCCCTGAAGACACATTTGAACCCTTCCAATTCAAAGGTTGGAATAGTTCATTATGAAATTTCAGGAGTGAATGAATTAATTATCATCACCATTTAATCTCTGCAAGATTAGTTATTCAGGACTTATAAGCTTAAACATAGGAAATAAAATGAATAAATACAGTTTTTCACACCAAAACATAAAATTCTATAAAAATGAAAACAGGACAGCTTATGGTTAAATTCAGGAAACAACCTCTCAGAAAAGTTGATGTGCTCTAGCTCTACGTACGGTAAACACTTCCTATATTTCACAGGCAAATTCATTTTCACCCAATTCTAAATTTAAACTTCACATTTCATTACTCTAAGTTATTATGTTGTTAATAGGAGGCACGGTAGTCTAGTGGTAGGACACCGGGCTCGTGACCGAAGGGTTGCGAGTTCGACTCTCGTCACGGCACTGTGTTGTATCTTTGAGCAAGATACTTTACTCTGCTTGTTCCAGTCTACTCAGCTGTAAATGAGTACATGGTTGGGTAGTGCTAGAATTGTAGAATGCTAGCTGTGCATGCTGAAATATAGCTGTATGCTCCCCAGGGAGTTGAGAGATATTGGATGGTTGCAAAGGCCCTATAATTATATAACCACGGATATTAATTTGTGAACCGCTTTGAGACGACCTACGAACTAGGTTGTGATAAAGCGGTATATAAGAACCTCAAATTATATTATTATTACTAACAAATGTTTGCTGTAATGATAAATTCGCCCTCATGATCATGATTCCCGGTATAAATATTATGTATACATAGAACAGCTCAGGTAGCTAAAAATGTGATTTCAATTTATTTTCAGAATTGATAAACAGACTTTTAATTATCATAGTTTTATACATGTATGTACTTCATGTTTTTGTGTATTATATGTTAATGTTGTAATGACTGTCATCTACACGCATGTAGCATTTGTCTTGTCTGGAATAAGCAGCAGGTTGCTCTGTAAATCTGAAAACGAATGTGTCTGCACTTTAAAGCTCTATGCTAATGGGATAATAATCATTGCCACATCCACTTTCAAACTTCCCTTTTTGGTGACCATGAATAGACACTGAGGCAGTGGTTAGAGCCACATGCACTGGTACACATTTATTATTATTTATTGGTTACTATATATATACATCAGGTGTGTGGGCAGTGATATTTTTACCTCATTTTTGACAGGGTCTGTTCCTTGTGACTTTGAGAAAATATCACACACGAAAAGCATGGTTTGGGAAAATAAAGTCATTTTTGCATTTATTTTGGGGAAAACAGCAGAAACTTTCTAACCGATTTTTTAAACCCTTTTTGGAACCCATAAAAGTTTAACCAATTCACCCCTAAAGACACATTTGAACCTTACCAAATCAAAGACTGGGCAAGTCTAGTTTAAAAATGTAGGGGTGAATCGCTTAATCAACTCTATCTGATTATTACACTCCATTCATCAAAACACACAAGTTTAAATCAAAACATTGTATTTTAAGCATCCCGTACCACTGCCAAAAACTGTATCTACAGTAGTATTAGAAACTGCGTTTACGGCATGGCTATAGCTTCGATAAACCATTTATAAAAGAAGAAAAAAAGGGTCATGCGGGCCGGGACTTTTAAGAGAAATAATAAAGACAAAATGAACAAATAAAATCAACAACAGTTTTTGTGTATTAAACTTCAGTCAGGCTAGACTGGGATTTGAACCGTGGACTTCAGATTGTATATATACTGTCACTTTAACCCCGGTGTACGGAAGCTTAAGTGTCCTGGCCGAATTGTCCTACAGTTAGATCCAAAGGGAAGATATTCCATGGGGAGGCTATAGCTACTCAGTACTGTATAGAGTAAAAGAAATAAAATAGTGGGACAGGGATCTTAAATGCACAACAAACACTTAATCATGCACACTACAATTTGTGTTACTATTGACGAAAACATGATCATGTTGAACTATTTCTTATACTTAACAATCTTGAATGCCAATGATAACATTTTGACCTGTTGTTCTTTACTGCTGCAGATAAACACACTAACCTACATGTTTCTAGGTCAATTGTAATTCTACTATAGCTGTTAAACAAACGTCAAGTATTTGTTTCCATGGCCTGGGAACCCAGAGATAAAGATGGTCATAAATAAACTACTGCTTCAAATTCTACTAAATGGACCAGTTCCTAAACATGATAATGATAATTTTTCTTTGTTGAAATGTTATAATTTCAGTTATGAAAGGGGCATACAATGTACATGATGATGTGGCCTATTACTCAAAACGAGTTCATGGACCTTGCCCTTCCTTATCACTTACTGCCTTGCTTTAGTTGATTTTCTATTAAATTATATATAGCAGTGGCTGATGCAGATCTTAAAGGGTTTACAGCAGGGTTTCATGGGCTGTCCAGTCCGGGAATTTTCTTTAAAAACAATGTATTTCACCCTTTTTCCATTTGGAACCCCTCTTCCTCCTACCCTGGAACCTAAATGATCTAAGAATAAGAATAGGTTCAAGACCAGAAATTTTGAGGACTGGTTGAAATTAAACTCATTCACCCCTACATTTTTAAACTGGACTTGCCCAGTTTTTGATTTGGTAAGGTTCAAGTGTGACTTCAGGGGTGAATGGGTTAAATATAATCCATCTTAATATTCAGAGATCTGGCTGGTCAATCTAAAAAGTCAGTCAAGTGAATTCCCAAACCTTAATTATCATATATGAAACTGAACATACAAATGACTGCAGATCATTTTCACAAATGACATTTTAAATTCTTATATTTCAAGCAGTTTTGGAAATCAATAGTTAATCTCTCTGTCAATGACATTCTAAATAAATGATTTTAGGTTATGTTTACTAGCCCTTGCTGAAATCTACTTGTCTAATACTATAGTGGACTACAAGCTAATGTATTATCAGTTCGAAACCCTAAAGAAATGGTCGTGATCCTCAAATGTATTATGAACATATGAAATTTAAGCAAAACACTTGCAAACCTTTTGAAACTGTCATGGAAAACATAAATAAAATGTGTGCACATGCCCCTTAGAGACAAAGAAGTTATCCTTTAAATTGACATATTTTGAGTTGTTCTTTCAGATGAAATCATTAAACCTTAGAATATAGGAATAGTTTAGCAAATTCACTGGTTGGTGATACTAAATCTAAGGGACCAAAATCAGCAGTCTCCCTCCTAAATAGCTAGAGTTGGCAAAGTCTGAAACAATCAGGAGATTACAATCTATATATATACCAATAGTAATGGCGAATGCATCATTAATCAATGCATATTGCATGTATAGTAATTATTTAGCAGTTCTGAACACCAGACAGGTGACCTGTGAACTGAATATGGTAGCATTGACCCATCCTGGCTACTCCAGGGGTTACGCTCACTTTTGCTCTGTGCACCCCTGTCATAGTAAAATCAAAAGGCTCAGTGTGTACCTCCTTGTTGATTAGACAAGATTTGTTTGATCCTTTGATGCACATCAAAAGAATCTTGCAGACTCGTGTAACGGTAAGATTAACTAGCTTTTAAGTTGGGTGTTGGTCCTCTGTAATCTTACAAGGACAGATATCAGGTTGTGTTTTAAACTTTAAGACAGTATTTCCTGGAAATCATTTACCTTATTTCCTGCAGAATAATAACATGTTACAATGAGATGTAGGGCTAATGATAATTTGGCACAAATATAACAGTTTCATGATACTAGATGATATATGTTACTTTTTTTGTGTACAATGTACTTTTCAAGTCAATTTATACCACCATATATAGTGAACTGTACCAACACTCTTTTTGGGAATATTTCTTCCTTTTTTTTATTCCAAAATTTCTTTCTTCAAATTGAGAATATTTACTTCTCTTTATGGCTTTTTTTGTGTATGATAGCAATTTTAAATGCGAGTATCTTCAGAATTTTATTTTTCTAGAAATTGTTTGATAAGTTTAGGTTGGTGGGGATTGCTATATATCAGGCCATATCCCCCATAGAAAGTTATAAATATTCGACAGCAAACACTTTTAACACTGTTCAAATTATTTTAACATGTTGATAAAAATAATCTGTTTTCCTGTCCTATATTATGTATTTAATAAACCACCTGCATATCACACTGAACAGCGAATATACATACAAAAATGTATTTAAATTTCAGTCTCTTGTGATGATTGAGACATTCTATTCAAAATCATTGTCATGGGTGAACAAGTCTTACATCAATGTTATATTATAAAGATCATGATTCTATCAGAAATCGATACATATTTTGAATACTTGTCTATAAATAGATACAATGTGTGATCAACAGGCGGGTGTCTACTAATAAAGTCTGACGACATCAAGTGATTCCAGGAACTGCCAGGCAGCGGTAAATATTGAAATAAGTTTGTATCAAAGTATTCATTTAATGATGATGATCATTAGTGAACCGAAAATCGAAATTACTGTGATCATATGTGAACCAGCCCGCGCGAGAACCCATCTGTCAAAGCGGAGACCACATGCTACGTCGCGGTATAATAGTCTACCCAATGTACAAGACCAAAACACAGTATTCACGTATACTTATGTACAAATTACTTATCCAGGAAGAATAAATAATTTACCTATGTTATGACCACTCCACAAAGTTATAAAACAAGAAGCTGAGTCAGTCCCTAGCAATGGACAAAACAGTTATCACAAGGTTTACCTGATCGTCTGGTTCGAAGTATTCATCATCAGAAATCTCTTCCTCCCCTTCAGGGGTGTCGTGTAACTCCAAATCAAAAACTCCGGCCATATCGCCACATTTGTGTCCTTGTATAAAAGTTTTGTTTCAAACTGCGATCTTGAAAGTAGACTTCTACTTTACTACGTATTCGTTAGTCTTACACTACGCCACAGCCGGGAATCTTTCCGAGGGATTCCATATATGACGTCAGATATCACATGCATGAAAACCCACGACATATTTTATCCAATAGGAATACTGCATAGCGAGGGCGGAAATGTACTGTAGTTGTAAAACCCTTTTTGATTGGTTTAATCAGTTTCAGCCGGGAATTCTTTGAACCATTTTCGGCATATTTACGGTGCAGACGGAATAACCGACCCCTATTATTTGCATACCACAGAATTTTAACATGAAAAGAGATTTTGATCTGTATCAAAACGCAGTGAAATATTTCGACTATATATCGTGCTTTTCGTATGTAAGCTATCCATTTTCATTAAATAAACAAGAAAACCGTCATAAATCAATCATGTTTCTACTGAAAAATAATACGACATCTAATGCAGCTAAGGTAGACTGGCCCGTCACTAATATGAAATAGGTGCGTGAGACCTATACTATAGTCAGCGGGCACACACGAAAAGACAATTTCCTGCATAATTTAACTGTTTCATTTTATTTACAGTCGGTAGCTATAGTATAGAATAGTTAGAATCCAATCCTTGCAGAATTCAATGGAGGTACCATTCTATATANTATATTTACACCATTCGGAAAAGAAATTCCATGCCCTTCATAACATTATAACACGCATCTAGCAACACTTGTTAATAGTAATGTCAAAAAAATAAATATTGATCTGTTGGATTGCCTCAAGAAATCAGAAGAAGGTAACAGTAGCTGTATCGAGTCAAAATAATTTTTAGCATTAACTACCGGTCTATTTGTTTGTTTTCTTCAGATGGTACCGTTAAGTACTGACATGAGTATAAGAACGAAAGCAGTTTATTTACACAATTTTTTTAGACTTTAGTCTAGTGTTTGTCAATACACGCATTCAAAAGAATCAAAGGTCTTACTCCAGAATTAATGCTTACATTTTAACAGTAAAATTTTGTATGTAAATATACAATTAGTATAATAATTACATTACGCAGTACATATTGAAAAGATTCTACCTAAAGACAAAGAACATTCAAAGACAAGAAAGTACGGAGGAATTGTTACGTCTTGAAGAACAGTCGAATATCCAATAATAAATACATTTATAAAAAGAATTCTGACCTATGCCTTAATTTGGTGTTGCTCTTGAAACTACATGTATTTATACTTGCACATGTCAGTTATATGCCGAAATATCTTCCTATCCATGGCGCATTTCCACTGTTTTTCATTCAATTATTCTGATGCCAATAGTGATTTCACAAAGCATATATACACACAATTACTGTAAGAGAATTTACTGCATATTTTTCTCTAAAATAATTTGGTAAAGTGAAGAAGCAGATGGCACAGCAAAATGTGACTTTAAAAAATAAATCATGTTCTTAAAAATCAGGTAACGGAAAGTAATTCAGAAGAAAAAAAATATCTTTGTGTTTGTTGAAAAATTCAGAAAGAAAATTACTTTATATTTGAACTTGTGTTAAAATGTCTTCAGAAGAACTTTTTAGAAGTAACATAAACGCATGAAATACGTACGCTACATTGAAGATATCCATTATGTGTCAATTTCTACAATGTAGTTCAAAATCAAAGAATGTGCACTGAACTGTAGGAGTAAGAATAAACTAAATCAAAATATTCTAAATAATGTGGTATAGCTGCAGAAAATTCGAGTTGGCTTCAGTGAATGTATTGTCAACACTAGATGATGACGCGTGTGAACAGTGACGTCACAGTCGCAATGCAAAATACGTATGCCTGGTAGATATATCCGGACTTATCAGTATCAACTGATGCTGTTTTAAAGCTAAGAACAAATAACCAAGCGCATGTACTACATGGAAACAATTTTCAGCTCGAAAATATCTCAAAATGATATGTGTGACATCGAAGGATTTCATCAGTAACATCGACTTGTAAAACTTGAAATAATGCCCTATTTGGAAAGATAGTGAAAAGTAGGTATAGTCCTTCATGATAAGTTTGCGTAATATATTTTGTTAAGAGATGTGACATGCCTAGGCAAGTTTGTTGTAGCCAGACAACGACGTTTTGGCAGGCTTACGATTGCGACGTCATAATGTAACGCTTTCATATATGGGTTGAACGTTTTTTAAATTTTCATACCGGTATGAACGCAAATCGGTTACATCCATATTGCATGCAGCCCGCCCGCTAGAAAGATATTGGCTAGCTGCAAAAGCCCTTTATATAACCACGGATAATAATTTGTGAACCGCTTTGAGACAACCTACGAACTAGGTTGTGATAAAGCGGTATATAAGAACCTCCAATTATTGTAATTATTAGTATTACGTAGATAAGAGATATGAGCTTAGCTATCACATCATTACTGGCGTATACAAGAACCATTACATTTCGAATCCAAGGACACAATGGACTTCAAATATCACTTAATTATAGATAAAAGTATTTCAGTTACTCAATTTCCTATTGAATTTAACTTATCTGCAATCTATCACCTATATATTTTATCCCTGTTATGTAACTATGCTTTTATACCATGTATAACTGTCTATTTTTAAAATGTGTCAATGTAATTGTGATATGACACTCAAATCTTGAGATAGGTTCAGTTCAATAGGAAATCGGGTTAAAAATATTTAGCGCTTATATTTGATTTAAATTGAATTGAAACCATATATTCAATTAGGCGCAATTCTTTGACTAGTTAGTATATATACATAATATGTTATTTACAATTTGAGTCAATGACAGCGCTATCCTATTCTTGTGTTGTTTTTCGAACCCCCAAATCCAATCGTGTTTTCTACTCTTTACATGCCATCATTGAGGTTGAATAATACAGCCTCTCCTTCTATTCGCACAACTGAATTCGATTTCAAAGATGCAGTGACGTCACAATATTCACGCAACATGGCAGGAATCGTGGTATGACGTATGTTGACTCTGCCGTTGACCTTAGCTTGCCCATCCTATGTTATGCCCCCTACCGCTAAAGCATGCTGCTTTACGAAAAATCAATGATTATGTTGTTAACGCTTAGTAGCATCTGTCCGTCTGCTATGAAGTATCATATGTACTCTAAGATATGCCAACATTATTTCAAGCTAGGATGGATTAACCTTCTACCGTATTGATACAATCTGGTCAGAGTTCCCCCCCCCCCCCCCCCCAGTATATATATCTTGAAACTTGTGTGCAGTTTTGTCCACTCTCTACTCACGAATGATGAACATTAAAATATATTAAATTACCGATCTCTACAGATGAGATTATTTGTCTTAAACTCAATAAATAAAGTCAGCATAATCCACCACCCCCACCTGAAAAAAAACCCCAAAACTACTCGCTGTATCTGTTCTATCCCAAATATCACCATTTTCTTTAGGTTGAATATTTCTGTCCATGAAAATAAAACGATGAATAGAATATTCACAATTTACAAGCTGACATTTTGACATTCTAAAACGACAAAAATAATACAAAAAATGTATTTTAAATGTCAGCTTAATTATTTATGAGTAATAACCATTTTTTTCTGTAGAGTTTTTATGACACAAAAAAAGGAAACATGCTTCAAATTTTACACTAAGGAAATTATCTGAGACTATAAATGCGTTGCAAGTATTAATTCAAATTAAAGGACGGATTTGTATTGTTCGATAATGTCTAATTTAAACTAATTACTCTAATAACAGCATAAACTATTTTACATAGTATCACTAATTCACTTTTTTTTTTCATTGTCATGGAAATAACTCTCCATGTAACCAAAAGTGCTTTTTCTTTATAGAAAATACATTGTTGGATTACATTGTCAGATCAGAGATTTATATATAATATATACGTCTCTGGTCATATTATATCTTTGAGCTGCGATATGATTATCCGCATATGCAAGTTGCGTTGGTAGAAAGTAATCCGGAACTAATTTTCGAGACCCATTGGGTGCCCCTTCCAACGTCATACCGTCTTTGGCGGAAATTCATACTTTTCTATTTTCATTTTTAAAGAGTTCTGTTATATTGATGCACTATTAGGAATAAAAATATGTTTAGTAGAATAAATGCTGTAGTTGGGAATATTTTTTTCGAATGTTGAATAATAATAAAAAAAGTGACTATTGTTGTTTTTAATACAACATTATGTTAAAAGTGTTGTTAAAACATGTATTTTGAAAAAATAAATTTCAGCAGAGGTTATCGCGACGAGCCATTGCACAACAAGCATGGCGGAACATGCGGGAACAACGGTAAGTTTAATTTTCTTCAGGACACGTGGACATGTCAAATTTCCACCAATCTGTATAAATAATAGCTTAATTGTATTGATTTTTCTTTCAGAATGCTGATATACTCAAAAGATTTTCCCAAAAAGTTTCTGTATCCAGCACAAAGGAGAGAATCGGCGTACTTAACGATGTGGCAGTGATCGCTGCAGCCCCCGGTAAGTTGATGACATTTGGAAATAACAGTGCATTAAGTCACTTTACATCGCTCTTATATTCTTTGCATCCATATTTGACCAAGAAAACGATGTAAACATGATCTGTATACAAATAAAATTAAATATTATTGCATGTTAGGCAATTTTTTGCTCATTTTTTTTTCAAACTGAGGGGTGGTCTCAAAAATTTCAAAAGTGACATTGAGCTATCCCCGTGTTTTATATGCCTAGACGCCAACTTTTTTCTGTTTTATATCCGTCATGCATTTGTAGTAAAGAGCGATCAAAGTAAATATTCAGATATTGGAATAAATATTGTGATTGCTAGTATAAACAATTAAAATATATTTATTACTTTCAGTTTCGTAATTTCTTATTATAGGTCATTGCAGATTTCAAAAGTCATGTGAAATAATTTTATAAATCCAGATGCTAATGGTTGTTAATGAAAATAACAGTAACTTGCTTTACTATATAAGATCCATTCATCGTGTATCCTATGAACTGTTAACTTGACACAAGACATAAACATATGGTAGATTTTATCAAGCTATATGTCTCCTGACCTGTGTGACCCTGCACAAGGATATACAAGGAACTACCAAATTTTCATTTTGTAGTTCTTTACTTCCATTTATCAAATTCACATATTTTACATTCCTTGCTGTTTTCAGCAAATTAAATCAATATGAGGGTGAAATCCACAGTTGTTTCTTAAGGGCCTTTAATTTATAGTTAAACATGATGCATTATGACTCGGAAAGATGATATCCTCTCAGTATAAATTAATGCCTTAAATCAATAGACAAATATGTTCATTCTTCAGAAAGTAGATAACTTTATTGGTATATATATAAGTTATTGATCTTGCTGGTTGAAATGTAGTTATAAATGGACTTGTTTAAGATTCAAACATTGAAGCGACTCTTTTTAATAACTAGATTTTGATAATTACTATAGATTTGCTGTATTTTTAATTTACATTTTCATTGTTTTATTTTCCACTAGAGTTTCCAGAGAATGCAGTACGAGGGATTTTCAAATACTTGGCTCCAACAATAAGCCGTTACCAAGACAACAAATCTCGCCATGCCGTTTTAAAGGTCATCAGGGCAGTTACCAAGACCCATCCTGAGTCGACTGTCAAAACACTGTCCAGCACCTTGGAGGCACATGCAAACTTTCACAAAAAGGAACAACATTTTTGGTATGAAACCTGTCCTTTAACAATTTTCATATTATGTAAAAGGTATTTAGTTGGTCATTTAGTTAATCCACAGGCCATCCATACAGACAACCAACATTTAATTTCCGCTACCAGTAAGGATTTTTCAGAAATATCATCGTCTTTTTCCCACCGTAGGTATTACAGGTGGATATTGATTGGAAGTTCATTTCATGTTGCAATATAATGCAATATTTAGGGGATGTTTCAATATGTACATATGCATATATAATGATATATCATGCTTGAATGACAATTTAAAATTATTTTCTAAGATTTGGAAGTTTTATACTGGCAAGCGAGCTTAATATGGATGATATTGATTCAAGTTAAACATAGTTTCGATTAAATTATTTCCAACTTTGCCCAAAAATATTCCATCCCTAATATATGTTTTAGAGACTCCTTTCCAGATTATTCCCACATATTTGCAGTATCTCAATACATGCAAAGAACTGCTACTTAAAGTACTGAAATAAGTTTTAGGCAAGCACTCCAGCCACTTCAGAAGATTATTTCAGAAGGGATGGAAAACAGATTGACCAAACATTGAGCTACATTATCATTTATTGGGAGGAGGGAAGGGGCATGTAATGTTATCCTTGTCCATCCTGTCCAAATTCAGCATTATCACTCTGTTCATTATTTCGTAGCAGATTTTGATAAAACTTTATATCAAGTACAAGAAAAAAAAACTTTGAATCAGTTTGTATTTTAGAGTTCAAAAGTCAAGGCCAATGTCACTGTTACTGCTAACAGAAATAGGTGAAGCAATGACACTTATTTGAATGAGAGCAGGGGCATTTATGTCTTTATAAGCATTTTAAGTTTACCTTTTTTTTTAAGTTGTATCTTCTACTACTAATGCTATTGAAGCTAAATGAAAGCCAAAATAGAAAAGAAAAAAAATGGTAAAAATCCTTGGTAGCCAATTGCAACTATTGTACAGAACTATATGTAACTAACATTATTAAGTATTTGATTTAACACTGTTAATATAGATGATAATATGTATTTTTAGTTCTTAAGCAAGTGAGTAACAAGAAGTATTTGACTTTGTACTGAGATTATAAGTAATATTTTTTGTTTCTGTGTGTGAACAGTAGGAGCACGTCTGGTGAGGCCCTATTTGCACTGACATGGACATGTGTTGTGATGCAGGAGACATTCCTAAAGGGAAATCTCTCCAGAGATTCCTTCAAACAACTGGTAAATTTATATTAATTGATAATTGACAATGTACCTGATTTCGAATTTAAGGATCCCTGCTATCCCACTGCACTGTTTTGTTTTGTTTGTATATACAGTAATCTCCCCTAACCTCTGTTTAGATATAACTGTAGCACCGTTGGGTCAGGACCCTTTCGTTGACCAGGTAGCTCAGTGGGTTAGAGCGAAAGTATATCAATTGATCTGATGTTCAGATTTTGAATCAATTTCAAACTCTGCATGTTGAACAGAATACCCATGACTGCTATGAACCTATTTTGACCAAGGAACATGTAGGGCAACAATCTAAATTCTATCAGTATCGTTACCAATGCTAAACTGTTAGTTTGATTTAAACATATTTTATTTGCAAAAAAAAAAAGGATTAGACACAAGTTATAAAACTTAAAAGTTTACCTTCTCCCTTAAAACAGTAATGATAAAATATACATATGGCTGCAAAGTAGAAAATATTGATGACTGTAAATTTAGATGAGTCAAAGGAAACATGAATAAGATAGAATGTACAATATACAAATCTTATAGATTGTTTTTGTATTGAATGTACCCTTACATGTCTCAGTAACCTGTATATAATATAAACATACGCTGTAACATTACTGTAAACAATATAAAGTGTATATTTTCATATTGAAACTTCTGTCAATGATACATATCATATAGTCACTAAAACAATATAAAATTTAATCATTTAAAAAATTAGCTTTGAAATCAACCTGCATGTGTCAAAACCATAGCAGCTTGATGACGCAGCAGACCGCATCACACAATGGTAACATCCTTGAAGCTTTCTTTAAAACGCACTGCACCATATAAGTATGGGGGACTTAATCACAACATGCTCAAGTGTTACCAATAAGAGGGGTTTTGAAGGGTATTATTTGGTCTACTAGTTAATGCTAAACTACATTTGTAAACTGTGCACTTACAGGTTGGTGTACAATGTGGCCTTGTGTATGGAGCCCTGGCTGCAGGATGTAAGACCATCAACTCCGCTGCCTATAGGAAACTCATCTGGATCTTCAAAACTGTAAGTTTCAACAGCAACAAAAGTCATGGAACAACAACAGCAGCAAAAGTCATGGAACAACAACAGCAGAATTTATTATAAATAAAGAAAAATTAAGACAGTGGGTTACTAATAATGCAAAAATAAATCTCCAAGTGTTTATTTTTTAATACAATTTCAAAAGAAGTGTTTAAATACAATTTCAAAAGAAGTATTTTTGATACAATTTCAAAAGAATGTGTTTTAATACAATTTCAAAAGAAGTGTTTTAATACAATTTCAAAAGAAGTATTTTTAATACAATTTCAAAAGAAGTATTTTTAATACAATTTCTTAATACAATTTCAAAAGAAGTATTTTTAATACAATTGTATTATTTTTAATACAATTTCTTAATACAATTTCAAAAGAAGTATTTTTAATACAATTTCAAAAGAAGTATTTTTAATACAATTTCAAAAGAAGTATTTTTAATACAGTTTCAAAAGAAGTATTTCAGCTTGTTCTCTTTTTCCAAATACTTTCTGTTGCAAATAGGATCAAATAAATATTGAATATTCTATATAATTATAACCATAAAGTGGGCCAATTATGTATACATCGAAGAACTTATTAGATATTAGGCTACGTCAAAGGATCTTGCTCAAAATCACACGACAGTCAAAGGTGTCCAGCAACTGCAGCAGCAAAATGTTTGAGTTTTCTTCCCACAAGTAAAAACTGTATTTAAGTAAGTTTTTGACAAGAACTGTTTTAACAAATATACTGCTTTGTTTGACCAGAGTGACAAGGCAGTAGATGAGTATGCTCAACTGTTGACGGAGGTTGAGGCGTCCATGTTTGTGCTGAGTCCTGTCGGCATCCTGATGTCATATCTTACCAAGACTAAAGACCAGGAACTTCTTAAAAAATTTAAGGTGGGTAGTTTTTGTACAAGTTGTGTTTATAGGAATAAACCACAATGTAAAACTCTTTAGTTATGCAAAAGTGTGAGACCAGGAGACCTGATAATTATTTTCTTTCTATAATAAGAAGTAAACTGATCTAGTAAGCTGAACATGTACATTAGCTACTCAACTAATTTATTGGCTGTCGTTAGTTTTTTCCATTTCTTGTTAATGTGGGCATCAATTAAAATTAATTTTTATTCATCAACATTGTTTTGAATTATTAGAAAACTCTGCACATCATAATTGTACGACAAATGGTTTCAGTTGAAGAAATATATGGTGAATTCAAAAGTTTGAACTCTACATTTATGAGAATATCAGTTTTTGTTTTAAGTTCATTTAAAGCAAAATATCCAAATGCTTCAAAGTCTGTAGAAATATCAGATACTCATCTTGTAGGTAAAAGTAACAATTATATTACATAGTCAATAAAATATTGTATAGAATTCTATATAGCACATAGTCAATAAAAAATTGTATACAATTCTATACACATAGTCAATTAAAAATTGTAAAAGAAATCTATATAGTACGTAGTCAATTAGATATTTTATAAAAAGTTATACAGTACACAGTCCATTAAAAATTGTAAAAGAAATCTATATAGTACGTAGTCAATTAGATATTTTATAAAAAGTTATACAGTACACAGTCCATTAAATATTGTGTAAAAATCTGTATACCATATAAATACATATAATTTTCATCTACAATGCATTAACTGACTTTATGTAGAAGTACCAGTGTTTTAATAGCGTCTTGCCTGTATTTTCTCCCCTACAGGGCCCCTTCCTCGACATGTACACCAGACAAGTACTGGGATCCAGGACCAAACCATCTGTTCAGCTGCTGGTGAGCATTGTATAATGTTTCGTTGTCTTGGTCAAGCTCCTGGGCCCGTATTCAAGAAACTGTTCCCTTGCTCAAACTCAGATTCTGTGCTCAAACCCAATATCTTGTTCCATTAATGGAATGGTTTCTTTAATACAGGCCCTGGTGAGTAATTTATGAAGCCAAGACAACTTTGTTCAGTTCCTGGCAAGTAACACATAAAGTTTTGTAAGCTTTTTCAAGCTGCTGGTGAGTATTGTATTAATATCAAAGTTTTACTTTTTACACAAACAATGCACGTATTAAACGTGTTGCAACATTTCAAGACCGACTGCTCCATTGTCAAGCTATGACTGAGTGAGCGATTCGGGTCATGGGGATCAAATATTTGGGAGGAGAAAAAAAATGGAGTCTTTTATCATATCAAATCAAACATTATTCTATATTTTATATTTTACAGTAATTTATTTTAGCATTTGGTATAACAGGGGGGGGGGGGGGGTTGCTTGTTTGAAGAACAACTTAAAACTTTTAGACATGGTGGAGGGGGAGCCGTATGAATGAGTGTACAACACTTTCAGATTTTTGATATGACCTCCTGGGGCCGGGCCAGAGGGGGTGGGTTCAAATATTAAAAAAGAAATAAAGAAAAAAATACAGTCTTATAGCATATCAAATTAATCTTTATCATGAGTTCTACATTTTAAAGCAATTTATTTAACATAAAGTGTACGAGGGGGGGTTACTTGAGGGATAAGGGGTAAAATAACTTCTTCTACACTATTTGAAATAGGAACTTGAAACTTTTGAACATGGTAGATATTTGTGTGGGGAAGTGTACCAAACTTTGAGAATATTGATATGACCCATAGGGACCGAGCCAAAGGGGTGGAGTCATGAGGGTCATTTTTTTTCTCATATAATCTTTTGGCATATAAAATCATGCATTCTACATTTTAGAGTAATTTATTTTTGCATATGGTAATGAGGGGGGGGGATGCAGTGTGTATATGCTCTCTATCAGTAGGGGAAATGTCCCCGGTCGAGTGACATAAAAATATACAATTTTGTAACATCGTGGTACAGGTAAGTCATAGCTTGACAAAGGGACCAGTCGGTCTTGAAACGTTGCAACACATTTAATACGTACATTGTTGTTGTAGAAAGTAAAACTCAGATATTACATATTTCCAAACTGATGAATCTTATTGAAAGTATTGTATAATGTTTTGTCAGCTTTTTAAAGCTGCTGGTGAGTAATGTATAAAGGTATTTCAACTTTGCCCAGCTTAAACAAAATATAATTATAATAGCTTTCCAAAATCTTGCTTATTTTATAGGGCTTGAATAAACACCACATTCCAAATATATATTTTAACCTTAATGTAATCAATTCACGTGATGTAAATTGACAAAATTTAAAAAAGAATGAAATTCAAATGTTCATAATTGAACCTTAATGTTCTAAAAAGCAGTGTGCACATTTCTTTATATGCAAAAATAATGTTTCCAATTTCTATTGTTTTACATAAATGATAATTTAATAAAGATTCCAAATGTATTTGTACAATATTCAGTTATGATTGATAGTATGAGTGAGAAATTTAAGAAAATCTTTTTATAGAGATTCTATATGTACATAAATGATTTAGTCATTGTTACTACTTTTTAATATGTATTTTATAAAAGTGTTTCATGTAAAGATGGTTTTGATGAAGATATTTTGTTTGATAAATGCACATTTGATAAAGGTATACCTGATAAAGGCATATGTGATAAGTGTGTATTTGGTAAAATCGCTGGAGAAACGTGTATAAGTATTTTTGTGTCGTAGATATCGTGTAACCACTTGCTGCGCCACTGCACACACGAAGACTTCCAGAACCTTATGGTGCCAGCCACTAAGAAGGCCATGCTGAGGAACCCAGAGAGTATTCTACAAGGTGATCACCGGCTTTCTGTTGGAAATTGTTCTGTATATAGGGAACAGAAACCTTCCTCAATTAATGATTGAATTAGTAGATAAAGTTTACTTGTTCACTTTTTTTTTTATACGAAATGAAAATGTAAGAAATGGTGAACTGTAGAACTTTACAAATTAAAACTTTATCTTAATCAAAACATTAGATTTTGAATGATTGGCTTGAAATGGTTCTATGCACAGCAAAAAATGGTAGTTGATATGTTCCAAAAAACAAAACTTTAGGCAAACAATGATTGCGAAATGATGACATTTTGTATAACACAAGATGTTAGAACTAAATAGCAATGCAGTAATATCTTTGTAAACCCCTACCATTTGTCCTGTGAAAGTAGGAAGTCCATTGTAAGGCATGCAGCAATAAGCTTTGAATGAAACTTGTAAAAGAAATGTTTGGACAAGGGGGGCATTATATAAGGTTTTACTTTATATAAACAAGGGGCATGCTGATATTTCCGTTTCATTGTAGAAACTATTTTTAGAGAAATAACTGATATATATACATTGACATCAGTCATGCGATGTACATCCTCAATATCCAGGGGTTGCGCTCACTTTCGTTCTCTACACCCCTGGAATATGTCATAGCAAAATTGAAGGCACGAAGATAGCTGTTTGATTGGTCTCGAGTAAAAAACCACCAGACCAATCGCTAGGCTGATACTTGACCTTTGAAGATAACAAAGGAGAGACGCCCGACTTCAAAGTCTGTCAATTTTTACCGTTAGGTGACCGCAGGTTCTTTTGATGTACATCAAAGGGTCGAACTAGTTTTCTTGCCTCATCAACAAGGTGGCGCACACTGAGCCTTCAATTTTACTAGGACATATTCCAAGGGTGTAGAGAGCGAAAGTGAGCGTAACCTCTGGATATCGAGGATGTGCAATGTAGTGCTGTATAATGTTTGTAATGAATGGCACCTATAGTTGTATCCTTCCTGTATGTTTGTAGCGAAGGAGTGAGATTTGTGCCGACAGTAAACCGAGGGATAATTAGCTACGCTGTATCACTATAACAGTTGTAGTCAGTCCCCCTCTGACAGTTCCTATCACATATATCTAAGTATTAGCGAAAGGTTTCCTAATAAAAGATCAGAAAATTATTTGATAAATGCTTCCAAACTTATTTTTCATTAAGAAACTATGATTACCGTTAGTCTATTTTGTTTTTGTTTTCTCAAATGTGTCTCTTCTACGACTATATGAAGTTCTATTTTATTACATGTAACAACAAGCAAAACTGCTGAGACTTTTCTGTAATCATAATGCCCCACCCCCGTTCTTATCACAATCAAGGACTTCTATATCTTGATGAATAAAAAATGTAGGTAAATATGACAAATATTTCTGCTATAACAGTCTGTTATACACCACAGCAGAAGTATTATAAAGCACAGGTCTGTACTTCCAAGACTTACCTTCTTTTGACCCTGGTGTGATCTCTGACCATTGCTTAACCCTTTCACCCCTAGGTAACTTAAGTAGACTCTACCATGCATTGATATGGATTAGTCCATTATTGTCTACAGTGGTGAAAAGGTTAAACTTAAACTATTTACAAACCAAGCGATATATTTTCCTTGTACCAAATATGATGTATGGGAAAATATATAAATCAAATCTGATGTAGGCAAGCATGTCATATGGGGCAGGGCAGGACATTATATGATATTTGTTCACCTCTTCTAGTAATTTCAAGAATGTTTTTGGAGATTGACACTAGTTGTCAAAATCTAGAAACCAATCTGTTCCTACCAGTACCACATATCTCTCTCCTGTGTTACAGCCGTGGGGTACATGATCATCGGCCAGAGCCTGGACCTCAGACAGTATGCACAAGAGCTAGCCAAACCACTAGGAGGTATTTATGAATTTATACTTAATGTTGATTATGTTGAAATTGTGTACAAAATAAAACTTGTCTGAATTGAACAGCCACCAGACATGTTTCCATTCAGAATAGTCCAGTTTGTGATTGCCAGTGTTCAGTATACATAGCAGAGTCATACACTGCAATGCAGGGCTGGTTTATGCGGTTTCTAGTTTCAGTTATACTGAAAGACTCAATTAATCAATCAACTATTCAAATAAATAAAGATTGTACCTCAGTTATCCTTCAATAAGCCCAGGGGGTCTGCACATAATTTCTTACTTAAAAAAATAGTGGAATGGGTGTACTTCAGGACAGTGAAATGGCGTTTGTTTGCATGGCTACTGAACTGCAATAGATTTGGGTGGGCTTATTACCAGGCATAGTATTATTGCTTGAAAAATACAGTATTTTTTACATTCATAGAAGGGATACCATGTGAAATGTCAGCTGGTAAGACATATTCTGTAACTATTTTGAATTTGATACAAATGTAAAAAAATATCTTTTTTATCTATGTTTGTCTATACAAAGCTATGTTAGGAACTTTTGTCCCCACAGTATATACTTATTCAACAGATTTTATAGCCATTGTAGTTGCCATTAAAATTCACAGAAAATGTGTTAATTTTATCTTTCCAGTCCAACTTTGCTCCAAGGATCCTGCGACAAGAGCAGAAGCTGTGGCTGCATTTAAAAACCTGGCAGTTCAGTGTAGTGACACGGAAGCCGTGGAGACACTCGTGTTTCACCTGTTTGGTATCCTCAATGGTACGCTTTAATCTGGAGATATGTCTTAATCTAGAATTGTTATAATGGCATCTTATGATAAATCTAGAGATATTATATTGGTGTCTTATGATAAATCTTCTTTCTAATTGTGTCCAATGATACAATGCACTGCATAGACATGTTACCCGGTAAAAGCAGAAGTAAAGTACAAACGTTTTACAGATCAACAACCACGGACTGAAGCGGATAGGTGTATTAATTGCGTAGGTAAAATACAGGTAAACACCTGGTGTATAGTCAATATACAATACCCTCATGGCCAGTTGATATACAATACCCTCATGGCCAGTTGATAAACAATACCCTCATGGCCAGTACTGTTTGTTTACAGGGTCTGAAGGGAAGCTGACGTCTGTGGACCAGAGGATCAGTGTTCTGCAGGCGATCGGCAATGCCAGCCAGAGCACTGCCAGTGGAGCGTACGCCCTACAGACACTGAGTGACACGGTCGCCGAGAAGTTTATTCCCATGTTACAATCGGAAGGTGAGCCTGCGCCATTGTATACAGTGTTTCAGTTTACCTTTATGTGGGTATATCACCTCCTAAGATGGCTTTTGACCCTCAANGTGGCCAGTTGATATACAATACCCTCGTGGCCAGTTGATAAACAATACCCTCATGGCCAGTTGATATACAATTCCCTCATGGCCAGTTGATATACAATACCCTCATGGCCAGTTGATATACAATACCCTCATGGCCAGT